ACGTCCTGTCTTTTATTTCTCACCCTCATATATAAGCCTGGATCATCAGGTATATCTCGAGGTCCGGAGGGGTCTGGGTTATCGAATCTCTTTGAATTTAAATCACCCATCCCAACATTCGACCTTTTTTTAAAGGATTTGAATCGATATATTTAATGAAATAGTATCTTAACCCAGTCACACATGTTTTATTTATCTGTAGTGGTTATTTATATTACATGATTTGCTGAGACATTTTGATCGATTACATGTATGAGCAGTTTTGATATTGATATCTCTCTTGCATTTTCCATCCCCTCGCTCACCCCATACCTTACCCTACTCCTCTCCCATATCCTATCCTCGCTCCCTCTCTTTCCATCCCTACCTAATCCCTTTCCCTCTACATATTTGAAACTTCCTCTCTCCCTATCTCTCCGTCCACATCCCCCTATATCGCTTCCACATTCGAAATCTTTCCATTCCTACCTCAGCGCTATTTTTCACAATCTCCACCACTTACCTTCCCAACGGAAAGGACCATCGACTTATGAAGGTAACTAACAGATCAGGTTTGCTGGGTTTTTTCTCCTGTTCACTATCATCACTATATTCAAACATAAAGTGATAATAGTGACGAAGAGGAAAAAAACCATATAGTGATAATATAGTGACAATAGTGACCAGGAGAGAAAAAACAGCATACCTTAAAACAATGGATTCAAGAGAAATAATCATACTGTGTACATACTATGTGTCACTAGTTTATAAAAGAAACAACAACAACAACTAGTCATGAAGTTGAAATCGGGATGATGGTGCTGCATTTTTTTATTGGTCATACTATTATCTAATATTCTAAAACTGCTTGTGCTAAGATTAACGGCGCTAATTTCTAGTTATTACATAACAAAGAAAGAGCACATTGTGCAGACAGCATGAGAAGCATCAACTGCCAAATTCGGGTGAATTTAAAAAAATACTGAATTACTTCAAGTCATAATTAATGTGTGAGTGTATTGCAAATGTGTAATGAAATTGAATATTTTGAAAAAGAAAACAATACACTTTTCGAGGGGTTGTTTAATAAGGAGAACTTATGCCCTGAACTAGTATTTCGGAAAAGCAGTCGTGAGAAAGCTGTGTCTATGTTATGAGCTATTTAATCTTCAAGATACAGTGCTTGTGAGTGCGACTGAGGGTAGGTGGAGTTACTCCCCTTATATAACCCATGGCATTCAGCCACTATTTCACAATCAGTTGACGAAATATGAAACAGCACAAGTGTGTGTATAATAATACTATGTAGGAGAGAAAAACTCCAAGGGAAGTAAACATGCTGACACTGTAAATAGTGTTCTGTGTATGCAAATTACTTGTACTTACGTCCTGTCTTTTATTTCTCACCCTCATATATAAGCCTGGATCAACAGGTATATCTCGAGGTCCGGAGGGGTCTGGGTTATCGAATCTCTTTGAATTTAAATCACCCATCCCAACATTCGACCTCTTTTTAAAGGATTTGAATCGATATATTTAATGAAATAGTATCTTAACCCAGTCACACATGTTTTATTTATCTGAAGTGGTTATTTATATTACATGATTTGCTGAGACATTTTGATCGATTACATGTATGAGCAGTTTTGATATTGATATCTCTCTTGCATTTTCCATCCCCTCGCTCATCCCATACCTTACCCTACTCCTCTCCCATATCCTATCCTCGCTCCCTCTCTTTCCATCCCTACCTAATCCCTTTCCCTCTACATATTTGAAACTTCCTCTCTCCCTATCTCTCCGTCCACATCACCCTATATCGCTTCCACATTCGAAATCTTTCCATTCCTATCTCAGCGCTATTTTTCACAATCTACTCCACTTATCTTCCCAACGGATAGGACCATCGACTTATGAAGGTAACTAACAAATCAGGTTTGCTGGGTTTTTTCTCCTGTTCACTATCATCACTATATTCAAACATAAAGTGATAATAGTGACCAGGAGAAAAAAAACCATATAGTGATAATATAGTGACAATAGTGACCAGGAGAGAAAAAACAGCATACCTTAAAACAATGGATTCAAGAGAAATAATCATACTGTGTACATACTATGTGTCACTAGTTTATAAAAGAAACAACAACAACAACAACTAGTCATGAAGTTGAAATCGGGATGATGGTGCTGCATTGTTTTATTGGTCATACTATTATTTAATATTCTAAAACTGCTTGTGCTAAGATTAACTAGTATTTCGGAAAAGCAGTCGTGAGAAAGCTGTGTCTAAGTTATGAGCTATTTCATCTTCAAGATACAGTGCTTGTGAGTGCGACTGAGGGTAGGTGGAGTTACTCCCCTTATATAACCCATGGCATTCATCCACTATTTCACAATCAGTTGACGAAATATGAAACAGCACAAGTGTGTGCATAATAAGACTATGTAGGAGAGAAAAACTCCAAGGGAAGTAAACATGCTGACACTGTAAATAGTGTTCTGTGTATGCAAATTACTTGTACTTATGTCCTGTCTTTTATTTCTCACCCTCATATATAAGCCTGGATCATCAGGTATATCTCGAGGTCCGGAGGGGTCTGGGTTATCGAATCTCTTTGAATTTAAATCACCCATCCCAGCATTCGACCTTTTTTTAAAGGATTTGAATCGATATATTTAATGAAATAGTATCTTAACCCAGTCACACATGTTTTATTTATCTGTAGTGGTTATTTATATTACATGATTTGCTGAGACATTTTGATCGATTACATGTATGAGCAGTTTTGATATTGATATCTCTCTTGCATTTTCCATCCCCTCGCTCACCCCATACCTTACCCTACTCCTCTCCCATATCCTATCCTCGCTCCCTCTCTTTCCATCCCTACCTAATCCCTTTCCCTCTACATATTTGAAACTTCCTCTCTCCCTATCTCTCCGTCCACATCCCCCTATATCGCTTCCACATTCGAAATATTTCCATTCCTACCTCAGCGCTATTTTTCACAATCTCCACCACTTACCTTCCCAACGGATAGGACCATCGACTTATGAAGGTAACTAACAGATCGGGTTTGCTGGGTTTTTTCTCCTGTTCACTATCATCACTTTATTCAAACATAAAGTGATAATAGTGACCAGGAGAAAAAAAACCATATAGTGATAATATAGTGACAATAGTGACCAGGAGAGAAGAAACAGCATACCTTAAAACAATGGATTCAAGAGAAATAATCATACTGCGTACATACTATGTGTCACTAGTTTATAAAAGAAACAACAACAACAACTAGTCATGAAGTTGAAATCGGGATGATGGTGCTGCATTTTTTTATTGGTCATACTATTATCTAATATTCTAAAACTGCTTGTGCTAAGATTAACGGCGCTAATTTCTAGTTATTACATAACAAAGAAAGAGCACATTGTGCAGACAGCATGAGAAGCATCAACTGCCAAATTCGGGTGAATTTAAAAAATACTGAATTAGTTCATCAAGTCATAATTAATGTGTGAGTGTATTGCAAATGTGTAATGAAATTGAATATTTTGAAAAAGAAAACAATACACTTTTCGAGGGGTTGTTTAATAAGGAGAACTTATGCCCTGAACTAGTATTTCGGAAAAGCAGTCGTTAAAAAGCTGTGTCTATGTTATGAGCTATTTCATCTTCAAGATACAGTGCTTGTGAGTGCGACTGAGGGTAGGTGGAGTTACTCCCCTTATATAACCCATGGCATTCATCCACTATTTCATAATCAGTTGACGAAATATGAAACAGCACAAGTGTGTGTATAATAATACTATGTAGGAGAGAAAAACTCCAAGGGAAGTAAACATGCTGACACTGTAAATAGTGTTCTCTGTATGCAAATTACTTGTACTTACGTCCTGTATTTTATTTCTAACCCTCATATATATGCCTGGATCATCAGGTATATCTCGAGGTCCGGAGGGGTCTGGGTTATCGAATGTCTTTGAATTTAAATCACCCATCCCAGCATTCGACCTTTTTTAAAAGGATTTGAATCGATATATTTAATGAAATAGTATCTTAACCCAGTCACACGTTTTATCTATCTGTAGTGGTTATTTATATTACATGATTTGCTGAGACATTTTGATCGATAACATGTATTAGCAGTTTGATATTGATATCTCTCTTGAATTTTCCATCCCCTCGTCCACCCCATACCTAACCCTACTCTTCCCCCATATCCTATCCTCGCTCGCTCACTTTCCATCCCAACCTAATAGGTTCCTAACACAGTCACACATGTTTTGTTTATCGGCAGTGTTTATTTCTATCACCTCATTGTTCTTTTTATGCTTGACTTCTTTCAGCAAATACTTGGACTTAATCAAGTTGATTTTCAATATAGACGAAAAAATAGTGGGTATGGATGTAAGCCTCTTGAGCAAGTATAGATGTCATCGTGTGCAGTATCACATTTCTTTGTCAAACGGTATTTGAGCCTATGTTGTTAAGTTTGTTTGTTTGTTGTTTAACGCCACACTCAGAAATATCTGTAAATAATCGAGTCTGGACCACACAATCCAGTGATTGACATCGTGAACATCGATCCACGCAATTGGGATACGATGACATGCGGAGAGCCTGAACACCCGATCCCGTTAGTCGCCTCTAACGACAATCATAGTCGCCTCTCACAACAAGCATGGGTTGCTGAAGACCTATTCTAACCCGACCTCTTTCACGGCCTCTTCTTGCAAAATGTACACGCGATAAACCAGCTTCGTTGTTATAACTTGGTACTGTATACCCACCTGGCCGCAAATAATTCAAAACAATTAAGTACAATTCACACCACTTACAACTACCTATTGTTCACAGAGTGAGCAACCCTTGAAATAATCCATGCTAATGAATATGACAACAGCGTGGCAACCTAGCAACTACGTGGCCATAGCAACTGTGATTGTTTGCAGTTGCTAAGCGTAACGCTTAAATGACTTACAGCTATCCCTCGCTATAACAGCAGTGAAGGCAATCACGGAAGTATTCGTGCAAAACCGGTTGAACTGTACCTGGGCAAGTTTGAACGACGTCAGGTGTGGAAAACACGCTGTTATTGAACAGATAGTGGTTGCGCTTGAGCATGTTGATAGAAGAGGGTTGTCCAAGCGCTATCTAAAGACATTTTTGAGCCCAAAGACTTGCTGAACAGACAGTCAAGGTACGTATTTCAAACCTGCTTCCATTTCCGCGTTGACAGGGATGTAGAATGCCTACGGTGTTTAATAATATAAGGATAGTTTGAGGTTAACCCTTCCTGTACTATAAACAACATGTCATTTGTAATGTCGTCAGAACAACATGTTCTACATTGAAACCTCAATCACGATCGGCATGTGATTGATGATCGACGCGCTGTACCTGAAAGCGAAGTCTGCACCCGTGCTCTATATACATGTATGTTTTCCTGTGTGCAATCAGGTACGACTGAAATTATCCTTTCGTTGTGCAGTTAAACTGTCCTACCGTATTTCATCCCTTAAAAGCTGGTCTGTATTGAGGGACATGTCTAGGTGTAAGTTTTTAAATAAGAGTCGGACGGAGTGATCTACATGTTTGTTTGTTTGTTTGTTGTTTAACGCCGCATCCAGCAATATTCCAGCTATAACGGCGGTCTGTAAATATCTCGATCAGACAATCAGACAATCCGGAGATTGAAATCGTGAGCATCGATCCACGCAATTGGGATACGATGACATGCATCAACCAAGTCAGCGAGTCTGACCACCCGATCCCGTTAGTCGCCTCCTACGACAAGCATAGTCGCCCCTCACAACAAGCATGGGTTGCCGAAGACAAGTTGTAACCTGGATCTTCACCGTTGCAGCTACAGGCAGTGACATATAATATCAGATAACGTTTACTAAACTGGCTGCCTCTAGGCGTCAGATATACCAATAAAAAAGACCTCTGCTTGCACGACACAAATAAATAAATAAGTGAATAAATAAATAAATTCCCCATTCGTGTAAGAAAAAGATAACTGATAAACTGATATATATTGTATTAGTATCACAGCTACAGTTTGCCTTCCAGCATATATTTACTAGGGCTTGTTCACCTGACGATGGTTGTGATTGTCACCCGATACAGTGACATTTCATAGAGAAGAGGAAACGTCTTTGACCCAGGCGTGTTGCTCGTTGAAGGAGTTACGCATGAATGCGCAGTTTACGGTTATTTTAGTAAGGGGTAGTCGCTATTGTCGGCAAACGTTATCAACTCTTAACGGGTGGCCAGACGTCTCAGAAGCTGCGAGTTGTGCCGCCTGGGTGTGCCAGGATTCTGCGATCGATTCTGTGTCAATGTTTGTCATCACTATACGGCGCTCGTGGGTTTCACCATATTGGTAAATGTCTAAGACCTGCATCACATCGAACTTTCCCCCAACACTAATCTGACACGTATTCAATCACTCCGAACTTCATCGTTGTGTTATTATAGTTATATCATATCAAATATTCAACGGGCAGTGATTTTAACCTAGTGTTTAAAGCGTTTGTTCATCGCGCCCCAAAAACAGGTTCCGCCTGTGAAGACCTGGCTTCCCCCTTTTTGTTGGACATAGACAGACATGAATACGGGGTAAACATCTGATTTGACTCACTGAGCTGGCCGAATGAAAAGGATCGTTCGGAAAGGTTGGAGATTTCAGAGCGTGTTCTTAGTCGTGTACACTCTACAAGGGGCAGTGCTGGAACATATGGAGCCTATTGTCAGGATCTTAAAATATTATTATAATGATTATTGAAAAACGGGGAACAGAGAGGGTCAAACAATGTTAATAACGTACATGAACATGCAGCCTTTACGTCGAAAATAAATCTAATGGCCAGACCTTTTTAATCTAATGCCTCAAACAAAAATGAAAAATGACCAAGAAATGAAAAGCGGTAGTTTTTTATTTTCTTGAAAGGGGCAGTGGGCTAGCCTTGTGGTTAAAGCGTTCGCTCATCACCCCGAAGACCCGGGTTCGATTCCTCACATTGGTACAATACGCGAAGCCCATTTCTGGTGTCCCCCGCGTGATATTGTTGGAATGGTGCTAACACAATACTTACTCACTCACCCACTCACCAGAAAGCATTAAACACAAAAAGAACACAATCAGGACTAATGGAGTTGGACCACGCAAGACATTGAGAGTAATGCATGTTACATGTCTTCTCCAGACACAGTAATTAACAGACGGGTGATGAGCTGTACATATTACCTTGCAATAAGCTATACTAGGAACAGGAATTGAGCTACAACAAGACTGACATTATTTCGATGACCTGAGTGAGTGAGTGAGTGAGTGAGTGAGGGAGGGAGGGAGGCAGGGAGGGAGGCAGGGAGGGAGGGAGGAGCGAGTCAGTACTTTTTTTTCTAATGTAGGCCTGTATACAAATAATCAATTATTGAAGTAGCAACAATACATAATTTACAACATTGGTCAACACATAGAAAGCATGGTGATTTATTTCTTCTGTATCGCTTGTGACAATTATCTTTTTAATTATATGCATATTTACATTAGTGATACATGTGTTTGGTGGATATTTAATTCTAATAGCATGAGAAGTTGCACGTACAAGTAAAACACGATATTCATCCTCCATACCTAGGTCACAGAGAAGACCGTAATAGTTTCTCAACCGTAACAGTCCTTTACAAAACTTCACAAAAAATATTTCGAAGCTTTAGAGATACTTTTCTGGATGTAACAAACTTTTATATTCTCTTTAAACTCTCTCTGAACTGATATTAATAGCAGATATTAATCCAGAAAATCCAATTTATTAAACATTTCCAACTGTTTGTGACTGCCAAACAAAACCACGAGATCTTTAATATTAGAAACCCATTTTCTATACCCTCCATTATATAAATAAAGAAACGCTTACGCATTTTGGGAGGTGGTCATCGTGTTTTGACAATATTTTACGCCAGTATCCAACACGACATACAAGTGAGTTCATAGACTGGAAATCGGCCACATTCACCATACACTACAGCATTGGGTGTTCGTGGTCCTATTTGTGAGAAGTTTTTACAAGCCAGTAGGTTGATTTTCTCTATACTCTCAGATCTATTAACCACTCGAATTTAAATGAGTTAGAGTGGGTGAGCGAATATACCGCATCAACAGTATTGCAGATATACGCGACTACCGTTTTGTCCGTCCTAATGCGTGTCAACAATATGAGCATATTCAAGTTGCAAGTCATTAAAGCCATTCGCCTTTCCCTCTCTTGTACTGTTCAAACCGCCTCCGTTGTCTCGTGGATTGAGCGTCTGCCCGAAAAGCGGATGGTCGGTGGTTCGATCCCCTGCCGCGTCATACCACCCGCGCGCGTCGCTTTACATTAGTGCATTAATCTTGGTTGGATTGGTTTGGTTTGTTGTTTAACGCTGCACTCAGCATTATTCCAGCTATATGACGGCGGTCAGTAGATAAAAGAGTCTGGACCAGACAATCCAGTGATTAATATCATGAGCATCGATCCACGCAATTGGGATCGATGACATGCATCAACCAAGTCAGCGAGCTTGACCACCCGATCCCGTTAGTCGCCTCTCACGACAAGCATAATCACCTTTTTCGGTAAGCATGGGTTGCTGAAGAACTTTTCTACCCCGGATCTTCACGGGTAGCGACGTAAAACCCCATTTCACATCATTTTCAAATGTTTTCATCGTTCGTGCTTGGTATAAAGACTGGTTTGGTAGGCGACAGTAATCATGGCTTGTGTTACAGCCCCTTCTGCAAAGTAACAGTCATGTCCGTGTTTAGGTACAGACAATGAGAATACATTACATTAAACAAACCAGCTCCTTCACGTATCAAGTGTTTCTTGTCTGACTTTATTCTTGACTCCTGTGGCAGAGTGAGGGAGTTGGAAACATAATCAGGGAAAATCGGGATTCAAACCCACAATCATGGGTTAATTATCATTATTATTATTATTATTATTATTATTATTATTATTATTATTATTATTATTGTGCAGGTATCCAGGAACTAGTATCTGCTCAAAGGCAGTTTAATTTGTTCCCTGACCAGTGGATCCGTTCGCATTCCAGTTATCGTTCTCAACTCCCTGGGGAGAATACAACCCAAGCTGCCTACGGACGCTTGAGTGTTATTACATCCTCCTCCCATATCGGGTACCCATTCCCTCCTGGGTGAACAGAGGCACATTTGAACTTAAGTCACTTGCCCAAGGTGACACCACACGTTTTGCCCCCATTAGGCAACCCACCATTTTGACAAACAATATTTGCCCTTTCAGATGCCGGGGACGGGGAAAGAGTACGCCTTCTACGACCGCACAGCCATGCTACGTCAGAAGTTCCCGCTGAGTGCGGCAATGATGGTGTGTTCGTGTATGACGTGGGTCTGTATCTTCGCGGGTATGTACTACTCCGTGACCTTCACCTTGATGTATTTCAAGGTCACAAAAGAAGCTGACACGGTGGGACCCTGCAAGGAGCCATTCAGTTCCGTGCCAAGCGAAAACTTTAAGAAAGTGGACAACTATCCCCGGGGCGTGGCTTTGCCGTATATCGTCCGGATGTCACCGGAGAAAGGACACGCAGATGAAGTTCCCAAAGATTCCATTATCCCGACCATCATCACTGCTGTGTCGTCTGCTCAGTTCTACCAAGTTCAAGGACTAATAAAACACCTAAAGGCAATAGAAGGATACTATCCAGATATTAGCCTCGTCATTTATGATGTTGGCTTATATAAGAGAGAATATAAGTTGGTAAGTATGTGAACGCGGTTCTTTCGTACAAGTGATCGCATGGTTCTTTTTACGCCAATGCACTGAGTTTAACGCCGCCTTGAAAGGTCTGGACTTAAATACACGCCGGCCTCTTATTGACGCCAGGGTCCACTTGCACAAAGCCATCTCAGCACTAAGATGATCGTAACTCACATGCTCTAACATAGACTTAAGATAGTTGTAGCGCTAAGATCGCTTTGTGCAAGTGGGCCCTGGCCATGCGCGCTGTCCAAAAAATAGAAGCCGGGCTCTGATACTGTGATATGTTGGTGTGATTAATATTGACCGTTTCCAGTAAATGTACTCTTTGTATTACTCTAGACTTTTGGATTCGGTAAGGTAGTGATTTGCCACTGTGCCAGCTTTAAACAAAATACAAACCGGCCTCAAATAGAAGCCGGCATTCGTGACCAACTCATGTTGGTCCGGGACAAGTCGAGCATTTGTGATGAATTCGTGTTATTCCGGGAAGAGCCGAGCAGCGACTCGTAACCCTCTCGTGCATTCGTGATCAACTCGTGTTACTTGGGGAGAAGCCGTATAGAGCGCAGATGTCTAAATGAGGAAATACGGTATTCAATTTATTCAGGATATGAACAGGTACCATGAGGCGACTATACTTGTCGTAAGAGACGACTGAAGGGATTGGGAGATCAGGCTCACTGACTTGGTTGATGCATGTAATCGTATCCCAATTGCGTGGATCGATGCTCATGATGTCAATCACTTAATTGTCTGGTCCAGACTCGATTATCCACAGACCGCCGTCATATAGCTGGAATATTGCTGGATGCGGCGTTAAACAACAAACAAACAAAACAAACAAAAAATTTGTGGCGTCTTTTAGTATGACGCGGGCGGGCATAGAACCCCGTCCTTCCGCTCCCCTGGCAGACACTTGACCACGGACACGGTCATCTGGAATGTAGATTAATACACTGGGTGATTGAATATTAGGTATACACTCGAATAAACTTAGTAACTCCTGGTGATTTTTATTGAGAACATACATTAATTTACAAACATTTTGAATGGAATTTTTGTTATTTCAGTTAGAAAAATACTGCAATTGTATCGTCAGAAAATTCATCACCAGCGCCTACCCCAACCATGTTGCCGACTTCAGCAACAATGCCTGGAGACCAATCATATTGCAGGTATAGTCCATCATGATCATGTGCTATCGTTATTTGATAGGACTCGGGGAGACTATATGCCCCTCGTCACTGGCGACTAAATATGGAGGCTCGCCGCACTCGTTGTGAATGAGGGTGGCCTCGTGGTTGAAGCGTTGGCTCGTCATGTCGCAGACACGGGTTCTCTCCCCGCATGAGTATGACCAAGATCTGGCTGTAATACTGCTGAAAGCATTGTGAAACCCACCACTCACTATGTGATACACGTAGATCAGTGACTAAATGCACGAGAAAATAATGTCTCTGCCGTGATCTTGATGCGATAGTGTGGCATCGTACCCTGTTGAACTGGGCCCCGTTCCATGAAGAGATCTCAGCGTTACGACAGCTGTAAGCCTATGGTAAAGTATGGGAGTTACGATTGTCTAAGCGCCACGGTAACTTTGTGGAAGTGGACCCCGGACAAGAGGTCCTACTGGCGTAAGGTGAATTAATGTGAAGCACTACACTCAACACTGGAAGGTCTTGAACGTAAAAATCATTCTCAGCTGACCATAAGTCGATATTTGGCAAGAGGTTACTAACAGACCTGACCAGAGAGTGGGGGTGAGTTGGTTTAACGCCGCTTTTAACAGTATTCCAGTTATATCGCGGCGTGTCAGCTTAATGTGGGAGGAAAGCCCGAAGTGATGCATGTCTCAGACGTTTACCACTTCGGTGAAACCCACGGGCACGGGTATGGAGCTGACAAACCTAGAAACATAATCGGGGCGAACCGGGATTCGAACCCACAATCATAGGTTTCTGGCGCGTCCGAGGGACGCAACTCTGCACAGCGAATCACGGCGCCTTAGACGACTGGGCTACCCGTGCCCTCACCTGACCAGATCTCAAGTCTGCGACCGCTTTGTGCAGCTGAGTCCTGAACTCTTACTGGCGTGAGGTGTAATCTGAGTAAATAAGCACAACACTAGCAATCTTAAACGTGAGAAATCTTTCCCGACCTGATCATAAATCGATATTTGACAATAGGTTACACGAACAGGCATATTTATATCTCACCGTTTGATGATGTAACCCTGATGTTCAGCCTTAACATGAAATAACAATTCTCAACTGAATTATGATGTTAACTATTCGTAAATATTTTCAGGAAGCTCTAGACGAATTCGGGTCAATCATGTACTTGGACCCAACTGCCCGGTTTAAGGGCCCGGACTCCCTGAAAGTAATTCGGAACAGAGGATGGCGGGACTTTATGGTGTGGGACATGCAGGTCCACATGGACGTTGTGGCTTACACAGACCCGGAGATGTTCCGGTACCTACAAGAGGACCGATGTGCCTTTAAAGAAGCGGGCATGATTGACACAGAAATAATAGTTTTGTTCAAGTCAACGAACACTTGGAACCTGTTGATGAAGCCTTGGCTGAAATGTGCCTTCAGTGCGGACTGCATTGCTCCGTCCGGATCTCGACATGACGTTTGTTTTCATATACGTAAACCAAAGACAACAGGTTGTCATAGATACGACCAATCAGCTCTCAGTATAGTTTTGAATAGAGCGTTACAAGTGACGATTGAGAGAAACCGGTATATCCCGCCAAGGATGACTTATTATTCCGAAGAGGAGGTGGTTTTATTCCCAGAGCAACCCTGGACAAATACTCAGTTATTAATTTTACTCGGCGTTCCATTGAGTATAGGTATTCTTTTCAAGTGCGTATGTTTCGGGGGTAAATTTAAGTTTAGGTGATGTTATGGAATCCGTTTTATCTCAGGTATTCGGAACAACGAGTAAATGCGATCTCTGGGGCCAAAGCTTTCCGAATAGGTACTGGTCGATCGAAACAAGTTTTTCAGTCAAGTGATCACGGTATGTTAATCCTACACGTGAAGATGCTTGTCGTTTGGGGCGACTAACGGGATCTGGTGGTCAGGCTCATTGACTTGGTTGTTGCACGTCACCGTTTCATATTGCCCAGATCGATGCTCATGATGTTGATCACTGGATCGTCTGGTCCAGATTCGATTATTGACAGACCGCCGTTATATAGTTGGAATATTGCGGAATGCCGTCTTAAACATAAAAAAACAACCAAAAAACCAACCTTACAATTACAAGTGAAGAATTCGCCCAAAGCTAAAAGCAAACAGCAAAAGCCAGTGCAATATATCATCTCACCTCAAATAAGCAATCACTGGATTGTCTGGTCCAGACTCGATTATTTACAGACCCCGTCATATAGCTGGAATAGTGCTGAGTGCATGTGAAAACAACAAACAAACAATCAAATAAGCCTCTGTTGTTGGTATGAAATACATTAATTCCATCAGATGGACAAATCTTCCAAGAAAACAAAGAAATTATTTTTTTTAGGCACCCTTAACTGGGGGAGATTTATAGAGTGCTTGGGAAAAGGAAACTATTTTAATACATTCAAGGGGTGCAAAATCCCAGTACACTTCTTTTGACTTAGCATACGACAGCACTACTAATATAGACAGTATGCTCAAATTCTAAAATCTAGTATCAGGCATTTCCTTGTAAATTGTAGACAATTTAGTAGACATTAGTACCTGTGCAGAGTTATATCTGGGCACTTATCTGGCGGTCCAGCACAACCCACATTTTACAATATAAAAAGGTCACACACAAACAAATAACAGAGCCCAATTGCCATTTTTTGGTTTCCTGGTATTTCTTCAAACACTTTTCAAAAAGTATAAGAAAACGTTTCAATAAATCTCAAGACAAAATTCCCTTCCCTCCTTACCTACTTTGCTAAGCATCCTTTACCCCTCTTCAGGAACAAAATCAACATTCAGGCTGGTTCAGAAACAGTTCCACATGTGTTTAATTTTGGGCATCAGTAGGCCACATATTTAGTCCCACCAAAACTGTTTGTTTTAGTACAAGTAAATTTCATGCTATTTTTAAATTGCGTATAGGACAGTTTCATTTTTGTAGAGTAGTTCATGTTGTATGACTGAAGATCAACTTTGACAACAGATGTCTACTTGAGCCAAATCATCCACATTGTTGATTAGCCATTCAGGAGTTAGTTCCCTTTATACAGATATACTGCTTGTGTTTGTACATACGTGATCTTCCAGGTGTTCTTTAGGCAAGAAATTGAGATAAGGGCCTGATGTATCAGGGTCTTTTTGATGCTTTGCCACTGTGCCCAACAAGTATTTTTCTTCTCTTTTGTTGGAGTAAATTCATTCAGATGGGCACACAGGAACAGAATTGTATTTGTGTATTGTGAATACATCCATTGAAATTTTACCCAACATCAAAAGCAATACGCCTTGATATGCCTCATATTTGAATAAACCATTACAATGACTAATGCATGTTCTGTTTCCATTCTTATATACCAGTGCGAGATGGTTTGGGGCAGCAGATATTTCAGATTCATGGTAAAGTCATAGTTTATCAGTTTCATTTGAGAATGATAAAATACATGTCTGCAGCCAGTCACTCTTAAGGCCAGGATGACAAGAGTGCTGCTGACAAACCAAGAATATTAATCAGGGCAAATTTGTATTCACACAAACAATGGCATGTCCTGGCACTGCCAAGGGATGCAACTCTGCAGTACCTCATGCTTTTGGACCTCCCTGTCCCAAAGAACACAAGAATGTTTGTTCCTGTTCATACTTCAATAGACTTATGACTGCCGATGTGCTAAAATCCCTTTGTGCCCTGCCATCTACCATTTGTCTACCAGAGCATGCATCAAACATCACAACCATGTAATAAAGACATACAATTAACCAGTCTTAAATGGTTGTCACCTCAAGGTTAGTCATGACCATAACAACACATGGGTCAACAAGGATATCTTTTATTACAGAGACCAATGTTAGTAGTACAGGTGCGAACTCGCTGCTTATACATCAGACAAAGGAAAAACAAAAGGAAAACTCCTGTATAAACTAGCACTTGTATCCTCCACAGTTTCTTATGGCACACCAAGTTCGTGGGAGCGATACCATCACAATCTCAGATCTTAAGCACCACTCTTAAGCTTTGAACATACTTGTATGAAAGGTTAACATTGCCAGACTAACAACGGTGTGTTAAAGTGATGGTGATGTAATGACTCCTTTTTACCCTGCATAATGCTTACTTTTGGTTCAAGAAGCTTCAACACACACATAAATTGAGCCACTGGCAGGACAACTGAACAGAGAGGCAAGTTACCAGTATTGAATAATTAGGTAAAGTCTTGTTTTCTATTACTTAAACATGTTAAAAAAGTTTTTGGTGTTTATTGGCTTGACATGTACTGAATCAGTTGGACGACACGGTTGGAATAGCCGTACTCATTGTCATACCTGAAAAAAAGAGAAACACAGTCTTTACAACAGGGTAACAAAATAACAAGAGGTGAATGGAGATTCATGCTGAGGTCAGCAATAGCACTTTATCTGAATACTCTGTATACAAGCCCAAACCAAGTTTTATTTGACCTTTTCAGCTATTATACTGTGTCCATGTGATCAGTCATATTGGGACAGGACTATTTTCGTTAAATGATGCTGTACATAAGACAATTTGACAGAGCAAAAAATTAATTCAATTCTCACAATGAAACTATAGTGTGTGAATGTTGCTTTTAATGCTTTACACCTAACCAAGTCAGGGCCAAACAAACCAAAGACACACATTCAGCCTTGTCACAGATCAAGTGATTAATCCAAAGAAAAAGTATCTTACCATGAAACAAGTTTGACAAAGTTATCGGTGAGAGCAATGCCAGCCTTGGCATCAAAGATGCTGCTCCTGGCATCACCGAGGAAGTCCTGTGATACAACATCTTCATCTGTGTATCCAAGAATTCCTTTCATCTCATTCTCAGAGGCTTTCTTGACAACCTCCTTGATCTTCTCATAAGATGCCTTAAAATGGGTAAAAAAATATATAACAATTCAAGCATGTTTTGGTTAAAACTGATCAACACATAAACAATGAACATGACTTTTCTTCAACAAAAATAGCCTATTTACTAGTTACTGTTACTATAGTAACTGTAACTTTTCTTGACCTGATACCATTATTTACTTCTTCTAGTTTTAGTTATTTACATAACTATGCAATTCTCATGTTGGAACTCTATACTCTAAGTTGTGTTTGGATGGACATGGGATTCCAACTAATTTAATACTTGCTTGCTCCCAGGTGAGCCATAAATGGCATTCTAATTGCAACCATTGTTATTTTCACGAAACGAATACGGTAGTTTTAACAGTCAGCTTCAGCTGAGGTTTCCATAAACAAATGCAATTTCACGATGGTAGACCTGTGTTGAAATGCATCCCAGATTGTTGCTGCAAGACCGGCATTTAATGTTACAGGGGAAACACAAGGTAGTGAGGACCACTCTAAAATCCAGCTAATGTTCAGAATACTTACCCCTTTCTCCAGTCTGACTGTGAGATCAACCACTGATACATCAGGTACTGGGACACGGAAAGCCATTCCAGTCAACTTGCTGGAAGAAAATGTTTTCATTGCTTTACAAACACATCAAACTGTCTAAATGGGTAACATGGTAAAAACATTTATAACTAGAGTGACTATCTTCTTAACTGTTGCAATAGTAAGCTGATAGTTAAAACCGCAATTACTATACTATTGCAAGGTAGCAACAACTATTGGATTAGTTCTGCGATCATGTCCTGATGAGACCTGTAACCTTACATTCTACATGATGAAATAACAAGTCTTAGATTCATCAGTATTATTTGGGAAGATGCTCAGGAGCATTGTCTCATTCAACCTCATGATGTATTCTGCATATCAAAATAAATAGAAAGGCAGGGTTAGAACTAAACTAGCCTGGGTAAAGAATAACATCCTTGTAATGTCTCCAAAAGCGACAAATTTGGAAAATTGCACTCGCCCGCTGGAATCTTTACTAGCCCCGGGCTAGCAGACAAGTGTTAATTTCTAACCCTGGAAAGGTACATTTTTAACAGATCTATTTTAAATTTTATTACATCGAATGATGCTGTTAATGATATAGCAGATAACTATTGTTCTCTAACTTGCTGTATTGCCATGGTCAGTTACTACTGTGAACCTTCATAAATAAGCACTTTCTCCCAGATAACCACAACAGAATTTAGTGAAGTGATTTTTATTGAGAACAATTCTTCTGACACATCAACAATGTAACACTGGATTATTTACCCTTGGAGCTCTGGGATCACTTTGCCCACAGCCTTAGCAGCTCCAGTAGATGAGGGGATGATGTTCTGGGCTGCACCACGGCCTCCACGCCAGTCCTAGGATAAGGTAAAACAGTCCATATAGTTTACACAGAAAAAACTTCGATCTATAGGATTTTGAACTACACATACAGGGATAGAATTCAGAAAAACAAAATACGGAATTATTACTGTCCCTGAATGGCCTACATCTTGTCACACGCCGCAATGCCTCTAGTTTACTTGATAAGAAATAGGAAATTCCATGCAAATGTCATTTGAATTTTGGAAAGCTTTCAACCAGACAGGTCCCTGTTTCAAGTTAAATTTTAAAAGTCAGGTCTTTCCATATTGCTTACTACAGTAGACTAGGTGACTGACAATAGTTTAACACTGCTTTTAGAAACACCGTGATTTTTTATTTTAAACTAATTTCGCCCAACAGGCAAATACAGAAAAAAAGGGGGGGGATAGTTATAACATGTCTCAAATTAGGTGTAGTATTGTCCCCAAGTTGCAGCTAAAATTACTGCCCTATATATGTCATCATTCAAGGCTACACAAATCCATCAAAGTGGGAGGTACCTTTGAACTGGGGCCATCCACTGTCTTCTGTGTAGCGGTGTAAGCATGCACAGTTGTCATGAGGCCCTCAACAATGCCGAAGTTGTCGTTGATGACCTTGGCGAGAGGGGCCAGGCAGTTGGTTGTGCAGGAGGCGTTGCTGACAACGTTCAGATCGGGTGTGTACTTAGTGTGGTTCACGCCCATCACAAACATTGGAGCATCAGCGGATGGGGCGGAGATGATGACCTTCTTGGCACCACCTTTGAAGTGAGCCTGGACAAAACAAAGAAACTGATAAACTCTTGGTTGACAAAAGCAATAATACAAGTTGTGCCAATAAAGGTATGGTGGCCTTTAATTGAATAATCAAACAGTGTGCGAAATAGCCACATACCCATGAGCCTATCAGTGATCTTTTTATGTTGACTAAAAATTTTAATAAAGTTTTCCCATTTCTATAGATCCCAATACAAAAATTGATAATAAAAATCAATATTACTTTCCGAAATGAATCAAGGCTGCAAGATATGAGTTACCTCCCTTCTTATTGTCACTGTGCCTTTAACAAATGTGTTTTATGTAACTTCAACAATCACAAGCTGTGTTACTCAACAAACATTGACTACCCATGACAAACATTGTGGGGCGAAAACTATTCCGTTGATATAAAACCTTGTGAAATTTGAAACTGGCTAGCAACTTTTAGCGCGAGCCAAGCCACCTGGCCAGCAAGACTTTGAGACAATTTCACATACCGTTATCAAGACTGGGCCAGGTAACCATATTGATAATACCAAGAACTTATCAAGCAAAGTCATTAGCCAACACCTGACAACTGCAATGAGTTCTGTAAAATGTACTAGAAATATGAATTATCATTTTTGATCCATAGCATAATGTGAGGAGCAAGAAGGGGTAAGTTTGTATTTTCCATGCAATCAGACCAATCTGTTTGGCATGGTGAGAAATTGTCTAACCAGCTTGTATCATGATTAGGTCAGGCAACATTCCTGCCATGGAGTTATGAATTTTATTAAATCAGTAAACAACTTCAAACATCACTGAATACATTCAGGGGTTTATGATCAATTGATTAATACTCTACTGCAACATCCCTTCATTTTGTTTATCTGTCAGCTGTTCTAACATAAATATTGAATTTATGGCCTTTATTACAGAGAACAGATGGTAAGGGAAAAATTTCCTTAGAAAACCACACAGCAGCAATATGTAGCCATCAGTCTGTGTCAAAGGACATACTGTGCAATAACAGCTGCTGATAATACCAGTCCACAATCACAATCTTCAGGCCACAGACTTGCACACTATACCATAATCAGAATGCATGCAGAGTGTCACAAATTCACAGATAATGTAGCTTTTGTTCAAACAGAATAACCGTGACAGTTCAGAAATGTTGAGAAAAACCTTGTATGGTGCTGACAAACCAAGGATCATAATCAGGTCAAAAACAAATCAGCACATCCTGGCACATCTAAGGGTAGAAACTTACAGAAGCCTTCTCAAGTGCTGTGAACACTCCTGTTGACTCAACCACATATTCGGCACCACTGTCACTCCATGGGATCTCCTCAGGACCACGTCTACAAAAAGAAATTGCATCAGTGTTTGCATGAAAGAACAAAAGGTTGCGGCTACTGACGACAGATAAAAAATCTAAAACTGCTGACTCTGAAACAGATATGTTTCTGCTGTACCAGGGTTATCCCTGAAGACAACACCATAGGGCTGTCATAGATTGGAAATTTCTGTACTGTTATGTCAAACTGTTTACCTGTCCCTCTGTTCATAAGCCTTCATATTCGAAGAGCAAATGTCTTATTTCATGATGTTGGTAAAATGTCAAACATGGAATACAAGAGCATATTTTGAGTCCTGCTAGATCTAATGTATCAGATTTTAAAAACTTCTACGAAAAATATCTGCCTAATCATGCAAGTGGATACAAATGGGATGTCTTATAAGTTGAGATTGACAGCGTATTGAAATTGGAAAACCATATTAGCCTTGTCTTTACCATGTTTACCTGTTTACAAAGATAGTTTTGATGACATTAAACAAAATTTGCATGCTATTTATAACAGCAAGTGTATATTGATCAAGAGTACCATATGGCATCCTGTCAATAAATATCCACTGTGCATGCAAGATGCAATGTATAGCTTCATTTACTGTGATGACTCAACATCTACTTCACTGATCAATACCATTTAACATCAAAACATCATTAGACAGCGTTAGACATGTTAGAAATATTGGCACTAGCAGTGTCCGAAAATACTGCCTGCCCACTTGCCAGTGGCTTGTAACTTTTCTGCTGGGCTGCCAGAAATTTTCCTCCACCAACCCTACTGTCTGGTACATAGTTTAAGACTACTTTAGTATTCGGTTTTATTATAACTCCTTGTAGATTTTGAAGTAATTGTTCACATTATTTCAACTGAATACAGATGTGATTTGTCTTAGTTTTTGTGATATTTCAATATTCATTATGTCTGAATGCGGGCTGGTAACTTTGAATATTGCAGGCAACACCTATGTGTCACCTGCCCGACTGTCTTGCTGGGTATTAAAATTATTTCAAACACTGGGCACAAGAAATTTGCCCTTTTTAAGGGTTTTTATGTTAAGATTATAAGGACTAGTGGATTAAAACTTTTAGTTTCTCTCGCTGCATCATGGACATAACTTCGGGTCCAAGATTATTGCACTTATAATAGGGATGTGCATGCACATGTGTGGCTGCTTGAATGATCCAGCAAATACAGATTTTATAGTACAATGCCAAAGTTTAACATGAACACCCCACTCAGACACAGTATACTGACTAAGCTGGCCATATAAAACCCCTCAATGCAGAGCACTAGGCTGGGTAAAAACAATTATTACCTATAAACATCTTTTGCTATGACGCGACCGGGGATTGAATCTCGGACCTTCCGCTCTCCAGGCGGACGCTGTACCACTAGACCACCGAGGCTGTCCACATTACATTTAGAGACTGCACACCGAAAACCAAGCTACATCACATTGTGTAAGTGTCAGTATTTTGTTTAATTATATTGCTGTATGTTCAAGTTAGAGTAGTAGTAATTTTTGGTTAATTGATAGAAGTTTTTCTGTTTACTTACTTGCAGTAAACATCAATGGGACTGCCATTGACAATCAATTTGCTTCCATCTGATGACACCTCTCCTTTGAAACGTCCATGTGTTGAGTCATATCTGAACATGTACACCTGTTGAACAAATTAAATAGCAAATGTGAGAACTGTTTCTTACTATGATATTAACAAATCATCATAACATCCTCTGCATGATTAGAGCTTCAGATCACTTCATTTCTGACAATGACCAACTGTCACCCAAAATCATTTACTGTATTCAACGTAATAAGCACCCAGGACGCTCTCAAAATTAGAAATAGGGGGCTCTTATTAGAATATTATTTTGGTGAAAAAAACAGTTGAAAGATTAATTTCGTGGTTTCTGCTGACAGCCTGAAATGTTTATATACGACAAATATATTTTTCCAGAATTTAACTGCCTATAATTAAGGGTGCATATAACACACGAGTGGGTATATTGTACATGTTATACGGCATTGAATAGCTGGAACAATCAGAAATAGAAATAAAGCAGCATGTGTCATTTTCCAAACCCAGCCCTCAAAGTTAGGTCGCCATTCATAGATTTAAGTCGCATTTGGCAACCAAAATTGTCGCTACTTAGAGGGCTGCACCCTGAAAATGATAATGAGGACCTGAGTGATTTCAATTACTGTTTTTTTAACAAATGTTCCAAAGCCTCAAGTTGATGGGATGGTTAGCCTTTATCTGCATATTTGTTTAATGTATTACCATATATTCAAGTGAGATGAAAGGGTCATTGACTGCAACAACAGGTACCCCAGCATCAATGCATGAACGTAGAACGAGACGACCAATACGGCCAAATCTGAAAAAAGGTAAGCAAGTATATAAATGTGTATCAAGTGTGCCACAGGACATTCTTATAGAAGGTTGTTAAGTGTTGGATTTGGAAGTAAAGAATACATTTGATCCATCTTCGAACTTGGAATGTGATTTCATCAAGGCTTTCTAATGAGAAGATATATTTAAAAAAGATTGCCCACTTCCTGTTCACAAAGTTATTATTGGTATCATATTGTGCATTTAGCATGTTAAGCACATTCATCATTTGCCATGTGGTTGTAATACATTTGTGCAAAAGTGCATTTATCACTGGTTTCACATTATAAACATTGTCATATATTCTTGTTTAATAAAATTAATCAAACATAAGTATGCCCTTCAGGCATCGAGAACTTATTTTATATGTGTCATCAGAACCGTTAGTCCTTTAAACTAAAAGTTTTATCAACATGATCAAAGTAATGAACGTGATGAATTTATCAGTTATCATCTATACACATTGGAAAACCCACCAAAAGTAAAACTTTTCTTAATTATCTGTTCAACATTCTGACTCAAGCCAAAACCAGAGGCTTACCAGCTGTTTTAATGGCTGTAACCATGGTAACCCAGTCGCATAACAGCTGTCGGTAATTATTTCCATGTTCGTCATAATTTTTTTTATAGTTATAGGTGTCAGAGACATATAATAAATCTAAAGGAAAAAATGTACAAGACTAGCTTGTACAGCCTGAGGTAGTGGTAAAATGATCTCACCCGTTGATTCCAACCTTGGGGACGCCCATTGTTTGTTTGGGGGATAAGTGAATTCAAGATCCTGCAAAAGATGAAAACACATTAACCAACAAATGACATCACATGGTCAACAAATGTTCATAGTTCATAATTAATAATATTCAGTTAGTGAGTTGGTTTTAACGCCGCTTTAACAGTATTCCATTTATAACGCAGCGTGTCGGCTTAACGTGGGAGGAAAGCCTGAAGTGATGCAGGTCTCAGACGTTTACCACTTCGATGAAACCCATGAGCACGGGTATGGTGCTGTCAAACCTAGAAACATAATTGGGGCAAAACAAAGGTTTCTGGTGTGCCCAAGGGACGCAATTGGGCTGGGCTACCCGTGCCCCCTCATAATATTCAGGCAAGTGATTGGTGATAATATGACTGAAAGCTGGGGTTCTGGAGGCTGTACGCCAACAATCTGAACTAGAAGGAAATTGTGAGTCAGGGGGTTGGGAAGGGAGCTAGCAAATATTACCAGATTACATGCCATATTTTTTTACCACTAAATGAGAATATTTTACGACACCCTAAATCATTCAATAAGGGAAAGTAACTGTACATTTCAACAGAAACTGCTTCAAATATCCAGGTTTCTTGCATCGGGTCCAATAGTAACCCTGTGTCATCAGTCATGTTATATTTAGTCACTGAAATCTGGTACTATGAATCGTGCTAATGGGTGAAAATCTCAATGTGATCCCACCCTAGCAATATGTCTATCCCTACCTTTCAGTTAAAAAATTTGAACCAACACTACAATGAAATAAATGAGGTGTTCTAAACTACATTTTTACAAAATAATACTCATAAACCATTATAAAAGCATTGGGTGAGCATGTAGGACATCAGACACAAAAAGAAAATCATGTAGGCAGGGGTGTCCCAATGACATCACTCAACTCCATTACAAGTTTTGTTTTGAATCAACCTGATCAAAGGGGAGTAATTATGTCTACTTCCTTCCAAAGTTAACGCCAAGCCTTTTCAACCATTATCAAGGGCAGGAAGGACCTTTTTGAGGAAATTCCAACATCCCAAACAATCTAGATGTCAATGGTGAGTAGAATATGGTTTTGAATGTAAGTCAACACCGTTACCTAAATGTATTAAAGAAAGCACTGCACCAAATGTTTTTTGTTGTTTTTTTCAAAATACTTACTCTTATAATCACAAATACAAGTTCATGGACAAGTATGACTTTTTTTCTATGTTATGGCAGTGATGGTCCATGTGGTAAAATACATATTAACATGGACACTCAGAAATGTCAATATCTAACCAACAATCTACAACGCGATGGATTTAAAGATTCAAAGAGCAGGGATTTATCTAGACCTGCTTGGAGGCTGATTGATATTTGCCCCCAAATGTGCAGTAAATGGCAGCAAAACGCCCACATCATGGAATTGAAACATGTCCCAACTTATGATGTTATACTTATGACTCATGTTTGTCTTTGTGACCATTCTCAATCAAACAGGATGCATATTTTGCATATGGTAAAGAATTATGCCACAGTTATTTGTCAATGTTCAAAATAAAGGGGGTGAGGTAGATTTTGAATCAAGGGTCTCCTAAATCTTCAAACATAGGGCCATCACTCATGACAAGGGGCCGCTTGAGTGACTTTCATGCTTACATGCTCACATTGTGATATCACAACACTGACTAAGTGACAATCAACAACCAAGTACTGAAACCAAATTTATTATTTTTCACAAAGTCTGAAACATAATTAATAAAATAACCCCATTATTATCAGGCTAATTAGCTAGCATATGTATCCATCTTACCTAATCAGTCCCAGACGAATTCTGTGATTCCCAGATCATGGAAAAATTTGCAGAAAATTTAACTTTAATCACAGAATTTGCCCTTTTTATCAATCATTACGGTAATTTTCATTATTTTAAAGCTTTTCAATAAAAACAATAATCACTTGAATAATAACCAAACATTTAACACGCGATACAAACAAACAACATGTACAAAGTATGAATCATACAATAAAGAAGAATTGGAAACAAATAATTCTCACTTTAAAAAGTTCATCTGATATAACTACATAAACTAAGTTTACCTTGTTTACATCTAACCATAAATAAGTATCAGTGACACCACACATGAGTATGTATCAATTTTTAGGGGAATATGGTTGTTTTTACGGCAGAATTGTGTAATTTTAATTCCCAAATGTAGGTAATTTTACTTACTCACTGCAGAATTTTGAAAAGTTTACTGCAGAACTTGCCTGGGACTTCCCAATGAACCTTTCCTGTCACATTCAATGCCAACTAATGTGATGAAAACTAACAATAGAGACAACACTGCAGCACACACAACCCCATTGATCATGCATGTACTTGGAAAATATCTGAATAGCAACATCTTGTCCATCATAATTATCAGACCGTCATGAAAACAAGTTTACATAACTGGAACAAGAACAAATCATCAATCACTGCTCTCTAATATTCAGGATGGATTCCTTGATTGGAGACAAAAGAACCAGGCAGCTCAGCAATTAACACCAAATCTACTGAAATAGATAAGCCAAGTTTGGTCTAGTAATCATGGTAATACTCAAACATTCATTAACACAGCTTGTACAGTTGCTAATCCTGTTCATTTATAATATGGAATGTTACATGAACTCCAAAGAAGTGAACTGACCCTAATTTAGGTGAGGTGAAATGGGGTTAAAGGTGAAGTTTATTGCAATTTTACAGCGACATTCATGTATGTGTGTGGCTGCTTGTACTCGTCCAGACTAATGTAGATTTAATGGTGCAAGCCCACAGAGATACCATGTTGCAATGAACATGACCATCCTACTCAGCAGTGTTTAAAATCATTTTAAAACCTAACAAGACAGTCAGCATAAGTGTTGCCTGCTCATATTTAAAGTCACCTGTAGCATTCAGGCATGATAAATATTGAATTTTTTCCCGCAAAAACAAGACAATTCATGTCTTGATTCAGTTGAAATAATGAATCTACAAGGAGTTAAAATAAAAATACGTAAGTAGTCTTAAAATCATCTACCAGATAGTTGGACATGTGGATGAGAATTTCTTGCAGCCCAACAGAAAAGTGACAAGCCACTGGAAAGCAGTTATTCCGGACACTGCTACTCAGACACAGTATACTGACTGACACGACCACTCCTTGTTTTAGCCAAGCACCAGACAGGGTAACAAAAAGTACCATCTTTTAACATTTTTTCCCATGAAGAGGCTGGGGATTGACACTATCCACGAGACTATGGAGGCAGTTCCCAAATTTAGGAATACCTGCTTTTATTACATACTTCAGTGTATTTTGAAGTTGAGAAAAGTGATATTTTAATTGCAGTGAACCTAACACTTCATATTTCACTGCAGTGAACATAACACTCTGACAGAACTATTTTCATACAAGACTGTGCAATTCAAGCGTGTATTCTTAAGCTTCCAACAGCAGTCTCATAGATTTCAAGAATATTTTGTGTATAATCATATCTAAATATAAGATAAAGAATTTTCGAAACCCCTAAATATGTTTTGTTCACCCTGTGCTATGGCCGGGTCAAATTAATAATCAAGTTTGAAATTAAAATAATTCCAGGACTACAGACCTGCTTTAGAACTAGGACTGGGATCACAATGACAGTCAGACCTCAGTATTACCAGCTGATTACGGCACAAAAACCGCAAAAGGCAGCTGTTGAAGTTACTTTCATATTCCGAGTTAAAGCAGTGTATGAAGACAATTTAAATGACCTGACCTTGTTTACAAGTGAATAAACATGATAAGGTGACCTAAAGGTTGACCCATCAACAGGATCAAGGTCATGTTATGACAGACATGTTATTATCATAGAATTCTAGGTTGTTTCCCCCTATTTTCCTATGGCAGTCAGACACACAACCTTACTACACAAATTTTGGAGAGCAGTGCTATCTATCATGATCTATTTGGAACACTTATGATAAAATTACTGCACATAGACTGACCCTAAAAATAACACAACCAAAAGTAACCATGCTAACCGTAAGTTTGACACAGCAAATATGAGCTGAGATATTGAGTATAAAGTATTGTACAATTCTAAAACCAAATGATACTGACTGTAAATACTAAAATCCGCAAGAGGACCCATTTGTCTAGTAAAATGATACAGGCAACTGATGGTAAAGACGGTAAGCCAACCAAGATGAGAAAAATGAGTCAGCAGGCAGCTATGTGCTGCACACTGCAGTGTGTAATTGTGCCTTTTACAAACGATTGAAAGGAAAATAAAATTCTATTGCAAACAGCTGAAATATTACGCAATCACTGAACCATGGATGTCTACACGGGTGGCAGATGTTCAAGTATTTTCTGAAGAGCAACACGTCAAATTGGCAATCAATCCCCAATAACAATTTCACTATACTGAAGATGACGCCCATGTGCTTCAGCTGACACGCAATAAAACAAATAAAACATGGACGCTTTGAAATCACATAGGTTTTTGTGGACATAATGAACTTGAATGACACTTATTCTCTGAAAGTATATAATTTTTTTTATAGCAACAAGCAACTACATTTTAATTAAAGAGGAGCCCGAGCGAGATGGGATTACTTGCTTCATTTATAATTACTGTAAAATAACAAACTTCCGGAACTGGGACGAGTGAACGTGCGAGCATACACGTAAAAATGAGCCTAAAACGCGAATAGGATGGGTGCTCTACCGATTACACAACTGCAGACTTCCCCAAGGTCAATGTCATTTTGCATTCGTCCTTGACAAGCCGGTATGTCTTCCAAGGTTAACGAACACTAAAGACCGCAATATATGCAGTTCCATACAACTAAACAATATATGGTATGGTACACTAAGACCGATTCTGCTTCACTGCTATTTTGACATGACCATATTCATGTAGGCCTAGACTTATTGACGGATTATTGTCTGGTGTCGTCGATGCTTGTTGTTGTTCCGTGGACCGTATTTAGAGTAAATTAACTATGCATTGCAAAAAAGAACGAAAACATGATACAAGAAATGTTAAAACATGAACTACATTGTCAATTAAACACGTTATTTTAAGGAAAGAAATCAGCACGCTACCTGTCCGGTTCAGACGTCGGCGAAAGAAGGCTGACACAAACGCGGTGCGCAGGTCCGGAAGCAATATTTGTATGACCTTGTGTATGCGCACGCACCTGTCGTCTGCTCGTCTCTTTGAGCGAGTCCGTCTCAGTTTGGTGCTGACATGCCACATATGCACAAACTGCAGTTCTTAGGATGGCATGCGTCGTGCTATACATATGCCAAATATAAATTACCAGATGAAACCTAATATGTGTGGTCAATGTATTACGCATCGGGGCTAGAAAGTCGGAATTTGGCCTCATCAATAATAGCAGATGATGTTCCCAGCTGGTTATCGTTATTGCTTATACTATTCAACATTTGTTAAGGACCACACCTTACTGAAGATGACTATTTGAACCTTAGCAAATGTTGAGTAGTATAGTTCGTACATTTGCTTCAATCTCTGGTTTGCTTTGTTTTGTTGTTTAACGCCGCACTCAGCAATATTCCAGCTATATGACGGCGGTCTGTAAATAATTGAATCTGGGCCAGACGATCCAGTGATTGACACCATGAGCATCGATCCACGCAAAATATTGGGATACGATGACATGCATCAACCAAGTAAGCGAGCCTGACCACCCGATCCCGTAAGTCGCCTCTTACGACAAGCGTCGCCTTCTACAGCACGCATGGGTTGCTGAAGACTCTGGAGATTGGTTTCTGGGTCTATCAATCTACGTTGCGGTATGCAAAAACATTCTCAGGCTACACCTAGAAAAGGCAAATCGCCGCTCCCTTTTTATATATAAAGGCAGAACGTCCATATAATAAAATTTTCACACATTGATCTCTTGCTAATAAATAAGCTATCTAAGATACCACCGATGCCTGATGAAGAATTTATGAAGGAACACTAGGCCTATGTTATTCTAGATGGACACAAACAATGTCTGAAATAATGTTCAACAGCACTATCCATCCGCTCAAGTAAGATATTTATTTACTATGAATATAACCAATTTCAGATTTAATCCGGACATCGACAGAAACCTATACTCGCCCACTCACGAAACACTTAATTATTTCTAGTCTAATTTGGTAATCTGCCAATACGCAAAATTAACACGCATGCACAATCCTCATCCGGCCTACGCCATTTAAAAATTCGTCTGCTAGAGGTAACTCAAAACAAACCGTCCAGTATCGGTTTTTCCAACTTGACTGCCACGCCCCATGTTTTTTACGAAACCAAATACAAGGAGAAATTAATCTGGTAGCAAATGTTGTTCAACAAGATTAAAACATTTTGTTCATGATTTTATTTCTTTTTGGAGTAATATCTTTCCATGGGGAAAAAAACCATCAAAACTCATTAATTGTATAATGCGCACCCCCTTCTACACGTACTGTACAGCTGTGTTTTTTGGAGAAAAAAAGTGCGCACTATACTCAAGAAAATACGGTATACACAAACAATAAGTTTACTGAATATAGTTCACATGCAATCTTAAATACATAAAAGTTTCAAAGTACGTCTATGGATAATAACAAACAAAACTATTCCAATGTCAGGATGCTTCGACATCTTATTTGGATTGTGCAAGTTCGTGGGTTTAGACGAATAGATAGTGACAGAGTGACCAAAATTTCATGAACTGTGTGTATTTACATTGTGAATATGATATATTTCTGTTGAGGTAAAATGAATCGGTTATTTCTTGTTTGATGTGTTGGAAATTTGGTATGGAGTCGGAAATGTTTGATTTGAATATATTCTGCTTTGTTACAGTTATAATATGATTTAATACATCATTTCGTTTTTGTTGATATCCTAATAAAATTGTCAATTTTGAAAACCCTAGTTCAATACAAGCTTTGTCTTTGATCCATTTTGCAAGGTTGCTCAAGACATGTGTTACAATTCCACACTCAAAGAACATGTGCACTAAGGTTTGCTTTTCACGTTTACGACAATTGCAAAGAAATGATTCTCTATATCCCATTTTGTACAGTAACTCGTTTGTTGGTATAACTCTATGAATAATACTGTATTGGAACCATTTGTGGTATAAGGACATATTATATCTGTAGGGGCTACGATTAATCGTTTGCCAATCTTTTTTCCGTTATGTTAAGGCCGAGGTCTGGTTCCCATCATTGAATGTATTTTTTGGATATCATATTGTTGGATACCGTATTTAATATATCATAAAATATTTTCCGACCCCCAACTTTTGCACATAGTTTTATCAGAGAAGCGTTCTGAGCCTTTCCACAACACTTGACTTTTGCTTGTGTTAATTTTTGTGTTAAGACTAGAGTGAGTATGGCTTTACGCCGCTTTTAGCAATATTCCAGCAATATCACGGCGGGGGACACCAGATATGTGTTAAGATTAGAACTTCACTCCGAGTCAATATAATTAATTCGTCAGAGAGACAAGCCCATGGTCACGCGAAATACTGATTACAATGTGATGCATTTAGCCTTATTTGTGAAGTGAACATTTTCTTTTTGAGATGGAAGAGAAACGATTAACGTTTGCGACTTGAGTCACTAGTCTGAAGCCTGAGTCTAGTGAAATCGTCTTGGAGCTTGTAAGCTCAGATTACAATAGTCAATATAATAACGCAAAGTTCTACTTAAAATGATACCAGGAGCCATGTTTGTCTAGTTTTGATGCAAATGTTTTTGGCAGACTTTGTTTGTAAGTTAAAGCTTATAAGATAGAATATGTAGTTAGCCAGTCGGGCTACCAAGATTTTATTCCGGTTTTAAAGAAAACAACAAAATTCGTGTCATGGTCATCAGACCTGGCAGCATGGGAGGTTGATTGTGCAATGACCCACTGGGACACTAGGCCTAGGCCCAGTTGTGTTCAGGTTGCCATGATACAGACCCATATCAAGAAAAAGAGATTAAAGCAGTGTATAAAAAATCACGAAAATTTCAGTCGGACAACCGGACTGGCAACATTGCAAAGCTATGAGACCAGATAAAATGTTGCCAGTTCAGAATTTTCTATGCTTACGAACAAAAGTAACAATAGGGTAAACATAAGAATAGTACTGTTTAATGTAAGTTTTCAGAACATAACAACAAACTGGTGGATTGTCAACTTGGCAACTTTAACTCCTGACCGTGCAACTTTTCAAAACTGACCGTCCGTCAGCCAAATAGACCGTATCGGGCTGTCGGGAAGGCATCTATAAACACTCATAAAATGATTTGGTTTGTTTGTTGTTAAACGCCACACTCAGCAATATTCCAGCTATATGCAAACAAACAAACATCCGAGGAGAATATTGAAAATGAAGCAACACTAAAAAAAACAGGTACATAAAAGTCAAAGGGCATAGTTGAATCAGAAATCAAAATACGCCAAAACTGTATTATATGTTATTTTGAAAACCATATACTTGCTGCAAATAAAATTTCATTATGATACATGTAGAAATGGCCGAGTAATGGATCCGAATTTTGTGAGGACTTTCTTTTTCCAGACACCATATCTATAGGTCGCAAGAGCTAAGGAAAGATGGAAAAGTGCCATGACAAAAATAATAGGATAAATTTAGGAAAGCTGGATATGTAACTGGCATGTGGATTGTAGGTAACAGTTTTAAACACACAGTAGGTCTTGCTTTAGAATGTTTCTTTCAGCAGATTGTATCAGTATGTACTACTATTTTGTAAATCAAGAAAATATTAAATATATATATGAACAGAATCAAAACTGAAAATAGTAGTTATAAGAGAGAGTTGGAAAACCGCAAACCAAAGACCATAATCAGGCCAAGTTGGGGGTTCAGATCCAAGATCATGGGATCCTGGCATGGGAAAGGCACACAACTCTGCACAGACAATTTGTCTACTGGACCAGCATATGCATGGAACTCTGCCTTAGACATGACAAACATGTTGGTGTGCAATGATGTACAGTCTCATCTCAGAATAGAGATTTGATATTTCCTCGTAGTTTAACAGAAGCATGCATAATTTCCATCTATTGTGTAACCCAACACCATTTAAGCTGACTCAATTGACTGTTGCTTGACTTCTGAGATGTTAGAGAGTCGTAAACGAGTGACTGTACCTTATGTCTTGGCAATGTTGAGTTACCTTTAGTACATGAAGGAAAATATTCTGGGACAAAAACAAACAATCACATCAGCAATTCATGTATGTTTATTCATTTTTTTTATTTTAAAAAATCAACAATAATCATGTAAAATGATCTGGTGTATATACTAATTTATGTTCATTTGTTATATATATAGTTGTATTGGGTACTTAAATAAATCAAAATGCTAAATACAATGCCATTAATAGTTTTCGAAAATTACAAATGTCATTGGGTCCCTGTCAAAAACCTCATTTTGAAAAGAAAGATTTACAGAGTGTGTGTAGAATACAACCATGGCAGGTAAACCACAAAGGACGGCCTTACATTTAAAAACAATATAATATCAGGACAGATAACACTGTCACCAAAGTTGCTTTGGCAGCATTAGCCAGTAATGTCAGGTGGACAGGTTTTCCTGAACTGTCCAAGCTGACTATTTGGAGCCTTTCATGGTTGGATGAGGGATCTGGTAGTGGATCATGACTGGTGGTTTTGAGAAGGGAGCTAACTCTACTAAACTAATAGACAAATAATTCAGTAGGCCAAAATTTGAAACTACACATCACTGAAAGGAACTGTTACGACAGAAGCACCAAATGTATAGAGATTATCATACTCGCATGTGTGTCATACTGATTTTACGAAACGAGTGTCAGAAGTCTTGTATTTCCCGATTTCGTAAACTCAGTATGACACACATGTGAGTGTAGTAATTTCTCTATTACCCATTAATTCTTTATCCATCCACAAGTGCACATACCATTTGTATGAATTAGGTAATTTCTAAACCTATGGGTAATAAAAACTCCTGAACACTCCTGACATCAGATTCCCGAGGCAAGGGCGTTAACTGACGACAAAAGTAGACAGTCAGTTACCTCCCTTGCCTCGGGAAGCTGCCCTGACATAGTCTCACACTGCCATGAACATGCTGATTCATTTCATCTGAGACCAGAGAATTACTGTAAGTACTTCATGGATTTGATGACTTCGCTGAAAAACTAGTTGCAGTGAAATCATACACATATTATTAGTGTTGAACTTTTTGGGGTCGCCAAGATTCAAAAGCCAGCAAACCTCCACATCATGACCCTCCTTAAGTTCTAACACTGGCAGACACACCCATTCATCCTGAGAGGTCAGTTTCACAGCCAAACAATTTGTGTCTGTATGAGTGAGCAGTACTCTGTATTCTAGAGTTTCGAGGGGGAGATATACGCAGTAAAAGGTTCTAATATGATCAGTTCACTTGATCCAATATTTCCCTAAAAAGTTAAGATATATTTTGAATTGAGGTTGTAAACAGATTGTTATGGAAGCAGTCCAACACTAATTGCAAGGGATGACAATTGTCTTTGCATCTTTTGAATTTTTAAATTTTATTTTTCAGTTTGCCAAGGGGCCCTTACCAAAATATGCTGTTTCAGGGCAATATGCCGCCAGCTAGTACCAGTTTCTGTGAGCTAGTACCAATTTCTGTGGGACTGAACCAGTTTATGTGGGCTAGTACCAATTTCTGTGGAACTGAACCAATTTCTGTGGGCTAGTACCAATTTCTGTGGGACTGAACCAATTTCTGTGGGCTAGTACAAATATCCGTGTGGGCTAGTAAAATTTTCTAATTTCCCCATTGTTTTAACATTTACAGGGAACTTTATCTTTAGTAAAGCTTTTGAGTTTAGTTCTAGCTCTGTATGGTGGTCCCCTGGTCCAATGTTTCCTGTACCGGGCTCCTCGTCACTCCAGTCACATCAGCCCTAAATATTTACATCAATTTGAAGCTCTGCTCATTTCTTAGAAACATCTGAATCCTGGACCCCAAGACCCAAGCTATTCAGCTGAAGCATCTTGGCGTCACCGTCCCCCATAGTGGCCATGGTGATCTGGCTCATCTTCCCGAGGCAAAAGTCCAGTTGCCACCCCTGCCGAACTAGGCTGGAATTATGGAGTTATAGTTTGGCTGGACTAACAAGTCTATACACATTCCAATCAAAATCGTGCAATGAAATCAACATTCGGTTCAACATTCATGCAGATTTTGTTTGAGCAAATGAAAGTGTTATGCATGAGAGGTGGAACTTGATTGGTTAATAGGAGGGACATAGAAGGGACAAAACTCGTTATAGCCACTCGTGCCGCTACTATGGAGACTAGAAATTCCAGCCTAGTTCAGCAAGGGTTGAAACTTGACTTTTACAGTCAGTTAACTCCTTGCCTCGGGAAGATGGGTCACATCCAGCAGACGCAATACACAGTCTTATGTTATTCTGCAGGCAGTACTTTATAAGGATTGAGGATACCATTTGGATCAAGCCCCTTTTTCATCAACCTCATGATGTCCACAGCTGCCCTAGATTTCGTGTGGTAGATGTAGTTGCGTTTCCACAAGCCAAGGCCATGTTCTGCGCTGACACTGCCGCCATGCTGTGATACCCAGTCGTACACAAATGGCTCGATCAAATCCAGAATTTCTTTATTGAATTCTGAAGATGTGATATTCAGGTGTAGGTTTCCTGGAAAAGTTAGTTTAGGCATGTTTGACAGATTTTCTTCATCAATATGCCAAGAGATATAATAATAGTGACAAACAAGAGTTATCAGAAGATGACAAATCCCCCCAGCCCCCACAATAGCAAAATAGCACCAGAAACGAAATACGGACAGACATACAGGTGGACCAGATGATGACTCTATCCCTCTGCATAATAAAAATGGAGCCACAAGACAATGTAGCTAACCTAATGTATTCTTGAAAATTGGCATACCATTTAAAAGGGTAAACAAGAATAAAATAGGTAATAGATGGTTCTAGAAAAAAAACAGCGTGGATATTTCATAATGCTACACGTAGAAATGAATTCTGTGCAAAAATGACATTTTGATATGGCAACCTTTATTGAAAACAAGATTGGGATGTTGTTAGCAAATTTTAAAGGGGCACTGATCTAAAGCAATTCCCCGGGACTGGTGGTTGCCTTTGTTATTGTTTTTTCCCTGTGAGTACCCGGATGATACGCAACGCAACTGAGCGTGACCAGAGACTGGGCTACCGTCTGCAAGGACAGCTAAATAAACTTGCAATATTTGTTTTACTCATTTTTGAACACTGATTGGTTAACCGTGATCTATAAAGATTTCGACAAAGGGCGCATGTTAATTAATTTCTTCAGCCTAAACAAACTGACAAAAAGAAGCTCATCGGATGTCGTCATTTGGAAATACATGTAGTTATAGTTTAATAATAAAAGAGTGTCCATGCAGTGAAAGCATTTTCGGATTGCGTCGATAATACGATTACTACTCCCTTGTTGTCATCCACGTTTTCTGGTATAACCCTACACTTGTGTATTTGTCGTCATTCACTTGATGCTCAGTTAATGAATTTATTACAGGTATAATTAGTGGTAGCACCGCTAAGAATACCAGACAAAGGTTCCCATTTGGCATTTATTGTGTCTGGGGTAATTATTTAATCTAAATCCAGGTTTCAAGTGAGGTGAAATGTGTGTTATGTAATATGCACGTGGCAGCCCAGCAAGAGATGAATGATCAGTTGATTTACTTTTTTTGTAAATCAGCTGATCATTCGTAGTCATCAAAGGATTAACAGAAAATACACTGATTGATTAATCACTGTTATCTTGCACAGTGGATATGTCAAAAGTGAGTGTTTTACTAAAACAAAGGGAATACACTCATATCATGGCGTGAAGTGCCGATGTAAAAACAACATACTTTGTTCAAGAGTTAACCGATAATATGTTGATTGATTGCTCATTGTTATCTAACTCAATGGATCTTTTTAGGAACCGTGGACGTTATGAAAATTGTTTTCACGTGGGCTTTCTCAGCCGACCATTTAGACATGACACCTATCTGAAACACCTGAAACAATCTAAGTGATCAGTTGAGAAACAAACACGGGTTATAATATTCCGAAATGATATATATTTAAAAAAATATTTGATTGTGACAGAGACACGTGACATCAAATAAGTTTCTATGTACAGCTGCAGACGTGTGGGATATTGTTCCTTTGTGTGGATATTCACGGATACATTCCTCGAACAAGGAAGCTGCCTAAAATTACGCACATAAATTTGGTAGGTTGTAGTTATGATATTTGCATTTTGTTTTCCTTCATTTGCTGCAGCATTGGACAGATTCATTCTTGTTCCTCTACATCTTGGTTTGGAAATTCTTCGATGCGCGATAGACATTGTTTTCACAAGTCCTTTCCTTTGTAAGCGTGTATATATTACAGTCAAGTTGTAAAATGTGATTCTCTCAGGCAATTTATAAAATGTGTAAATATTTTAGTCTTTTTGACTGAAAAATCTGTCCATTTCTTTAACAGATTGACTAAAATTGATTAAGACGATCACAAGGGCCTATAATCATCCCAATACATTATTATGTAGGATTAGAAGCCAAACAATATAAAAATGTACTTTTCATCGCAACATTTTCAGTCTCTTGGTGATGATATTAAACATAAAAATGTCAAGTCAAAATAGTGTAAACGAAAATCGCACAATTGCCAAGCAAGTGACTTCTTCACCATTACCGATGCTACCCACAAAGATACCTACATTTCCTTATTATTTTCAAAACTGTATTTCATTTTGTTGATAGATGTGACCATACGCCCTTATACTATCAATAAAAGTGACAAATGTGCTTACGAATTGCGCAGCACAGGTCGCGAACTAGTCTAGGTTTCAGCTATATCATCCGGGTACTCACGAAAAAAAACGATAACAAAGGCAACAACCAGTTCCGGGGAATTGCTTTAGATCAGTGCCCCTTTAAAGGCAACATTGATTAACATATGCAAACTTTGACAAAACAGTTATAACATATTCCCATCCCTTGCTGCATAATACATTTCATAATGCACACAAAAACTATGGTAATCAGCACAAAATATCCAATATGGTGGTCATGTTTATATGGTGGTACTAGCTACACTGAGCAGTTTCTTAGACTCCATACATGAGATTATACTTGCAAAGTTTCAGCATAATGGGCCTTGTGGCTTTTGAGGAGATGTCGGAAATGGAAATGTTTATGACAGACAGATGAAACTTAGGATCTGTCATGAGTGGCATGAGTTTGAAAGACAGATTAACCAGGCCTCTAAAAATGAGCAAGTTCATGGCCAAAGATGAATCTTTAGATTGAATGGTTTTGTCCTGTCTTTGAAAATTAGCTTAGATCAAAGACTGATGTTGAAATATTTTTTTAAATGTCAAACATCCAAAATCATTGACCTGGGTTTGATTCCCACATGGATAAAATGTGTGAAGCTCATCTGATGTCCCTTCAACAGACCATTCCTGAAAGCAGCTGAAAACCCAACTCAAAACAGCTCCTATTAGTTGTCCTCATTTCTTGAAGTAGGTAAATCTAGATGCCAATAAAAGGCCCATATCAAAACAATTAAATCTCTTAAATTCTTTCTCCAATCCCATTAAAATCATAGAGTGAATTAGTGAGTGAGTATGGTTTTACGCTGCTTTTAGCAATATTCCAGCAATATCATGGCGGGGTACACCAGAAATGGGCTTCACACATTGTACCCATGTCGGGAATCGAACCTGGGTCTTCAGCGTGACGAGCGAATGCTTTAACCACTAGGCTACCCCACCGCCCCTCGCTACACAGACTTCTGAGGACATGCAATTACAAGTTAAGCCAGAACTACACATTTAATGAATGGGTAGTTGACATTACGCAATCAGAAAGCAGCCCTCAAGTTTTACGGAACTAGTTTCAAAACGGTGGCCTCCTTTCCAGATTAGCTTTGAAAATTATTTTTACAAAGTTCTCGATTCAAAATTTGAAAACTGAACAAAAAGAATTTCTAGAATGTCTGATGAATGGCCGAGATTGGATGGTAGTACTTGGAATGGCAATAGAAAGTCTCTTCCATAATTTTTATCCCTTTGCAGTCAGTAACTGTCATTCGGATCGCCTCATGTTAACTTTTTCAAGGTGCCATGATTAGAAAACACATTGAGGCTTTCACAATGTCCAAAGCTGCGCTCTGATTGGTCAGTCAAAGGTGGTTCTGATGTGACCTTGAATGGGATGTCCTCAGATCTTTGAGCAGCACGAGGATCTGACTTTAATGAGATTCTTTCACTACATAACATGTCATCCGAAACATTGACATACCATCACCAAGGTGGCCGTAGCCAACAACCCTTCTCGCCTTAGCTCCGACCCTCTCTCTCACATCCTCCACCAGCGTGTAGAAGTCCGCCAGGTTCAGACTGAAGTCATACTTGTAGGTGTACCCATCCACCATCAGGGCCTCAGCACCACGTTCTCGCAGCTGCCAGATCGCCTGCAGACAACAATACAACGACTGTTATTGTGAGATTCTCTTTATAATTGGTTTCCCAACTCTGCCAACCCCCCCAAAAAAAACAAAGTGGGAAAAATACTGAGCAAAAAAAGTAAGTATATAATTTCATAAAATTAAAAAATAAATAAATCATATTCCCATACTTTTTCTGTTCAGTTTGTTTGTTGGTTTGTTCATTGTTTAACGCTGCTCTCAGCAAAATTCCAGCTATATGACGGCGGTCTGTAAATGATCCAGTGATTGACATCATGAGCATCGATCCACGCAATTGGGACATGATGACATGCATCAACCAAGTCACCAAGACCACCCGATCCCACAAGTTGTCTCTTACGACAAGCATTGACACCATTTATGGCAAGCATGGATTACTGAATACCTCTTCTACCCCACATCTTCACAGGTCTTTTTTGTTCAGTATATAATCTGATAAACCTTATTTCTTATATTGTTAAATGCAAATTCCCTTGTTCACCACCAATATCAGATCATTGTAAAAGTTCCAAAGCTACATTAACAAGCACTATCCATAAGGGCAAGTAAAGTCAAAAAAGCAACTTTGCGGTTTTAAATACTTTAGGGAACTAAAGTATTAAAATCTGCAAAGTTACTTTGCTTATTTCTGACCAAGAAGAAGAAGTATGGAAACCTGGGCCACGCCCGTGATGGGGAGAGACTGTAATTACAAATGCTGATATTAACACATAAAGGACTTTTAAAAAACGACAGGCGAAATCTCCCCCCACAAATTTTTTTTTAAAAATTGAGGGGATTCCCCTTTTCGTGCTGCCCAATTTCAATGGGCTGGCACCCAGTCTGCCTGTTTCCGCCTTGGATTTTGAATTAGTGGTTTATTGGGCGTCTTCCTACTTGTTCAGCACCTATTGTTATAGGTACAAGGCGTGGTCAGGTAGCATAGGGGTTAAAGCGTTTGCTTGTCTTGCCGAAGACCAGGGTTCGATTCCCGACATGGGTGCAATGTGTGACGCCCATTTCTGGTGTCCCCCGTCATGATATTAATGGAATATTGCTTAAAGAGGCGTAAAATCAAACCATTCACTTACTCACTATAGGTACAAACTCACCTGAGTGTGTTGATTTCTTAAGACAAAAGGGGATTAAGTGGGACATCTCACATATGACAACTAATTGGGGAATATCTCACAAAATGGCCCAGTCATTTAAGGTGCCGCGATTCGCCAGAAACCTATGATTGTGGGTTCGAATCCCGGTTCGCCCCGATTATGTTTCTAGGTTTGTCAGCACCATACCCATGCTCGTGGGTTTCACCGAAGTGGTAAACGTGTGAGACCTGCATCACTTCTGGCTTTCCTCCCACATTAAGCTGACACACTGTGATATAACTGGAATACTGTTAAAAGTTAAAAACTCACTCACTCACAAAATATAATGACACATGTAATTGGTGAACAATATTCACATACACTGAGTGAAAATGTTTAAACATATCAATGAGTAAGTAAACATACTAATCATTATGATAATTTCCTGCAAAAGGAATAACAGACAACAGACAGTATTCCACTGTTCTCAGTTTGAAGTACAGTTTGTTCCCAATTCTAAGATGTCCTTGAATTGTTTTTTTGCCAGATACAAGTTCACGGTTAAGACCTTCCATTCACTTGAAATGTTCCCAAAGAGGATGCCAACCACCATTAACACCAAAGATGACTTTGTCACGAAGCACAAGAATATGTCACTGAGCAGTGGGTTAACACCAACAAATCTTCTCGAGAGGTTGCATCCAAATCTGTACAAATTCATCGAGATACTGCAGGTTGAGCAAGATGATACAGCGATCACAATTCAGGTAGTTCCTACAAGAAGAAGAAGTATGGAAACCTGGGCCACGCCCGTGATGGGGAGAGGCCACCTCTGGGTTCTAGTGGTAGAGCTCCTGCCTGAAGAGCGGAAGGGCCGAGGGTTCGAGCCCCGGCTGCGTCATACCAAAAAGAACCTAGCCCATACCAATTAGAGGCATCTTCCCGAGGCAAGAGAGTTAACTGACTTTAAAAGTCCAGTTTCCACCCTTGCCGAACTAGGCTGGTATTATGGCTTGACTAACGAGTCTATGCATAGTCCAATCGCGCAACGAAATTGAAATCCGGTTCGTGACCTGTCCATCAGATTTTGGTCGATTGCAGGATTTGCAAAGCATGTGCACCGCCAACTCATTGTCAACAGATATTTTCCAAATCTTTTCATGTTTTTAATCAAGGTGCTCACGTTATTTGATTCATTTCGTGATGTAAGACCCGTTTAATCACAAAAAAATCTTGATTATCAATCAGATCGTCTTGACCAGGCACCGCCATTTTTGAAGCAAATGCATGTGATACGAGAGGTGGAATCTGATTTGTCCATAGGAGAGGCATAGAAGGTACATAACTCGTAATAGCCACTGGTGGCGCTACGTTCAAGCCCAGGAATTCCAGCCTAGTTCGGCAAGGGTGGAAACTGGACTTTTAAAGTCAGTTAACTCCCTTGCCTCAGGAAGATGATTAGAGGGAGAAGAGACAACTACTTGGCACCCAGAAACCAGCAAACAATTATCACAAAGCTGTTTCACTTTTAGCTGGACTGTGAAATATGTAAATTTGAGACATGAAGGAAACTTGATCTATTGTGTAGTTGTTACTCCCAAATGTTGCAAGCATCCGCCGGTCCCCGACAGTGCTTGATATGAGCCCCCAAACTTAAAAACAAACACGCTGGGGATTCTCCCATGGCCAGATGAAAGGTGAATGAACAATGCAGGTAATGTTGCTATTTTTGTAGGATTAACAAAAATGGCAGAAACAGTATATGTATAGCTGCTAAGAATCACATATCAGCCAATCAAAACTTTTGTCACGCACCGCTGCACCGTTACCTTCAGGCCATGCCCCATATGTTTGTTTTGGAAGCTGATTAGGGAGAGTGCGATTTCAACTTTTTCACTTGCATGTTTGAGTACATACTTTCTATGAAAATCATGACAGAGACAAATTGTATCAAGGAAAATTGACAATCATTTTTTTCAGGTTACTTGCCCTTTAATTGATTCAGCATGTTTTCCTACATGTCCATGAGCAGTGTGTTGTCAAAACATGGGCTGCCTTCATACACAAAGCGTTTAGCCTGGACCATAAATATACTTAACTTTATCATGTTTATGACATTTGGATATTTTTGAGGTATCAAGGATTATCTGGATGTATGATCAACCATGAAGTCCTAACCAGTTCTTTGGACCGCTCTTGACTTCCAGACAAACCTGATACGATGGTGCCACTCAACATACTGACCCTTTTGGACTCCTCACAACTTATGACCCTCTCTTTGACATGTCTGAAACTTTGAACTCCTATCTACTTACAGTATATCGCCATCTATCATGTCTATAATGGTACCTAGGATGAGACCCGTGAAGATCCGTAGTAAAAAAGGTCTTCAGCAACCCATGCTTGCCATAATAAGGCGACTATTCTTGTCGTAAGAGGCGACTAACAGGATCAAGTGGTCAGACTCACTGACTTGGTTGATGCATGTCATCGTATCCCAATTGCATGGATCAATGCTCATAATATTAATTATTGGATTGTCTGGCTCAGGCTCGATTATTTACAGACTGCCATCATATAGTTGGAATATTGCTGAGTGTGACGTTAAACATAAAAAAACAAACCCAAAAAACCTAGGATGAAGGTGGGATAAAAACGGGTTATACTTTGCACAAGGTAGATCGCACATATTTTTGTCAATGATGTCAACCAGAGTTTAGCCATAGACGCTTGACAGTAAAGGCTGGGCTTGGACAAGTCCAAATTTACTACCAGGGTACCTGACTCCCTATTACCTGACCCTACCCGGATAGCCGCTGTAGGTCTCAAGTGTTGGGTACAAAATGTCACATTGGGAATAATTGGTTTACCAGATCCCTGGCATAAGGTATTGAGATACACGTATAAAACGACCTGCTCATGCAAACACTGAAGTTGACCACAGCCTTATCTTTCCTCAAAACATATAAAAGTCAGGGCCTAGATTTACGAAACGATCTTAGCTATGATAAATCTTAACAACTTACGTTCAAAGATAAGATATCTTAAGGTTAAGATAAGATAGATTTTCCAAACTATCGTAAACCTGTCGCAGATCGTTCGGGTGTTTCCCAATGACGTCACAGGGATTTCCCAGCTGCTGACAATAACAACAACATAGATAAATGACACGGAATTCATGATCACATTGTCATGTCACATTGTTTAACACGCACATATTTGAGTGAAATTCTGTACAATCCTACATATGTCCTACATGTAGACGTGTTGTTCTTATGATAAAAGATGCCATGACTAACCGAACACAAAAAGCATTCGTGTGCCATGCAATAGCATTTTTCAAAGCCAAAAAATGTTATAATCAATAAGTATAGTGTTACTTTAGCTATTAGGATGGAAATAATGTGCGAAAAAGATACTTAACTATTTTCCCTTCAAATGGTCCTCTCGTGACTGCGCAGAACTTTATGATATAAACACATCGCGTACAAAGTCAAGGACGAAAGTAAGGGACGTTATTCTAAATGAAAATGACGAGGCCTTTGATCGAACAGCATTTAACATGCGTGTTCAAGTCTGATGTTAAGTGATGTATACTGTATATGTTTGTGTTTATGTCAAAAGTCAAGTTTATATTAGTGTAAACACCAACATTATACGTGGAAACACTCAAAACAAAAATTGTTCAGGAAGCAGCGCTCCGACAAGCAAGTTTATAAGACAATCTAAGCTTGTTAAGTTTGTTTTGTTATTTATGTATCCAATATATTTCACGAATTAACCAAGGACTTAAATACAATATCAAGCTATAAGTGTTCAGATGATGAAATTATTTTTTATCTATCTAGATCCATAATTCTTTCAAAATTTAAAAGTGACACTAATTTCCGTTCGCAAAGAGATATAATTTCGGAATTGCCAAGTTATGTTGCCTCATGGAACACGCTACAAGTTAAAGTAAACATACATATAATGTAGTCATTTTCTATCCTTTTAAATTAAGTAGAGTTAATAAACTGATTTGTCTGATTTCATTTAAATCTGACTAAGGAGCGAAATACTTTGTAATGTGTCAAATCTATTCCAGAACGTAGTTCAATGATGTTTGGCTTGTCTGACAGCATTGCTGAGGATCGTTTACTAGTATTTGTCCGCTGACCCTAAACGTGTCAACGATTTTATTGTTTGAATGGTCTCAAGTATATCTATATATTTTTTAAACATAAAACGGGAAGATGTAGACTTAAAAATTAAAAACATCAAAATATTTTAAAACCGGTTTATTGTATGCAAACATCATTGTGTTGAAAATGTGTATTTTATGTTGATCAGTAAATTTCATTCAATAAACTTTGTTTCTGCGAACATATATTTGAAAGTGAATTTTGGACAATGTGCAATCTATGCTACATTTTGACGAGAACCAGACAAGCATGGGAACTCATTTTTTATTTGATTTGTCGATACAAAAATCTGTCCTTAACTTTTGCTGTCAAAATTTCAGTAAATTGTTATATTTATAAGGGAATACATCTATATGCCGTTAATCACCTGTTTTTAAAGAATGCAATTGTTCAACAGACAGTTTTTAAATCACTTTTTATCAAATATGTGTCTTTCAAGAGGATATAGATAACGTAGGTATTGAATTTAAAACAAAACAAATTACAATTACTTTTGCAAGAAAAATAGTAGATATTGTATACAAATATTTGATCACATGTATTTCCTTGTTAAGTCAATAAATACTACACTGTATAGTTAAAATTCAATTATTAAAACCACCAGTCCCACACGATTTTGGATGTAAAAACTTATGCGAAACCTTTATGGTTGTTTTTACACATATAGATTGATATAATTTTATAAAATGCGAAAATAAAGACTAAATCATTGACACAAATGCGACTCAGAAAATATAACAGCGGAACTCTGCGCTTTATGAAAACTGTACCATTGAGCAAGGTGTCCCGGGCGAATACAAAGGGAAACCACTCTCAACTTGAGTTTGAACTAAGATTAGCTCCCCCTAAACTATCAATAAGGTCACGGTCATTACTGTAGCCTGTCGACACCTTCCGTTTTTATCCTTCCCAAATTATCGAAAAGGTATGTTGTTTCACACTTCTTCAGCATGGACTCGGATAGAAAAATAATGTAAGCTATCGACTTCACAGTTATGTGTATCACTGTCGCGATTAAGAACATTTTTGACGTGAAATCCTTGATGCGTTCTTCGTGTTTTCGAAGTGTCAATTTGAATCACTCAGTTTTACAAAATGAAATGTCAATGTTTGAATGTAAAGCGGACTAATTGTTTGGCAAAATATCTATGGAAAAGTATGCCGCCATCTTGGATGAAGATAAAATAAACTTACGACAGGTATAGGGCTATCTTAGATTTACGACAAACTTAAGATATCTTAGGGCTACGATAGTTTTGAAAATATGCTACGATAGCCTACAATTTCCTTACGACAAATTTACGATAATTTTTGGGCTACGATGGTTTCGAAAATCTAGGCCCAGGACGATATCCGAACATCAGTGACTTGTAGGTAACCACAGAGTTATGGCAGTTAATTTTTCTCAATGTACAATATAACATGTGACTAACAACGGGTCTGGGTAGTCATGTGGGTACCCAGGTCCTGCTCAGTACCCACCTGACCCGAGTACCCGAGTTACCCGACCCAGCCCTAGAACAAAGTCAGCCTATCCCTTATACTGACCCTTATCTTCGACATATCCGTGGCAACTGTCCCATCAGATGTCATACCGCCATCCATCAGTTTCTCCAGCACAGCGTTCAGCTTCTCCTGATCGTGGGTGGCGTTGGAGCCGCTCGTCTCGACGAGGGCGTAGAAGGCGTTGTTACTGATAGGGCATGTCAGGTTCAGATTGCCTGTCACAACCTCCATAGTGGCGTTGTCCATCATCTCAAATGCTGACAGAATCTCGCCAAGTTCGGTCTTGATTGTTTTCAACACTGACAGCAATGAGCTGAAGGAATCACAGCCTGCAACCAAGAGAATATCCAACTGTCACCGTCGTGGAGACACTGCCTATCTTACTCTTCTCCACATCTCAAATACTCTGCAATTTGTCATCACTTCATTGACAAAATTGACAAAAAAACAAACCCTTGCATCTGTGTACAATTAAAGGAAAACATAAGGAAAATAACCACATCATAATTTGTATTCGACACCATGCAAACATACAATTACTATGAAGTAATCTACAGGTCTCAGAGTACTTTAAATTATTGTCTGTTAAATTTAACATCGCTCTTCCAATTTTCATAGAATCATGAATGCACTTTCAACATCCTTGGATTTTTTTGTGAATAAAATATACCGTATTCGACGTAATAAGCGCCCTGCTCTAATAAGCGCCCATGGCGATATTTGCTAATATATTGGCAAGTGAACAATCCCAATTAGCCCCCCTTCCGATTTATCAATGTACATAAGACTTATTTATTCGTGTATAATACGCACTCGTGTGTTATATGCACCCTTAACTATGGGCAATTAAATTCTGGAAAAATTTATCATGTCGTAAATAAACAGTTCAGACTGTCAGCATAAACCACGAAATTTATCTTTCAACCTTGTGTTTTCCACCAAAGTAATATTCTAATAAGAGCCCCCTATTTCTAATTTTGAGAGCGCCCTGGGCGCTTATTACGTCGAATACGGTATGCATAAAATCAGTGTTCTGCCGAGGCAGTGGCCTCTTTGGATTCTCGCAATATGTTATGGATTGGCGCATATATACTCTCAGTGGGACTGCAATTCTGCATCAATAACCTGCATACCATGGGGTTTTAAGTTTTATATGACCTCTCAGAGTGTGGGCCCATAAGCATTGATAAGTTTTGAAAATGACCCCATGTATTTATGCTGAAGTGGTCCCTGTCCCCACTTGTTCAGTTTCTTGGCAGAATGCTAATAAAATACAATTTATTGATTCTAAAAAAATCTTTCACTTTCAGTCCTGGTAAGCTAATATGTGGAAATGGTTTATGACACCTGCCATCCGAATACTTCTCACACAATATGCTAAATGAGCCGTGAATCTTTTCCCGAAGACCAACCTAACAACGCCACATTGACAGCTTTGGGCCTCTGGGGACACAGGATAGATGCAGCCGTGATGAAGCCGAGGGTTCCCTCTGAGCCAATGAACAGCTGCTTGATGTCATACCCTGTGTTGTCCTTGCGTAGTGATGACAGGCAGTCCACCACTTTGCCATTGGCCAAAACCTGGAATATCATAGATTTTGGTAAGAACAGCACGACAAACAACATACACATGATACACGGGTGTTTTGTAAAATATAGGTCAGGTGAAATGAGGTAATGTCACATTCAAGATTATTACACGTATATAGCGATGTGCATGCATGTGTGTGTGTGGCTGCTTGTACAAGTCCAGACTAACATGACTGATGCAGATTTTACAGTGCTAGCCCACTGAGATACCACTCGCAGTTTAACATGAATACCCCACTTAGACACAGTATACTGACTCTGAGACACCAAGTACTTGTTTTAGCCACTCTTGCCGAGCGTCAGACAGGGTTAAGAAGAAGTACCATCTTTTAACGTTTTTTGATATGACGTGGCCGAGGATTGAACCCCGAACCTTCCGCTCTGAGGACAGACGCTCCACTACTAGACTACAGAGGCGGTCTTGTAAACTACTAAAACTTAAAAACTTCACTTGTTGTAGGCCAAACATCCTTGAGTATCCAGTGCTTGACATCTCTATTCTGATATGAAAATTCCAGGAGTTCATCTTCCTATGGCAAGGGAGTTAACTGACTAGAAAATCCAGTTTCCACCCTTGCTGAACTGGGCTTGAATTATGGAGTTATATTAAAGCTGTCAACAGATATTTTTCCAAATCTTTTCATCCTTTAAATCAAGGTGCAAACATGATTTGAAGCACTTCGCAAAGTAAGACCTGTTTTATCACAAAGTAGATTTGGATTATCGATCAGATCGTCTTGAGTGGGCGCCACCATTTTGTTTGAAGCAAATGATATGAGAGGTGGAATTTGATTGGTCAGTAGGAGGGATGTAGCAGGGACATAACTCATAATAGCCACGGGTGGCGCTTCGATAGAGCCCAGACATTCCAGCCTAGTACGGCAAGGGTGGAAATTGGACTTTTACAGTCAGTTAACTCCCTTACCTCAGGAAGATGTTTGTAGACATGGTTGCGGTGACTTGTATTTCACTCACAAGAGGACCAGTAAAGGAGAAGAGGTTTCAATTCTTAGATCGCAGGGAATGAAAAAGGTTAAAAAAAAAATTGAACTCCATAAAACAAGATCTCCAAAAACAATTGTGAAAAATATGATGTTTTTACCCAATTCGCCTGCCAAAGGTAATTAGTTCCAAATTGTAGATAAAACCCTGAATGTAGTTTTCACTCTGTTACCCCCATTTTTATGAATCCGGTACCAATATTTCTTTTAACGAAAGTCCCGAGGATTTGCAAACATATAGACCAAGGTAAGTCTCTGTATTCAAACATAAAACATCCATCTGATACTTACAGCTTCCAAGCCTAACACACTCCCATGCAAAGATCCGTAACGGAGAAGTCGGATTCCTCCTGCATTGGTGGCGATGTTGCCGCCAATGTGGCAGCTTCCCTTAGCTCCAAGGTCAAGGGGCACAACAAGGTCATAGTCAGCGACATAGTTGTCCAGAGTCTCCAGCACACAGCCAGACTGACACACCACAACACCTGAAACATGCGGAGGGGTTCTTGGTTCAATGAATTCAGTCTAATGTTTGACTGACATCATATAAAACTGTGTGACATCATGAACAATGGCTGGTGGCATCTACAAATATGAGCACCGTTGCCTTGATATGACATCACATCACTTTGGGCCTCTTTGTAAACATTTGAAAGCAATGGTGTGTGTGTGTGTGTGTGTGTGTGTGTGTGTGTGTGTGTGTGTGTGTGTGTGTGTGTGTGCGTGTTTGTTCTTTAATGCTGCACTCAACAATATTCAAGCTATATGACGGCAGCCTGTATGTAATCAATCTTATTAAAATCAGCTTTTACTTCTTGCTACTGCCGATCAAAGATTTGAGGACATCACATTTTGGGTCAGTTCAGAACGAACTTTTATCCGACAGCGTGACTTACCAGAACAGGAAAGTGACAGTCCAAATGTGTTTTCTAATCATGCAACATTGATAAGGTTAATCAGGTGTATTCCCAACGACAGTAGGTCAACATGATCATCCATCTCTCTTGCTACCATGGGATAAACATTTGAGTGGAAGAGACTTTGTTTAGCCTGCGGGAAGTACAGCCATACAATCAAGGCCATCTGTTAAAAATTCCAAAATGTACTTTTGTTCAGTTTTGAGTTGATACTTTTCAAAGCGTAGTTTAGAAAGGAAGTGACCAGTTTGAAACTTGTGCTGTAAGGCTTGACAAAGCTGCTTTCTGATTGGCTCATGTCATGTTCTTGTAAGTCATTTCATTGGTCGGTCAAAGTTTGCAAAAGGTCGTTCTGAGACTTGTAATGGCATGTTCTTAGATCTTTGTTTAGCGGAAGCGAGAAGTAAGATCTAACTTCAATGAGATTGTCTTTGGGAGCGTAATACTTGCCTGACACATCATCCACGGATATAATCTTGTTCATAAGTTGTGAGGAAAGTATGATCTCATCAAACACTGGGGTACTGCCTCCAACAAGTCCGGTGTTTCCTCCCTGGGGTTGCACAGCCAGCTTTCTTTCATTACAATGGGACAAGATGGCAGACACTTCTGCTGTTGATTTTGGTTTTAATACAACCTTGCTTGAACCTGTAAACATAGTAATGTTTGATTAATAAGTACAACTTTCTGAATCAGACACTTAAATTGTTTCTTCTGGCATTACGATGAATAATTAACATCAAACTACAATCAGCAAAAAATCATATCTGACCCTCTAAAAAATTACCCCATTTTGAACAATAATGATTCACTGGTCTTATCTTGCTCATAAGTACATGCATATCCTAATGTGTGTGAAACATGACCTGTCCTGTACCATACAGGGACGTACCTGGGTTACATATTTTGAGGTTCTAAGGGACTCAGTGCCTTTTATTGAAGGGGGCCGAGGCAAAAAAATGGGTGGGGGGGGGGGGGGGGGGGGGGGCAAGTTACAAAATGCTCAGAGTGCCAGCTCTAGAAGATCCTTCAAGATCGTCAACAGCTGGTTAAGCATTCGACTGTTTATTGAAATGTTGTAAATGATTACGTACACAAGTATTTTTGAGTGGTGTCAAATTATATAAAAGCAGCATTCATTCCAAAACATACACACAATTCTTTTGCATGTTTTTAATTTGTATTTGAACATCAAGGCTTTTGTGTCAGATAAATCCAAGATCATGTTAATATATGCCTATTTATTTACATGCTCAAAAGTATCAAATCAACATAAAGCCTAGGTTTGTGGTGTGGTGAAATGGGGTTTAACATTGTGTGTGTGTCTGCTTGAATACTTGTTCTAGTCCTGACTTATGTTGGTTTTATAGTGCTAGTCTACTAAGATACCACACCACAGTTAACATGGATACCCTAAGCAGACACAGCTAGTATACTGACTCCGAGCCAACCAGTCCTTGTTTTACAGCGATAGTTAATGTTTTGGCCTTGTAATGCTGAAGATGTAATGACAAAGAGGATGAGGCTTTGATGCTTAGTTTAACATTATGCACTGAACACAATGCAATGAATTCAATGATAAAGCACACAATTAATTTAAAAAACAAAAAAATAAATAATATTGAACAAAATAATAATTTTTTTCCGCATTTGCCTGGCAAGCGTACATAGCTTGGAAATGTCCGTGTAATCAGCTAGATCTACATAAAGAAGATGTTATGAATTTTATTTTTTTTGCATGGGTCAGCACAATTCTCACCTTTACAAGTTTTTATCCAGTCAATATTATAAGGATCTACATCTGCTGGGTCTGTCAATACCCGTCCTGGCATCAGACTCTCAAAGAAACTAAGATCGGCGTCAGTGACATCACTGTACGGACCACGAGCTATTTTTGGTTTTCTGTCAGTGTTCCCACTGTTGTTGATGCATGACCTGTGAAACTGACGACTCCCTTGAACAAATACAAGTGGTCTGGGATGACCGCCTTGACCCATATCACGTGCATGGTCATTTCGAACTGGCAAACTGAAACCAGAACATGACAGTCCTTGGCAATATGTCCTCTGTATCACTCGTCTTGCTAGACAAGCATGCATCTTGATTTGTCCTTTGACAAAACGTTTTTGATAACTAAATCATCCGATCGTCAGTAATCCCCTTGAACCGCCGTCCTATTTCATAACTAGAAGAGAGTTACCTACCCTGATTTTGTCAAAATTGCTCCAAAGTACTATTTTACGAATACGGATTGTTATTCCCGCGTTATTCGGGGTGGTGAGAATATCCCGCCCGTGAAGTACATAATATATTATAATACATATCATTAAAGATTACACAATCACCATTAAGCGACCTGATGTGATTTTCTTCCAAGAACAAATACAGCTCAAACACCTATTTCAAGTTTTACATAATCCAAAATGGCATCTCCCGTGAAAGAGATGTGTGATAGTTCTGATTCGAAAAAACGCAAAATTGAAGATTCTCCGACAGACTCAAAATCATTCAAGGGGTTTTCCATTGAAAGGGTATTGAGGGAAGACCAACGCACGAAATTTGTATGTTTGGAGGGTAAATTTAAAGGCAACGAAGATCTTGCCGTTGTGCTCATGGAGAAAGAGCATTTTCCCAAACAAAGTTTAGCAAGGCTTCTATCAAATGAAACGACATTAAAAGAGACGCTTAAGAATGATATTTACAGTACGTATGAAGCAACTCCACCGACAGACTTATCAGGTGATTACACGCTCTTTGGTAATTTTTGATAATGATTTCTTTATGTTCATTCTGATCAAAGTACTTGTGTGAAAGGGGAGACAAGTGTGTCCAGCGTAAGAATTACCTCCCCTAGATTTTTGCACTTCATCCGAATTTTCATGAGCTAAGTACACACGTAGTTCCCTACTGAAACGCATTTACAGGTGCAAGCCCTTGAAGATCAGGCAGCAATAAACAGTGTATAGTATTTTCTAAGTGATTACGTAAGGAAAATCTTTTTAAATGGTACCATGTATGGAATAGCAATTGTTATTTCTAAACATGCATTCACAGTTTCTGTGCCCTAGTGAATGAACTCTCTATCTTATCTATTTGTTTTGTGTTCATTTTCAATTTTTACGCATATAATATAGATGAATTTTTGTCCAGTAAATCCCAAGGTTTGCATTATATTTAGTTTATGTTTATTATGTTGATTTGTAATACAATACACACTGCACAATTTGCAACACTTCCCATTATAATTGTTTTTCTTCTTGTGCAGGTTTCAAGACTACCTTGATATACCCAGCAACACAGAAGCATGTAGACAAATACTCTGAACATGACCAGTATATCATCCGAGAGACACCAGCTCTGTATGAGAAAATCACACTACCATGTCTTGAGAGTAGTAACTTCAGCGTGAAGGTACAGTGTTAAACAATAAATAAATTGATCAACATTGATAAATACATCAGACACAGGTGATAAGCAATGATAAATACATCAGGTACAGGTGGTATGGAATGGTAAATACACCAAGTACAGGTGATAAGCAATGATAAATACATCAGGTGCAGGTGATGAGCAATGATAAATACATCAGGTACAGGTGGTAAGCAATGATAAATACATCAGGTACAGGTGGTAAGCAATGATAAATACATCAGGTACAGGTGGTAAGCAATGATAAATACATCAGGTACAGGTGGTAAGCAATGATAAATACATCAGGTACAGGTGGTAAGCAATGATAAATACATCAGGTACAGGTGGTAAGCAATGATAAATACATCAGGTACAGGTGGTAAGCAATGATAAATACATCAGGTACAGGTGGTAAGCAATGCTAAATACATCAGGTACAGGTGATAAGCAATGATAAATACATCAGGTACAGGTGAGGGAATAAGTAAGTGTACCAGTAGATATATGTATGGAAGAAGATTGGTAAAATGTCACTTGGATTGGCAAATTAGAAGGCCGTCTTGCTGGTTGTTAATCTTGCAAACTAGTCTCAAAGCTCAGTGCTCCAGATTATTATTTCTTGTGTGAATATTTTGAAAAAGCAATACAACTGGGTAACTCACGCGGAGGGAGGGGTGTTATCAACAGTTTGCAATAGACTTGGGGCCCCTCTCTGGAAAAGGTTTAAGGTTTAGATAAATGCCTGCTCACATTCTTTGTAAGTATTCAGTTCATGTTACCTATTGGTTTTGAGACAAATCAAAATGATTTATGTGTCAGAAATGTTTGAAAATTATGTAATGAGCCTGATGTTAAATGCCACGGGGCACATCCACTTACAAAAATGTAACAACAGACTGTCCTGATTCAACAAGTGCAGTCAGTTCTCATGTCTGGCATACAGTAAACCATGAGACTAATGCAACCTTGAAAGTGTCCCTTGCTCACATTGTGACTCCCCATTTTGAAGACAGCTTAAACAAACAAAAGACTGAGTGCACTTCAGTTTACTACCATCTTCCCGAGACAAGGGAGTTAACTGATTTTACAAGTTCAGTTTTCACCCTTGCTGAAGTAGGCTGGAATTCCTGGGCTCGATCGTAGCACCACCAGTGGTTATTACGAGTTAAGTCCCTTCCAAGCCTCCCCTATGGACCAACAGATTCCAGTATCACTTGCATTTGCTTCAAACAAAATGGCGGCGCCCAGTCAAGACGATCTGATCCATAATCAAGATCTATATTGTGATAAAACGGGTCTTACATCGCGAAGTACATAAAATCACGTGAGCACCTTGATTAAAAACATGTAAAGATTTGGAAAATATTGGTTGACAACTAGTGGGAGGTGCACATGCTTTGCAAATCCTGCAATCGACCGACAGTTTACGAACCAGATTTCGATTTTGTTGCTTGACTTTAATTGGACTATGCATAGACTCGTTAGGCCAGACAAATTGTAACTCCATAATACCAGCCTTGTTCGGCAAGGGTGGAAACTGGACTTTTAAAGTCAGTTAACTATCTTGCCTTGGGAAGATGGTTCACTACCTTCCTATCTCTCCATTGAAATGGTATGACCCACAGATACCCCATTTTGTAGACATTAGTCAATAAAATAAAATAATGAAACATGAGTTTCTCCATATTTCTATTCTGTCATCATGGTCAAACAAATGTTCATATTACAACAGACATCTAACAGACAACATCCAACATACCGAATAATAACATTCAGGATTATCATTGATTGTGAACCACAGACATTATGTTTGGAACTTGAGCATTTCTATCCTCATGCTATTCCCATTAGTCTGACTCTGAACTGTGTTTGGAACTATTATTCTAATTCTCAGTGAAAATTGTCCACTTAACAAAATATCGCGTGACTAAACACGGGTCCGCAAGGCCCTGTGGGAACCCGGGTCCTCCTCAGTACCCACCCGAGCCGAGTACTTGAGTTACCCCTCCCAGCCCTATTGGGTACCTTGTCAAGCCTTGTCATAGTTTGTCCAAGTTAATCAAACAGTTATGACTGTCGCCAAACACATGTGATAGTGTCTGTGTTCCAGGCAACCTCGTTAAGGCCAAAACACTTCACACAGTGAAAAGTACAGTCCAGTACAGTACTGCATGTGTTTTATACTGTTAGTGTTTGTGATTTGTTTTATAATATTCGAACCGTGAGGATCCAGGTTAGAATAGGTCTTCAGCAACCCATGCTTGTCAAAGGAGGCGACTAACTGGATCAGGTGGTCTGGCTTGCTAACTTGGTTGATGCATGTCATCGTATCCTAATTGCTTGGATCGATGTTCATGATATCCATCACTGGATTGTCTTTTCCAGACAGTTTACAGACCGCCATCATACAGCTGGAATATTGCTGAGTGTGGCGTCAAACAACAAACAAAACAAAAAGCACATGCTGAAAAGAAATATTGCCTTTTTACAAACAATTGTCAAAAGAACTCTTGCCAGTTGTCACATGGTCTAGAGTAATGATACACACACTGTAGACTATTTCTTCCTCTTTTCAAATTATTTGTTACCATGGTTACAGTGGGTATACAACATCCTAGACAAGAAGAGTGAAGCAGATCGGATCGTGATGGAGGATCCGGACCCAGACAACGGGTTTGTGCTGCTGCCAGACATGAAGTGGGACGGGAAAGACGTGGACAGTCTCTACCTCGTAGCCATTGTACACAGGCATGGGATCAAGTCACTGCGAGATCTGGGTCAACAGCACCTCCCTTTGCTGAAAAATATACTAGAGAAGGGAACAGTAAGTCAGCTAAACCTATTTGCTGTTTCCTGACTGACGATATTTTAGGGAGTATTTATTACATTAATTGATCTGTTCTTAACATTTCTTCTAAGGAGGGGCATTTTAGTCTTTATGTTTTATTTTTTTACACAAACTGTTTAAGGCATCTTCATTAACTGTCAACAAATGTGATTCACATGAAGCATGAATGTTTGGTGGGACGATGTATTCGGTGTGTTTCATCAAGTAAAGATAGAAAGAAGGAGACAAGCAACGATTTTGTTTGTCTGTGATACTTGGGATCTTCCCATGAAGATTTAGGTTGGAACTGATTTTCAGCAACCCATACTTGTTGTAAGAGGTGACGATTGGGATCAGGTGGTCAGATTTGCCGACTTGGTTGATGCATGTCATCGTATCCCAATGGTGTAGATTGATGCTCATGATGTCAATCACTGGATTGTCTGGTCCAGACTCAGTTATTAACAGGCTGCCATCATACAGCTGAAATATTGCTGAGTGCGATGTTAAACAGAGCAGCAGTGATGTTATGTATTGATAGCTTGTCATTTCTGATTGCCATTTGTTCATGGACTTTAAAATGCATCAATGATTAGATCAATTAGACAGCCCGGTATGAGGTAATGGGATATTTGTGTTTGATTCAGAACGCTATACAGGAGAAGTATTCCGTGGCCAAGTCCAAAATTCGCGCCTTCTTCCACTATCAGCCCTCATACTACCATCTACACGTTCACTTCACCCATCTACGCTTCGAGGCTCCAGGATTTGACGCCTTGCGGGCCCACCTGCTGGAGGACGTCATCGATAATATTGAAACATGCAATGACTTCTATCAGAACAAGTCCCTTATGTTCACAGTGAGAGAGAACCAGCAGTTGTACAAAGACTATAAGGAGAATGGCTACTTTAAATAATGGATCAGGATTACACACTATGTGGATTCAGGGGCCACGGGTGGCCCAGTTGTCTAAGGCACTGCGATTCGCTGTGCAGAGTTGCGTCCCTTGGACACGCCAGAAACCTATGATTATGGGTTCAAATCCCGGTTCGCCCCGATTATGTTTCTAGGTTTGTCAGAACCATATCCGTGATCGTGGGTTTCACCCAAGTGGTAAACGTCTGAGACCTGCATCACTTCGGGCTTTCCTCCCACATTAAGCTGACACGCCGTGATATAACTGGAATACTGTTAAAAGCGGCACTAAACCCAACTCTCTCACTCTCTCACTCACTCACTCACTCACTCACTCACTCACTCACTGTGTGGATTCCTGGTCAGAAAGATTTCCCAGCCGCCTGTGTTGGTCATAAGAGGTTACTTGAATGAGTCAGGTGGTCAGCCTCGGTTCGTTGGTTGATTGTGTGTGATCTTACCCAGACGATCACTGTTCAATATCAATCACTGGTTTGTGTGGTCCTGTCTGCGGTTGTATAACTGGAATATTGTTGAGTGCGGCATTTAAACATTAAACCCCTCTGACTTGGTTTATGCATGTCATGGTATCCCAGTTGTGTAGATCCATGCGCATGATGTTAATCACTGGATTGTCTGGTCCAGACTCGATATTTACATGAGGCCTCTGTCATATAGCTGGAATATTGCTGAGTGCAACAAACAAACAAACAAATAAAACAACAAACAAACAAGGAATCATTAATGTGCAACACATACTGGCTGCTGGATAAGTCAGCTTTGTGGAAATCCTGGGTATTGAGTGGTCACAATGACTGCCGGATAAGGATGATCACCACAATGGGAGACCAGCACAAGGTGTATCCTGATGCTGTATGACTGGTACTGTGAAGGCTTGACTTGACCTTACACTGGTTTGGAGGATGACACTGGCAGAAAAACGTCTCAGGACTCCAGGATTGATCTCGACCTGCTCAGAGGCCAATATTCCACCCCAATTCTACAGCAAATATCATTAATAAGTCCTAAATTGGAATTAAATAATGCCCAGTTCATGTAAATAGCTTTAGTTAATAACTACCGTATTCGACATAATCAGCGCCCTGCTCTTATAAGCGCCCACAGAGATATTTGCTAATATATTGGATAGTGAATAATCCTAATTAGCGACCCTTCCTATTAATCAATGTACACAAGACTTATTTATTCTCGTATAATACGCACTCGTGTGTTATATGCAGACTTAATTATGAGCAATTAAATTCTGGAAAAACACTGTTGTATATAAACATTTCAGGCTGTCAGCATAAACCACGAAATTTACCATCTTTCAACTGTTTTTTTTTCACCAAAAATATTCCAATAAGAGCCCTCTATTTCTAATTTTGAGAGCGCCCTGGGTGCTTATTACGTCGGATATGGTAATGTTTTGTTGAGGTTACCTGTAGTTCACTGATAACAAGACCAATATAGAAGAGGTATGAATGCAATCTCAAAATGCAATGTTAAAGTCTAAATTTTGAACAAAATAACAATTTTTTCCCCAGTTTGCCTGCTAGGGGCCATGAGTTTATATGTAACATTTTTTTTATGTAAAACATGGAATGTGTCTTTGTAAACTGTAAAACAGGAAAACATAGTTTTGTACCTGAATCATGACAATAAACAGATTATCACTCCATCCTCAACTGTTTGGTTGGATCTTCATTGTCGAGGGTCACAGGTGGCCCATTCGTCTAAGGCTCCACAATTCACCATACATGCATTCCAGACCTCTATGATGGCTAGTTTGGATCACAGACTTGCCCTAATCATGTTTTTTGGTGTGTCAGCACCATGCCCGTGGGTTTCACCCAAGTGGTAAACATCTAAGACCTGCATCACTTTCTGCTTTCAGGGGGCACCAGTGGCCACAGATAGCCCAGTCGTTTAAGGCACCGCGATTCGCTGTGCAGGGTACCCCATGGGCACGCCAGAAACCTATGATTGTGGGTTTGAATCCCGGTTCGCCCCGATTATGTTCCTAGGTTTGTCAGCACCATACCTGTGGTTGTGTGTTTCACCAAAGTAGTGAAAACATCTAAGACCTGCATCCCTTCAGGCTTTCCTCCCACATTAATCCCACGATTTAACTGGAATACTGTTAAAAGCAGTGTTAAATCCAACTCACTCACTCACTTACTGCTTTCCTCACACATCAACTTTACATGACCAGATATAACTGAAATACTGTTCAAAGCAAGGAAAGCTTCAGTGGTTTATGCAATAATCTTGAATGTTTGAATGTGACCTCAAAACCAATTTCACCTGTATAATGGATGGTATGTTATCCTAAGAAGATAATGGAAGTTGTACACATATTTCTTAGGAGTTTCTACATGTTGATACCAGTTTAAATACACTTCGATGGGACAGTAGGACCAGGAAAATCAATCTTGTCACTTGATGAAGCCATCACCCGTTCTGTAGCTGCAAACGTAATTCACCATCCTCCTTTATCTAAGCTATCGCGTTTATCACAGGGTTCGTCTGTTGTTGTTAATGATAGTCATATAGAAAATGTTTGTGTAAGCAAATATTTCGCTGGGTAGGGATGCGAATTAGGATAAAGTTCACATGTAGATACATAACCCAAATAGGATAATGGTAAGCACCATTCGTGATATTCTTTTCATGGAACATTGAAGTCATACAGTGTATTTGGGCCATTGGAAATAAAATATATCTTTCAAGGTAGATACATTTCATGAAGACAACTTATCCTGACAGAAGGCAGAGAGGAAAGCTAACGCTGTAAGGAGCAGGAGACGAGTCATGTTAGATGTTCTGTACCACTGCAGATTTCCTGACGGTAGCAGCCCCGACGGGGCTATTTATGGTCAACGTCAGATGACAGGCAAACATCGACGACGTAGAAGGGTTTTGTTCTTTCTACGTCACTACCATCTGTGTCAACAGCATCTCCATGGAAGGCAACATGTCGTCTTTTGTGATATTTACCCAAACAGTCATTGTTACCAACACTTTGGCAGTTATGACGTGCTTTCCTTTGACTAAATGAGTTTTAAGCAACATTATAGATAGTGGTAGTTGTATTTCAGCATGTCCAACTCCTTGTAAGACAATATCCTTTGTTGTATAGAATCTATGGCAGTCATTGTTACCAACACATCGACATTTCGAAAACGAGGTCTGCATATTTGCCATGTTTTTCCTCAATCTTGTCAATCACATTAGTGTCAAAAGGGACAGGATATTCAATAATATAAATGATTTTATTGGATTCATCAAAAGGGACAAGATCAGGTTTGTTGGCCTGGATACGTCTGAGGCTGTATACGGGCCTATTCCAAAGAATTTTGTAGTTATCATTTTCCATGACGCCCTCTTCATATTCCGGGTCGTACAATGGATGGACCTCTGTGTCAAAACCACAAGCATGGCAAAAACAGTAATAAAATGATCGAGCTACACCATCATGTCGCTTAAACTACTGTGTTTGTGCCAAAGTTGGGCATCCGCTGAAAATGTGTTGGACAGTCTCATTAAATTCATTACATTATCTACATTTCATATTTACATGTTGATGCAAAATCACACATTGACTGTTTCGAGTGGGAAGTGACTGGTCCTGGGCAGCAAACAGAAAACATTTTGTTTCAATTTTCAGGCCAGACGACTTCATCCAAGCGAAGGACTTCTCAACACACTGCACACAAACTCGATGCATCGGTCGTTCAGATAGCCTCTCCTTGATAGTGCAAAAACATTCTGTCATGAAGAGCCTCCACATTAATCAAACCACGCCCTCCCATCATAATTGGTAAATATTAGCGATTGAGGGAAGAGCGAGGGTGGTGGGATCTATTGTCTATCATGATTCTTCGTGTTTGGGTGTCAGTACCGTGCATTTCCTGTTTCGTCCAAACAACAATACCAAAAGAATACGAAATTATTATTATTTACAGATTAAAATAAAAAAATGCAGCAAAGAGGGTTTGGGTGATCCTGGCACAGTCAGGCCGGTTAGGCTCATCAACAGCTCAGGGCCCTTGCCCCCTCTACTCGCAGTCCAGACAGCGAATGGGACTTCTCCCAGGAAGCGCTGCCTTGTCAAACCCACCCAAAACATTTTGGAGAATGTGAAGTCTCCCCAACACTGCAGCCTTCTGCATTACCCAGATTGTCAGAAGGGCTGTATTCCTGATAGAAGGACAAGATCAGGTTTGTTGGCCTGGATACGTCTATGGCTATAAATGGGCCTATTCCAAAGAATTTTGTATTTATCCTTTTCCATGACGCCCTCTACATATTCCGGGTCGTACCACGGGTGGACCTCTGTGTCAAAACCACAAGCATGGCGAAGACGGTAATAAAATGATCGAGCTACACCATCATGTCGTTTAAGATACTGTGTTTGTGCCAAAGCTGGGCATTCACTGACAATGTGTTGGACAGTCTTATCAAATTCATTACATAATCTAGATTTGTCTCCTCCAGAGTCGGGGGCGGTCGGGTAGCCTAGTGGTTAAAGCGTTCGCTTGTCACGCCGAAAACCCGGTTCGATTCCCGACATGGGTACAATGTGTGGAGCCCATTTCTGGTGTCCCCCGCCGTGATAATGCTGGATTATTGCTAAAAGCGGCGTTAAACCAAACTCACTCACTCACTCACTCCTCCAGAGTCGACTATTACAGGCCTCTGTCTAGTGATGGAATATTGCTGACGGCAGAGATAAATAATAATAATAATAATAATATAATAATAATAATAATTTCGTTTTTCCCAAAAAAGAATACGAAAATATGATGATGATGATGATGATGATGATGATGATGATGATGATTATTATTATTATTTATCTGTGCCGTCAGCAATATTCCACTACTAGACAGAGGCCTGTAATAAGTCGACTCTGGACAAGACAAATCACTGGTTAATAATATCAGCAACGCCCCACAGCGTCTGTTAACGATAACATACAATCACCCGAGTCACCCTATCTGATTTAGTCGGTTCTCACGAAAAGCATCAGTGATCCATTTGACCCCTAAAAGCTTAAGGGATCATATCGATATGACGTTATGAGCTGTGGTCAGAATTACAAGAATAGACATTATTTCTTTAAATATGTACATTGGAGAGCTCTCTGGAGATTGTTAATAAACGAGACAGAAAGATGAGGTTAGGTTGGGTCATAAACATTTCATCCTACCTATATATTGCTCTATATTGCTCTATACTTGAAAGCCATACGTGTACTTTCATTGTTCACAATGTGTTCATTGTATAAGTAACAATGCCCACTTTGAAACTCTACAAGTAAAGACGACATGTTGCAATCCATGGAGATGATGTTGACACAGATGGTGGCGAAGTAGAAGGAACAAAACACATCTACGTCGTCGATGTTTGCCAGCCACCTGACGTTGACCATAAATAGCCCCGTCGGGGTTGCTACCGCCAGGAAATCTGCAGTGGTACAGAACATCTAACATGACTCGTCTCCTGCTCCTCACAGCGTTAGCTGTCCTGTTTGCCTCCTGTCAGGGTAAGTTGTCTTCATGAAATGTCTCTACCTTGAGAGATATATTTTATGTCCAAAGGCCCAAAGATAACTCCAATGTTCAATGATCATATATTCCACGAATGGTGCTTTCCATTATCCTATTTGGGTTATGTGTCTACATGTTAACTCTGCTCAATCTCTTTATCCGTATTCGCATCCTGAACAGCTAACCCTAGCCATCGAAGTATATGCTGTACCAAACACAAAAATTTTCGACATGACTATCATTAACAAACAACAGACGGACGCTGTGATAGACGCGAAAGCTTAGACAAAGGAGGATGGTGATGTTCACGGCGCTGGACCGGGTGATGGCTTCATCACGTGACTAGATTGTTTGTCTTAGTTCTATTGACATATCTCAATCAAAATGCACAATCTTTTCGCAAACACCTGAATACTGATTCTGAATGCGCATGATATAGTCGGAATCGTACAATGCTGCAACGTGTGAGTTGTTGAACGAACGATGCAGCTGAACATGGGTACCCCCACTCAGACGCTTTATCCTCTTGACCACGAAGGCATCCTGTGATTGTATCATAATTTGAACACTTAATATACGATCAATACTTTCTCACCTGTTATCACCTTAAAACAGCATTATTCGGTACGCTGCCAACATACACAGCACTCTAAGATCACATCAACAATGCACACACTTGAAATGAAAGGATTTTCCAGGGCTGTGGATATACGGGTGGTGTTTGGGTTTTGTTGGCGGGCAGTTAACCAACGATCAAATCATTTTGTCAGTGTTTGCAGAAAATACTGTTCTCCGTTTCTGACATTTGTGCTATTGGTAGGACTAATATTATCCGGTTGTTTCATATCCTTTGGTTACTGTAGTTGGAATATATGTGTGAAATCTACTACCGACATATATATAGTAACATTTAATTTCAGCTGCTACTGATTGTTACACCATTGTGAGCGGCACTGCCGTCTACAGCGGTACAACATCTGTCACCAGAAATGGACATACCTGTCAGGACTGGTCATCGCAGTCTCCAAACTCCCATGGATACATCGATAGCTTCTTCGCCATCACCAACGGAGATGCCGGTCCTGGACATGCAGCCGCTTCCAACTACTGCCGAGATCCTTGGGGAGCAGGCAAGAGACCTTCTGGTTATCTGTGGTGCTACATTGCTAGTGGCAATCCAAGATGGGAGAGATGTGACGTTCCTAAATGTACTGCCACAACCACTGCTGCTGCAACAACAACGGCTGCAGCAACAACCACTGCTGCTGCAACAACAACGGCTGCAGTAACAACAACGGCTGCAGTAACAACAACGGCTGCAGTAACAACAACGGCTGCAGTAACAACAACTGCTGCTGCAACAACAACGGCTGCAGCAACAACAACGGCTGCCGCATCAACAACGGCTGCAGCAACAACCACTGCTGCCCCAACAACAACTGCTGCCGCAACAACAGCCGGTGCATCTGGTAAGCCAAGGATAGCAATGTGCCCCTATAGTTAACTTCATTTAACCAATGGTATCATGGTATTAATCCATAAAACTCTGGAATATATTTTTCAATCAGTCTCTTTCTTTTTTAATTTAGAGAACTCCGCTAGGATGTACGAATGCAAAACTATACATACCAGTGTCCAAAGATAAATATCGATGATGTGTTAAATGGTTAAATTAGATCAGTTATGTATACAGCGTCAGACGTATCCAGGCCAACAAACCTGATCTTGTCTTTTTTGATAAACCCAATGAAATCATTTCTATTATTGAATTTTCTGTCCCTTTTGACACTAATGTGATTGATTCAGGATAAAACATGGCAAATATGCAGACCTCGCTTTCAAAATGTCATGCTTCCATCCAGTATAAGACGCTGGGTCAATTGACGTTTAAGACATCCCACACACAATCTCAAATTATCTTTTAGAAATATAGATACCAAATGCTAAAGGCAGTCTTACTCGTCTTAAGGCTTGCTACTTGTCCACTATGGCAACGTGATATTAACATGGACTTAGTGGATGATTGTTTCACACGACATCAATAATCTGTGACATGACTAAATAAGCTTAAACTCTTAATCAGATTTCAGTGGGGAATGCTAGCATTATTTCTACTGGTTCGCCGAATCCAGACCTGAATCATTTATGAATCATGAATAAACGACTGATATGGCTTGATGCAAGGTGCTTTGAAAATAGACTTGATGTGGTCAATAGTTTGCAGTCATTTAAACAATCCTCTACGGTTAGAATTTGGTTCATCCTAAACCTGATATTCTTCAATGTAACAGGTTGTTAATTCGAAGTTGCAGTCGCGACTGCATTTAGTTTATAAAACTGTGTTCACTTGCTGTTTCAAGTTTTTCTTTAGTGACATTTTGACCTGTTCCTTTGACACTTTAACATATAAACCTGTTCATAAGGTGTTCTTATGTGTACTGCAATCTGTAACACATATTTGTTGTCTTCATCAGCTAGTAGTTATATAATGCAGGTTATTTTGTGCAAAGGATCATGCAGTTGAACATGGATACCCCACTCAGATGCTTTATCCAACAGACAACGAAGGCAACCATTGATAAAATCACAATTTGAACATTTATTTGAAGTTTGAATGTTATGTACTTAGACATATACCTTGTAAAACGTTTTGAAAAAGGAGGTGGACATATCAAAGAAAACATGACTTCCTTCTTGTGGTCAGATGCATTTTTAAAGTTTTGACTGTCACTTTCAGCTACTGATTGTTACACTATTGTGAGCCGCACTGCCGTCTACAGCGGTACAACATCTATAACCTCAAGTGGACACACCTGTCAGGACTGGTCATCACAGTCTCCAAACTCCCATGGATACATCGATAGCTTCTTCTCCATCACCAACGGAGATGCCGGTCCTGGCCATGCAGCCGCTTCCAACTACTGCCGAGACCCTTGGGGAGCTGGCAAGAGACCATCTGGTTATCTGTGGTGCTACATTGCTAGTGGCAATCCAAGATGGGAGAGATGTGACGTTCCTAAATGTGCTGCCACAACCACTGCTGCTGCCACAACTACTGCTGCAGCAACAACAACGGCTGCAGCAACAACCACTGCTCCTGCAACAACAACGGCTGCAATAACAACAACGGCTGCAGCAACAACCACTGCTCCTGCAACAACAACGGCTGCAGCAACAACCACTGCTTCTGCAACAACGAGTGGCACTACAACAACTGGCACTACAACTACTGGTACTACAACAACTTCTGCAACAACAACATCTGCTACGACAACAGCAGGTGTGTAGTGACTGTTCCAAAGGGAAGAGTTCCACGATTTCTTAAAGTGATCATTAAAACGCCTTTTGACATTTCATTAAGGGGAAAGCTGTTTTATATATCTAATGTAATGTATGTTACATTTTGTAAATAATAAGTTATTTAGTTATTGATTCAAATCGCCACTTCTAGTCATGCAATGAATATAAGCTGGTCCTATAAATATATGTGTTCATGTCCATGTCAGTCAAACCTAGGATTTCACTATATATCTCTGATTTATACAGTGGTTCCGGAAAGTAGTGTGTTAGTACAGTAGTTTTAATAGCCTTTTACAATATCATAATACCATGCTGTTGTTCCTTACTGGAACTAATTTATGTTCCATATAATGGATGTTGTGTACGTTGTTAGTATTAAAGCATGCATCTAAATGCACGCTTTTTACTTTCAGCTGATTGTTACACCATTGTCAGCGGCACTGCCGTCTACAGCGGTACGACATCTGTCACCTCAAGTGGACACACCTGTCAGGACTGGTCATCGCAGTCTCCAAACTCCCATGGATACATCGATAGCTTCTTCGCCATCACCAACGGAGATGCCGGTCCTGGACATGCAGCCGCTTCCAACTACTGCCGAGATCCTTGGGGACCTGGCAAGAGACCCTCTGGTTATCTGTGGTGTTACACTGCTAGTGGCAGTCCAAGATGGCAGAAATGTGATGTTCCGCGTTGTTGATTTTCTGTTGAATGATAGTCAGCAATAAATACTTGAAGCTTTCACAAACTGGTTTCGTTTTTAACACATACATACATAGATTATGGCTGACAGTAATGAGCTGAACCTGATATCAATAAACAGACTAATTAAGTGCTAATATTCATCCAAATAAATAAAAGCGACAAAGCCATTTCAATAATCATAAGAAATCTCTGCTTAAAGCAGAGCCCGTTGTACGATTCCGACTGAATTACAAGAATCTGTTCTTGGAGAGATGAGCGCATCCTGCCCCACCAGTGACCTTATCTTTATAAGTCGTTTCTGTCTCTCAGTTACGCTATGAGATTCCTTGAGGTTACAGTTAGGTATTAACGTATGTGATGCAGTTGGTTAATGATTGATCTGTTTAAAACATGCATTATTTGATTTTTCATAGCGTAATTCAATAATTTTCACTTATATTTTATATTTAATGATTCTTATCTTTTAGTCATGTCAATTAATTCTTTCAGGTTATTGCAACGTATCTGGTTGTTTTCGGTATTGCGTCTGGTTCATTTTGGCAGCGTATCTGACATAATGATCTAAAAGCCAGAGGTTGTGGTCGATCTTTGAAATCGTTCCTTGCTTAATTCAGTTTTTATGTAAGCAACACATTACTCGTACACGAAAGCGGTCCAATGGCGGCCAGATATGTTACCATTGAAATTCTACATAGAGGATTAATAAATCAAACAAATAAATAGACCCGAGACCCTTTCCACTTGATACGAAAGGGAGATCCGTCAAGGATTTAAAATTAAAAGCGACAAAACCCTTGCCATAAATTTCAGCCATTGTACGATTCCAACTATATCATCAGCATGTGTCTAGAATATAGAAATATTATATAGTGCCAATAAATACAAGAAACCAAACCATTTCCATAATCATAAAAAAAAAATCGCTACCTATTATACGAATCCGAATACATAAAAAGCGGGGCGATCAGGTAGTGGCTAAAGCGTTCGCTTGTCATGCCGAAGACCCGGGTTCAATTCCCGACATGGGTAGAAATGTGTGAAGCCCATTTCTAGTGTCCCCCCGCCGTGATATTGCTGGAATATTGCTAAAAGCGGCGTAAAACCATACCCACACACATAATAAGCATGTGATGATGCCAGGTGTTCGCGAAAATTATCATTATTATTATATTCAGATTTAAATAAATAAATGCAGCAAAGAGGGTTGGTTGATCCTGGCACAGTCAGGCTGGTTAGGTTCATCATCAGCCTAGGGCCCTTGCCCCCTCTACACGCAGTCCAGACAGCAAATGGGACTTCTCCCAGGAAGCGCTGCCTTGTCAAACCCACCCAGAACGTTTTGGAGAATGTGAAGACTTCCCAACACTGCAGCCTTCTGTATTACACAGATTGTCAAAAGGGCTGTATTCCTGGTAGCAAATCCGGGTACTCTCCCAATGTGATTCAACAGATTGGGAGGTACCAAAACTAAGGCACCGAAGACAATGGTGGAATCGAACAACTTGGTGCTTGGGATGCAAACATGAGATTTCGAGAGCGAGGTCCGCTTATTTGCCATGTTTTTCCTCAATGTTGTCAATCACATAAGTGTCAAAAGGGACAAAAAAAAGCAATGATATCAATGATTTCATTGATTTATAAAAAAGGACAAGATCAAGTTTGTTGGCCTGTTACGGGCCAATTCCATAGAGTTTTATATTTATCATATTCCATGACGCCCTCGACATATTCCGGGTCGTACCATGGATGGGCCTCTGATCACAAGCATGGCGAAGACGGTAATAGAAAAGATCGAGCCACTCCATCATGTCGCTTAAGATACTGTGTTTGTGCCAAAGCTGGACATCCATTGACAATGTGTTTGACAGTCTCATTAAATGGATGGCATAATCTACATTTCATATTTACATTTTGATGCCACATCTAAAACAGACGGTTTCGAATGGGGAGGTTACTGGTTCCTCTGCTCTGAAAAGTAGCCATCCTGCCGTAAATGTGAACCTAGATGTGTGTGCGATGAGACATCTGTTATTGGAGTACCTTTCATTTCAAGAACTGTTTTTTGGCTTTGGTTAATTGTTCTTGAAAAGATTATGGTTTCAGTTCTGAATTAAACGTTACTTGCCATTTTTGCACCCATACGGAGATTCTTTCTAGGTCAGTATTTAACTTGCTTGCTGTTGTGTTAGGATCATCGACAATTATATAAAGTGACGTATCACCTGCAAAGAGACTTGTATTACTATCTATGAGATCACCCAGGTCATTTATAAAGATAAATATCAATAATAACCGATCCCTGTGAAATATCTGCTAAGATAGATTTTAATTGTGATTCTTCGCCGTTAAAAACCACTTTTTGTATTCTATTTGAGAGAACATTTTTACAATTGACCTCGAATCCCACATGAAGATATACAACTGTACATAAGATACATATAAATAAAAAGGACAAAACCATTTCCATATTCACAAGAAATCTCTAATGACAGCAGAGTCGATTGTACGATTCCGACTGTATCATGATCTGGTAGTGTCAAAGGGTCTTGATTTGGGCGGATGTCACCACAGCAGTGTAACATAATCATTTGTAGGATAACGTGGTGAAGAAACTGTGATCTATATGACATACATGCATTACAAAGGTGTGAACGATTATGGAATGTATGTGTGTTCTTTGGGTATATTGCGAATATGCCAAACACTGGCTGTAATGTACGATATCAGTCCCATCGTCGAAGTTCATCGCAAGCCAAGTACAGACAATCCGCGATTGGCAATGCAAGTGTGACGACATATTCATAAATACACAAGGTAATATTTGCTCAGTAGGGACAGTAAAACACAAGGATTACTGGGGAAATGTTAGTGATACCTTTTGGTAAACTGAACAATAGAAAGAGGAAAATAAATCTCCATTATTTGGTGTAGGGTAATAAGAATCTAACTGAGAAACTAATTGATAGGGGAAATAATATAAGATAGGTTTTCATGATAGATTGTGTGAACAAAATAGTAAATAAATAGAGAAAATACCAATAATAATAAGATTATGTTGACAGTCATCAATAATCTGAGCTCACGCCTTGAGTAAGTCTAGGTCCTGACTTCTGTGCATCGCAACCTCTCTGAATTGCACGGACTCGGCACGTGCACATGAAATAAACAAGCAACACCTGGTGGAATCAAACTTTAACTTATAACAGGTTGGGATATCCGTCGAATATCAAGGAATATGCAGTCACCATATTAAGGATGAGATAAGTGTTGATGCAAGCCATTTCCAGGTAAGTTGAGAGATTTAATCTGTTTATATGAACGAGTACTGGGATTCATGCTATGCGCTGTGTTTGAATATGCATGGCCATTGTTGTGTAATATGGTTGATGGCGCACGTTGTTTACGAAGTAAATCATGTTCAGGTATATCAGGTAAGACAGGCAAATGAAGGGCAATCACGCGTCATACCGAAAGTAGCCTGCTTGTACCAACGTCCATGACCCATAAGTCACGGTGTATCATGTGGGTGGGTCCCCTCCTCTCACAACGTTGACGGTATACTTTCATGTTCAGTGGTAAGCTCGCAAAATACATTGTAATATATAAACATTGCTTATACAGATTACAAGGTCACAATAATGCCTCTATGTAAACAATTATATGTTCAAATGTAACCTCTTAATTTGTTGCATGAGGTCATCCCGCCATTTGCTAAATGTCACTCAATGTCACGCATTGTCACACATTATTAGCCGAATGTGTTAACAATAATATTGTAGGCACCCAACGGGGACTGTTGGGATGAGTATTTTCACACCGTGACACCATGCCATGTCCAAGGTATGTCAGAGACCCGTGAAGATCCGGGTTAGAATAGGTCCTCAGCAACCCATGCTTGATGTAACAGGCGACGACGCTTGTCGTTAGAGGCGACTAACGGGTTCGGGTGGTCAGACTCGCTGACTTGGTTGATGCATGTCATCGTATCCCGATTGCCTAGATCGATGCTCGTGATGTCTATCACTGGATTGTCTTGTCCAGATTCGATTATTTTCAGGCCCCCGTCATATAGCTGGAATATTGAGTTCGGCGTTTAGTTTATCGTCCAGTTTATTCGCAAACACCACTCCGTCAGGGACCCATGTTCCCGATAAGCATTTGTCAGCTAATCTCACTCGCTCGTTAATGATAAGTGAGTGGGTTGGGTTTAACATTATTCCAGTTATATCACGGCGTCTCGGCTTAAAGTGGGGGGAAAGCCCGAAGTGGTGCGGTTCTCCGACGTTTACCACTTCGATGAAACCCACGAGCATGGGTATGGTGCTGACAAACCTAGAAACATAATCGGGGCGAACCGGGATTCGAACCCACAATCATAGGTTTCTGGTGTGCCCATGGGAGGCAAATTTGCACAGCGAATCGCGGCCCCTAAGACTACTGAGCCACCCGTGCCCTTCGTTAATGATAACCTTTGGTTGGCTACCCTTCAGTTTAGTTAAGTTTTACAACACCTCGCGTTTTGTCCGATAAGAGAAACACTTGGCCAAGATGAGGCTGGACTTGTCCAGGAATTCGTCAGGGTCACAAAGAACGGTCGATGTCTCGAAGTTCGTTTTTAACACCGAGATCTCCGAATAAGTTCTGCACTATAGTGTCTGTATTTTCACCATGCTTCTTATGTGCCAGACTTATTGGTACATCTCATCAATTTGAGTGTCTTTCGATGCCATCCTCTGAGTTAAATCAGTAATTTTTTCAAGATCTTTAATTTTTTCTTTCGCTCTGAATGTATTTCTCAAACATTAATCTTCGGTAACAGTTTGATGACTAAAGCTTTACCTTGCTTTGATAACAGTTCGGGTGAGCTTCAGCGTCCAACCTCAATAGGAATGATTGCCGGTTCTAAAATTTAATAAGTTTATCCATCTACTTAAGAAATAGGCCCGTGAAGATCCGGGGTAGAACAGGTCTTCAGCAACCCATGCTTGTCTTAAGAGGCGACTATCGGGATCGGGTTGTCAGGCTCGCTGACTAATTTGATGTCATCGCACACAATTGCGTGGATCGATGCCCATGATGTCAAACACAGGACTGTCTGGTCTAGACTCCTTTATTTACAGACCGCCATCATATGCCTGCAATATTGCTGAGTTATGCGTTAAACAACCAACAAACAAATAACAACAGTTTGGGGAGAGACGGGCGAAGTACGTCGTCATTTTGTTAGGTATGGGGAGTCTGACATCAAAGTGATTATTCACACGTTTTCACAGTACCGTAGTGGCGTAGATACTAAATTTGTTATTACCATCAGAACAATGTTCAGTATGATCAAACAGGAGTCACTTTGACGTATTCAATATGGCCTCCCATCCGAGTGTCACAATGACATCAATCCAGTTCTGCATCCAAGTAAAGTGTGTCATCCAAGGAATATTCCATTTTTCATCCAATATTTATATCAATATTATCTCCGATTAGTGGTACAGCGTCCGCCCGGGGAGCGGAAGGTTGGGCGTTCAATCCGCGGCCGCGTATTTCTATCCCACTGAGATACCATGCCGCAGTTTAACATGCATACCCACTAAGACACAATATACTGACCCCGAGTCGACCATTTCTTGTTTTTTTCCACTGAATGCCGAGCGCCAGGCAGGGCAAAACAAGTTCCATCTTTTAACGTCTTTTGGTATGACGCGGCTGGAGACCCAACCCGGACCTTCCGCTCTCCGGGCAAAGGCTCTATCCACTAGACCACTGCAGTTGCCATGCTCTTCGCAAAGAATCATAAGAAAAGGTCAAGTGACGTGTTTCAAGAATCCAGGTAGCTGCAGACAGGTAGCTGTAGAATGACTGAGTGAGTGAGCAAGTGAGGTTTAAGCAGCTTTGAACAATACATCACGGCGTGTCAGCGTAATGTGGTAGAAAAATCCCAAAGTGATGCTTGCCAAGGATTATACCTATTTTTCTTTGATCAATCTCATTAAAATCAGACCTTATTTCTCGCTCCCGCTAAACAAAGATCTGAGGACATCCCATTACGGGTCACGTCAGAACGACCTTTCGTCCAACCAATCAGACCGTCGCTTACCAGATCCTGAAAGTGACAGTCAGAATGTGTTTTCTAATAATGCAACCTCGAAATATTTAACACGGGGTATTCCGAACCACAGTTACAGGTTTTATGATTATATCCATACAATCTAGGCCACCTATAAGCCATTCCAGAATGTTGTTTTGGTTAGTTTTAACTTTTGTAATCGAGAATACGTCAAAATATGTTTCGAAGCGTAGTCGCCAGTTTGAAACTAGTGCCGTAAAGCTCGAGAAAGCTGCCTTCTGATTGGCTAATGTCGATTTCTTGTCAGTCATTCCATTGATCGGTCAATCTTCGCGAAAGGTCGTTCTGACGTGACCCGTAATGGGATGTCCTCAGATCTTTTTTTAGCGGTAGCGAGAACTAAGATCTGATTTTAATGAGATTGTTTCTTAGATATGACCCATCACTTCCCTCTACGACCCGTGAAGATCCGGGGTAGAATAGGGGTTCAGCAACCCATACTTGCCATAAAAGGCGACTGTGCTTGTTGTAAAAGGCGACTAACGGAATCGGGTGGTCAGGCTCGCTGACTTGGTTGATGGTTGATCCCAATTGCATGGATCGATGTTCATAATGTTAATCATTGGATTGTCTGGTCCAGACTCGATTATTTACAGACCGCCGTCATATAGCTGGACTTTTGCTGAGTGCGGCGTAAAACAACAAACCAACCAAACAACCAACTTCCATCCACAAATCTTTATGTCTGGTAATGAGACGGGACCGTTAATACCACGTGACAGTGTGGACACTGACAATGAATTGATGAAGGATATTATATGATTATTCCCAACACAAAATTTAAACAAAATATCTTTAATACATTCATATATGGTCATATTTACAAGGCAAAGAACGGCTAAATTACACGGAGGCAGATCAACACTGATTAACGCCACATTTCTCCCATCCGGATCCAGCCGAGTTGTAGCACCACACAAACCCGGCCGGGAGAACGCTCCCCCCTGAAGGGTCGCGGCAGTAGTTGCTGGCGCCAGCGTACCCAGAGCCAGGGTCACCGTTGGTGATGTCGAAGTGGATGGGTTGGTAGGCATGGTTGTTTGGGGACGTCATGCCCCATGCTTGACACGTGTTTCCAGCCAAAGTGACCGATGTCTTACCTGTGTAGACGGCCGTACCTCCTTGAAGGGTGTAGCAATCGGCTGAAAAAGATAATCACTAGCGGTCAAGGCGATCAAAAGCTGGTAAAATAGTCCAGTTTCAAAAACGATTGTTCAGTCAAGTCAGTGATGTTTTGTTATACCCCGACCTTAAAGGTCCATCCGTCCGTTCTCCCGAGGACATTTGAAACAACCACTGCATAGATTCTGTTCAAACTTGGTGTGGGGCGGTCGGGTAGCCTAGTGGTTAAAGCGTTCGCTCGTCACGCCGAAGACCCGGGTTCGATTCCCGACATTGGTACAATGTGTGAAGCCAATTTCTGGTGTCCCCCGCCGTGATAATGCTGGAATATTGCTAAAAGCGGCGTAAAACCAAACTCACTCACTCACTTCAAATTTGGTGAACACTTTTTATACCTATAGGAGAGATGTAGAGCGAAGTTTGATTTCAATATCTGGATTTTCATTTTGTTTACTTATAATTTTTTTACTGAAACATCTGTGCGACCGATAACTTGAAAACTACCGCATGGATTCTTTCAAAATTAGTGACCAGTTACCATACTAATAGAAGAGGGAAAATTTGATAAATTTGAATTTGAAAAATATGATGTCTTTCATTTTGGTCGTTTTTTAACAGAAACCTTTGTGCAACATATAACTTGAAAAGTACTTTGTGGATTCTTTTCCAGTTGGGGGTACATTTTCTATACCAAAAGGAGTAGTGCAGTGCGAAGTTTGTTTTCGATAAGCGGATATTCTGAGAAATATTGCTTTTTTCATGATTTGAAATTAGAAATAAGTTGGAGTCGAAGTCGGGGATATTAGTGAGTCCTACTCTTTTTGTGTCTTGTTTCTTCATATATTCATCCAGCCATCTCTTCGCCACATCAACGCCTAGTTTATAGCGTTTGTTACAGACTAGAGGACACGCTTGCCTCGGGAAGATAACACTCATAATACAGCGAAGAAGGGTTTATTGATTTAGTAAGTGAGTTGTGTTTGACGCTGCTTTTAACAGTATTCAAGTTATATCACAGTGTGTCAGCTTAATGTGGGAGGAAAGCCCGAAGTGATGCAGGTCTTGAACGTTTGCTACTTTGATGAAACCCACGAGCACGGGCCTGGTGTTGACTATCCCAGAAACGGGGATTGAAACCCACGATCATAGGTTTCTGGCGTGCCCAAGGGTCGCAACTCTGCACAGCGAATTGCGGTGCCTTACACATGTGCCGCCAAATGAGGCAAGAGAAGAAGATGAGAACAGAAGTCTAGAAGAACACGAAAGGAATGACGGAGAGGGAAGGTGACGGAGGGAGAGGGAGGTGACGGAGAGGGAAGGTGACGGAAGTAGATGGAGACGGAGATGACTGAAAGGGAAGGTGATGGAGACGGAGGTGACGGAAAGGGAGGTGACGGAGAGGGATGTGACGGAGGCGGAGGGAGAGGGAGGTGACGGAGAGGGAGGCGGAGGTGACGGAGGGTGAGGGAGGTGACTGAAAGGGAAGGTGACTGAGAGGGAGGTGACGGAAAGGGAGGTGACGGAGAGGGATGTGACGGAGGCGGAGGGAGAGGGAGGTGACGGAGAGGGAGGCGGAGGTGACGGAGGGTGAGGGAGGTGACTGAAAGGGAAGGTGATGGAGACGGAGGTGACTGAGAGGGAGGTGACGGAGAGGGAGGTGACGGAGAGGGATGTGACGGAGGCGGAGGGAGAGGGAGGTGACGGAGAGGGAGGCGGAGGTGACGGAGGGTGAGGGAGGTGACTGAAAGGGAAGGTGACTGAGAGGGAGGTGACTGAGAGGGAGGTGACGGAGAGGGATGTGACGGAGGCGGAGGCGGAGGGAGAGGGAGGTGACGGAGAGGGAGGCGGAGGTGACGGAGGGTGAGGGAGGTGACGGAAAGGGAAGTAGACGGATACGGAGGTGGCCGGGACGGAAGGTGACGGAGACGGAGGTGACTAAGAGGGAAGGTGACGGAGAGGGAGCTAACGAAGAGGGACGGTGACGATATATAGGGAGAGGGTGGTGACGGAGGTGGCGGAGAGGGTGGTGACGGAGGTGATGGAGGTGGCGGAGATGGTGGTGACGGAGGTTGCGCATTAGAAAAGGGAAGGGGTAAGCCAAAAAAAGTTGCTAGGAGAAGAGAAATGTTTTATAGTGGAAGAGAACGAGCTGACGAATACATGATCAAAAGAAGAAGATTGCACGGCAGTCAAAGGAAAGAGAAGTCAGTGATGGAATGGTATCCAAGAAAAAGTAAGACGGATTTGAAGCGTGTTCAACCGAAGAGGAATGAGCTGATAAAAGCAACGTAAAAAATAAAAATGAAAGGAAGAATATACCACGAAATAGAAAGGAAAGGGCAAAGCGACACAAATGACAGAGAAGTGAGTGACCAAGTAAACTTTACCAGAGTTTGAAATCACACTTGCTCAAGAACAACAAAACATACATGCATGAAGTAAAGTGTATTGAGAAGATCAATATATCACCATAATCAACACTGAAAATGACAACCATACCGCGACCGAGAATGACGTCAGAGCCCCCCAAAGTTGGGTGTGGTACAAAACTCGAGCTTTCAGAATCATGGACAATAGGCAGAGTACATAAACTATCGCTCACGTTCAATAACAAGTCATTAGTAGCGTGTGTGACCACCAAATGCCTCAATACACGCAAAAACTCTTCGACGCACAGAAAAAGTCAGTCGTCTGATGAGGTCACGTGGGATTTGACGCCATTCTTCTTGGAGGGCCAAGATCAGTTCTTGCCGGTTGGCTGGAGAGTGTGGTCGTTGTCGAACACGACGATCCATCAAGTCCCAGAGGTGTTCTATGGGGGACATGTCGGGTGAGCATGCAGGCCACGGCAGGACGTTGACGTTGTTGGCTGCGAGGAAGTTAGTGACAATTCTGGCTGTATGGGCTCTAGCGTTGTCATGCTGATAAATGACACCACGTGGCTGCTGTTGGAGAAATGGTAGGACAACTGGACGAAGAATGTTATCCATGTAACGCTGAGCTGTCACGTTTCCGTCAACGATGACCAGCGGTGTCCTCTCCTGCCCACAGATCCCTCCCCACACCATGACACTCCCTCCACCATATGGTACGACCTCCTGCACGCAACACGCCGCCGTTCGTTCACCCCTTCGGCGGTAAACACGTTGTCTTCCATCAGCCCTAAACATACAGAATCGACTTTCGTCAGTGAAGACAACCCTATGCCAGTCACGTCGTTGCCAACGTCGTACAGTCCGGGCCCATCTCAATCGCAGACGACGATGTTGCGCTGTCAATAGCTGTCCTCTGTATGGTCCAAAAAGCCCGGATTCCATGAGCCCTGAGTCTCCTGGCCACTGTCTGTCGACTAACCCTGTGACCTAAGGCATTTGTCGCCGATGACGTCACTGTCAGGAAGCGATTTCGGAGGTGCAAGGTACGCAAGTACCGGTCATCATGGGGCGTGGTCACCCTGGGTCTGCCTGTTCTTGGCCTGTCAGCAGTCCGCCCCGTCTGTCTATAACGTTGCATCAAGTTGGTAACGGCAACACGGGAGCAACCGAAGGTTTGTGCAATACGGGCGTGGGTGGCTCCCTTCTGCACCACACCGAAGGCTCGTTCGCTTTGTTCGACCGTGAGTCGTGGCATTTCTTTTTTGTGTTTTTTTTTATCACTGTGGACGTCTGACTTGCCGTTGCAATCGTTTTATACCCTTACCCGCACGTGCATTTGCAGTTGTCCGTGGTGCACGTGTTTTTCACTTTTTCGCGTGTTATCTCGCAAACATGTAACAGACGATTAACATTTTCTACATACGCTATTGTTGTATTTAGGTTATGTGTTTTAGATAGACTTCATCGAAAAAAAAATTATACTTTGTCTGAAATTTATATTTTCAGTTGGTAAATTTTCTTTTGGACTTTAGAGTTTATATGCAATTACGCCTCTTTTAGGAAAATCCCAGGAATATCACGACGGGGGAACACTAGAAAGGGGCTTTACACATTGTACTCATGACAATTATCGGATTCGAGTTTTCGGCGTGACGAGCGAACGCTTTAATTTCTTGGCGAAACCGCCCCCCTGATTTAGAGTAACATGGGAAGCGGAAATATAGGTGAGGTGGGGTGAAAAAGGGTTTTCAAGAATGTTGCACTTATAAAGCGACGTGCACGCACGTGTGTGTGTGTGTGTGGCAGCTTGCGTTAGTGCTGAATAATGGGGGCGGTCGGGTAGCCTAGTGGTTAAAGCGTTCGCTCGTCACGCCGAAGACCCGGGTTCGAATCTCGACATGGGTACAATGTGTGAGGCCTATTTCTGGTGTCGTGATATTGCTGGAATATTGCTGAAAGCGGCGTAAAACCAAACTAACTCACTCACTCCTGACTAATGCTGAATTTATAGTGCTAGCCCACTAAGATACCGTGCCGCTGTTTAACAGGAATACCCAACTCACACACCGTATACTGACTCCGAGCCGACCAGTCCTTGTTTTAGCCCCTTCATGCCGAGCGCCAGGCAGGGTAACAACAAGTTCCATCTTTTAACGTCTTTTGGTAGGATTTGGTTGGTTTGTTGTTTAACGCCGCACTCAGCAAAATTCCAGCTATATGACGGCGGACTGTAAATAATCGAGTCTGGACCAGACAATCCAATGATTGACATCACGAGCATCGATCCATGCAATTGGGATCGATGACATGCATCAACCAAGTCAGCGAGCGGCTGAGGATCGAACGCCCGACCTTCCGCTTTCCAGGCGGACGCTCCACCGCTAGACTACGGAGGCGGTCCAGGAATATAGGGTTATGTTAGAGGTAGCCCCAGGTCGTATTCTTCAACCAACAAGAGCTATGTTATGCTGAAAGAGCAATAGTCCTGAAAGGCAGGTGGTCGCAACTCTCTACAGAAGGCGAGATCATGTATCATACATACGTGTTTGTGTCGTGCCAGGTCCACCAAGGCTGGAGCACAGAGGAACATTACAATTCTCGAAGCCTCCAGTTATCACAAAACACCATAGAGTCCCAGAAGGAGAGACAGGTCCACCTGAAGGATCGCGGCAGTAGTTCTTGGCAGCATTGTAGCCAGATCCTGAGGCCCCGTTGGTTGTGTCGAAGTAACTTGAGTAGTAGGAGTGTTGGTTTGGGGTCTGGGATGACCATTGTTGACAGGTTTTACCAGTCTCGGACACACTTGCCGTTCCACTGTAGACAGCTGTGCCCCCTTGAACGTTGTAACAACCGAAATCTGCAATGATGATTATGACACAGGGTGTGGCAGATGTATGGTTGCTGAATACGAGTGAGCTGAATAGTTTATTGTGTACAACTCAGGATGAGTTATTAAAACATCTGTAATATTATGTATTTTATGCATACAAAAAAGACATGGAGTCGTAAAATCCATGCAATGTGCTTCACATTGTATTATTGGTATTGCATTTCTTGTATATGGGCCAAAAGCCTTCATACAGATAAACTAATTTTGACTTTGACTTTGAATAGGTTTCAAAAAGAACAAGTTACTTTGCTTTTCGATGTCTTATTATTGTACCTCCAATACGATTTAGTTCCTTACATGTAAGTACCACACATAGAGTACCACCCCCACAAGAACCACCCATACAAGTACCACCAGTGCCTGTACCCCTTGTGCTAGTAGCACCTGGACCATGGCAAGTACCACCCGTGCCTGTACCCCTTGTGCTAGTAGCACCTGGGCCTTGGCAAATGCCACCCGTGCCTGTACCCCTTGTGCTTGTAGCACCTGGACCATGGCAAGTACCACCCGTACCGGTGGCATCCACACCACCTGTTCCAATACCATCCCGTGTAAGTATCCTCCGCGTTTGTGCCACCTGTGCCAGTACAACTGGTTACAGTACCAGTACCCTTTGCCAATATCTCAAGTAATATTTGCAGTAACCTACCCAAGTACCACCAGTGCCGTTACACCCACACCAGTGCCACCCTAACACATATCCCCTAGTACTCCACCTCAATCCCATCCCCCTCAGTACCAGAACATCCAAGGCAACTACCAACCATGCTATTACCTTCAAATAATCACTCGCGTCAGTACCACCTGTGTCGTGAAACCCGTACCAGCGCCACCCGAACCAATACCCCCCAACACACACCAATCCACCCCCACCCCCTGTACCAATACATCAATGGCAAGTAACACCCATGTCTTTACCACTCGTACCAATGTCACCCGAGCCATTACCCCCTGAACCAGTATCCCCAGTGCTAGTACCATCTTTAACCAGTACCACTTGTGTCATACCTCCTGCAGCTATAGCTCCTGTGGTGGTACCGCCTGTACCAGTACCAGTACCGCCTGTGCCGGTACCGCCTGTTCCAGGACCACCTGTACACAGAGGAACAGGGGTACATTTCTCCCAAATCCCATTTGGGACAAAACACCACAGAAACCCAGCAGGAGACACAGGTCCACCTGACGGGTCGCGGCAGTAGTTGCTGGCAGCGCTGTAGCCAGACCCAGAGGCCCCGTTGGTTGTGTCGAAGTAACTTGAGTAGTAGGAGTGTTGGTTTGGGGTCTGGGATGACCATTGTTGACAGGTTTGGCCAGTCACCGACACATCCGCCGTGCCGCTGTAGACTGCCGTGCCGCTTTGAACGTAGTAGCAGCCTAAATCTGCAAGGATAAAGATGCTGAATGACTAAGATGAATGCACAGATAATGAGGTTCCGATTAGGGCAAGCTACTTAGAATATTATGGTTTGTATCATTAAAATGCCTAAAATTCAGTGATGGATTGGGATATGATAGATCTGAAAGGGGTTTTGAGACGGTATGGGGGTTAGATGGGGTTTTGAAGGAGAGGGTATGGGGATTAGATGGGGTTTTGAAGGAGAGGGTATGTGGTTAGATGGTGTTTTGAAGGAGAGGGTATGTGGTTAGATGGTGTTTTGAAGTAGAGGGTATGGGAGTTAGATGGTGTTTTGAAGGAGAGGGTATGGGAGTTAGATGGGGTTTTGAAGGAGAGGGTATGGGGTAAGATGGGGTTTTGAAGGAGAGGGTATGGGGGTTAGATGGGGTTTTGAAGCAGAGGGTATTGGGGTTAGATGGTTTTTTGAAGGAGAGGGTATGGGGGCTAGGTGAGGTTTTGAAGGAGAAGGCATGGGTTTCTAGATGGGGTTTTGAAGGAGAGGGTATGGGGGCTAGATGGGGTTTTGAAGGAGAGGGTATGGGATTTAGATCGGGTTTTTTTTAGGAGGGGGTATGGGGGTTAGATGGGGTTTTTAAGGAGATGATATGGGATTTAGATGGGGTTTTTTTAAGGAGAGGGTATGGAGGTTAGATGGGGTTTTGAAGGAGAGGGTATGGGAGTTAGATGGGGTTTTGAAGGAGAGCGTATGGGAGTAAGATGGGGTTTTGAAGGAGAGGGTATGGGGGTTAGGTGGGGTTTTGAAGGAGAGGGTATGGGGGTAAGATGGGGTTTTGAAGGAGTGGGTATGGGGGTTAGATGGGGTTTTGAAGGAGAGGGTATGGGGGTCAGATGGGGTTTTGAAGGAGAGGGTATGGGGGTTAGATGGGGTTTTGAAGGAGACGGTATGGGGGCTAGATGTTTTTTTTAAGGAGAGGGTATGGGGGCCAGATTGGGTTTTGAAGGAGAGGGTATGTGGTTAGATTGGGTTTTGAAGGAGAGGGTATGGGATTTAGATCGTTTTTTTAAGGAGGGGGTATGGGGGTTAGATGGGGTTTTGAAGGAGAGGATATGGGATTTAGATGGGGGGATTTAAGGAGAGGGTATGGGGGTTATTTGGGGTTTTGAAGGAGAGGGTATGGGATTTAGATCGTTTTTTTAAGGAGGGGGTATGGAGGTTATATGGGGTTTTTAAGGAGAGGATATGGGATTTAGATGGGTTTTTTTGAAGGAGAAGGTATGGAGGTTAGATGGGGTTTTGAAGAAGAGGGTATGGGGGTTAGATGGGGTTTAGAAGGAGATGGGTGTGCGGTTATGGTTAGCGGAAGGAGATGGTAAAGGTAGATGAAGGAATGAGTATGGTTTTACGCCGCTTTAAGCAATGTTCTAGCAATATCACAGCGGGGACACCAGAAATGGGTGTCTCACATTGTACCATGTGGGGATTTGAACCCGGGTCTTCGGCGTGATGAGCGAACGCTTTAATCACTGAGGTTCCGATTAGGGCAAGCTACTTAGAATATTATGGTTTGTATCATTAAAATGCCTAATATTCAGTGATGGATTGGGATATGATAGATCTGAAAGGGGTTTTGAAGGAGTGAGTGAGTGAGTATGGTTTTACGCCGCTTTTAGCAATATTCCAGCAATATCACGGCGGGGGACACCTGAAATGGGCTTCACACATTGTACCCATGTCGGGAATCGAACCCGGGTCATCGGCGTGACGAGCGAACGCTTTAACCACTAGGCTACCCGACCGCCCCTGTTTTTGAAGGAGAGAGTATGGGAGTTAGATGGGGTTTTGAAGGAGATGGTATGGGGCTAAGATGGGGTTTGAAGGAGATGGTATGGGGGTAAGATGGGGTTTGAAGGAGAGAGTGTAGAGTTAGATGGGGTTTTGAAGGAGAGAGTATGGGAGTTAGATGGGGTTTTGAAGGAGAGGGTATGGGGGTTAGATGGGGTTTTGAAGGAGAGGGTATGGGAGTTAGATGGGGTTTTGAAGGAGAGGGTATGGGGTTTAGATGGGGTTTTGAAGGAGAGGGTATAGGGGTAAGATGGGGTTTTGAAGGAGAGAGTATGGGAGTTAGATGGGGTTTTGAAGGAGAGAGTATGGGAGTTAGATGGGGTTTTGAAGGAGAGGGGATGGGGGTTAGATTGGGTTTTGAAGGAGACAGTATTGGGGGTAGATGGGGTTTTGAAGGAGAGGGTATCGGAGTTAGATGGGGTTTTGAAGAAGACAGTATGGGGGTTAGATGGGGTTTTGAAGGAGAGGGTATGGGAGTTAGATGGGGTTTTGAAGGAGACAGTATGGGGGTTAGATGGGGTTTTGAAGGAGAGGGTATGGGGGTAAGATGGGGTTTTGAAGGAGAGGGTATGGGGGTTAGATGGGGTTTTGAAGGAGAGGGTATGGGAGTTAGATTGGGTTTTGAAGGAGAGCGTATGGGAGTTAGATGGGGTTTTGAAGGAGAGCGTATGGGAGTTAGATGGGGTTTTGAAGGAGAGGGTATGGGGGTAGATGTTTTTTTGAAGGAGACAGTATGGGGGGTAGACGGGGTTTTGAAGGAGAGGGTATGGGAGTGAGATGGGGTTTTGAAGAAGACAGTATGGGGGTTAGATGGGGTTTTGAAGGAGAGGGTATGGGAGTTAGATGGGGTTTTGAAGGAGACAGTATCGGGGTAGATGGGGTTTTGAAGGAGAGGGTATGGGAGTTAGATGGGGTTTTGAAGAAGACAGTATGGGAGTTAGATGGGGTTTTGAAGGAGAGGGTATGCGGGGTTAGATGGGGTTTTGAAGGAGAGAGTATGGGAGTTAGATGGGGTTTTGAAGGAGAGGGTATGGGAGTTAGATGGGGTTTTGAAGGAGAGCGTATGGGGGTAGATGGTTTTTTGAAGAAGAGGGTATGGGGGCTAGATGGGGTATTGAAGGAGAGGGTATGGGAGTTAGATGGGGTTTTGAAGGAGAGGGTATGGGAGTTAGATGGGGTTTTGAAGGAGAGGGTATGGGAGTTAGATGGGGTTTTGAAGGAGAGCGTATGGGAGTTTGATTGGGTTTTGAAGGAGAGCGTATGGGAGTTAGATGGGGTTTTGAAGGAGAGGGTATGGGGGTAGATGGTTTTTTGAAGGAGAGGGTATGGGGGCTAGATGGGGTATTGAAGGAGAGGGTATGGGAGTTAGATGGGGTTTTGAAGGAGAGGGTATGGGGGCTAGATGGGGTTTTGAAGGAGAGGGTATGTGGTTAGATGGGATTCTGAAGGAGAGGATATGGGATTTAGATGGGGGTTTTTTAAAGGAGAGGGTATGGGGGGTAGATGGGGTTTTGAAGAAGAGGGTATGGGGGTTAGATGGGGTTTTGAAGGAGATGGTTTGGGGGTTAGATGGGGTTTAGAAGGAGAGGGGTGCGCGGTTATGGTTAGCTGAAGGAGATGGTAAAGATAGATTAAGGGATGAGTATGGTTTTACGCCACTTTAAACACAGCGGGGACACCAGAAATGGGCTTCACACATTGTACCATGTGGGGATTTGAACCCGGGTCTTCGGCGTGATGAGCGAATGCTTTAATCACTAGGCTACCCCACCACCCCGGGTAGATGAAGGAGAGGTAGATTATATATTGGTCTTGATTTGGAGAGCAGGGAGCGGGAGGAGGAAAAGCTGGGTATCCATGTGGATCATTGGGTGGATTAGGGAAGGTGAAGACAGGAGAGACAGAAAAACAGCGTGAGAAGGTGGTGGTGGGGGATTGAGAGTGTTACCTTTAGTTGTAGTAGGTGTTGTCGTTGTAGTAGTTGTTGTCGTTGTAGTGGTTGTTGTGGTAGTTGTGGTAGTAGTTGGTGTTGTAGTGGTAGTTGGCGTTGTAGTGGTAGTTGGCGTTGAGGTCGTGGTGGATGTTGTGGTGGTAGTTGTAGTTGTAGGCGTAGTTGGCGTTGTAGTAGTGGTTGATGTTGTAGTCGTAGTTTCTTCTGTGGTAGTACTTTCTGTTGAAGTCGAAGTTGGTGTTGTGGTAGTGGTTGATGTTGTAGTCGTAGTTTCTTCTGTGGTAGTACTTTCTGTTGAAGTCGAAGTTGGTGTTGTGGTAGTAGTAGATGTTGTAGTCGTAGTCGGTGTTGTGGTTGTAGTCGGTGTTGTGGTAGTTGTTGGTGTTGTGGTCGTAGTCGGTGTTGTAGTAGTAGTCGGTGTTGTGGTAGTAGTCGGTGTTGTGGTAGTTGTTGGTATTGTAGTAGTCGTCGGTGTTGTGGTAGTCGTCGGTGTTGTGGTAGTAGTCGGTGTTGTGGTAGTTGTTGGTGTTGTAGTAGTCGTCGGTGTTGTAGTAGTAGTCGGTGTTGTGGTAGTAGTCGGTGTTGTGGTAGTTGTTGGTGTTGTAGTAGTCGTCGGTGTTGTGGTAGTAGTCGGTGTTGTGGTAGTTGTTGGTGTTGTAGTAGTCGTCGGTGTTGTGGTAGTTGTTGGTGTTGTAGTCGTAGTTGGTGTTGTAGTAGTAGTTGGTGTTGTGGTAGTTGTTGGTGTTGTAGTAGTAGTTGGTGTTGTAGTAGTAGTTGGTGTTGTCGTAGTAGTAGGTGTTGTTGTAGTTGTTGTCGTAGTAGTTGTCGTGGTTGTTAAGGCACAGTTAAGAATATCGCATCTCCCCCAGCCAGGTCCGTCGTTATAGAAGCACCAGAGGTACCCAGCGGCCCTGACACTCCCGGCGGCCGGGTCACGGCAGTAGTTGTTGGCCCCGCCATAGCCTGCGGCGGCGTCTCCGTTGGTAACGTCGAAGTAGTAAGAGTAATAAGCGTGGCCATTGGGGGACGACGTGCTCCATGTCTGACAGGGTCTGTTGCCTAATGTCACGGCGGTGCTTCCACTGTACACAGCCTGGCCCCCTTGAAGGGTGAAGCATTCAGGAGCCTCTGAAACTAGAGGGAGTACATTGGTGAGTATGGTTTTCGCCGATTATTGCAATATTCCAGCAATATCAGGGGGTACACCAGAAATGGGACTGACATATTGCACCCATGTCGGTAATCGAACCCTGCTTTCGGCGTGAGAAGCGAACGCTTTAACCACTGGACCTCCTCGCAACATTGCATAATACTATTTCGACATTATCACATGAATGTGTCGGGTTGAATTTTGACACGTATTTCGTAAAACTGATATGGATGCAATACATTGAAACCTCATGAATCCGGACTGACAACTCGTCCAGATTAATAAATGTCCGTATTAACGAATCACTGATACTGATTTATTGGCCAAGTTCCCATCAAGATCGTCCGGATGGCCGGACAAAAGAAGTTCCAATGTATTTGTCTTAGTCGTCACAATAGTTTCTTTTGTTTGTTTAACGCCGCACGGCGGGGTGTAAATAACCGAGTTTTGACCAGAGAACCCAGTGTTTGACATTATGAGCATCGATATGCGCATTTGGGATACAATTACGCGCAACAGCCATGTTTGCGAGTCTGACCACCCCATCCTGTCTGTTACGACAAGCATGGATTGCTGGAGACCAATCTAACTCGGATCTTCCCGAATAAGGGACAGCAATCTCTATCACATTGTTGGATACATTATTAAACATTGCCAAGCGTGCATGAGATAATAATTCATCATCAGTCCTTAGCTTCCACGGGAAATATCGCTTGAGAAAGACATAGAGAATACTACACTCATTTTCGTTAGATACCATTTTTACGAAACGAGTGGATTTCACGAGTTTCGTGAAAATGGTATCTGACGAGATACTATTTATTACCAATGTTAAATATTTATTTGAGTGTAAATACAAAACAACAAACTGAAACCGGTTGCAAAATCTGGTTGTCATGAATATTTATATATGCCCAAATATGGGCATTGTTGACATTTCTATGCATATGCATTAACAACATGCGCTTGCGCACCAACGCTCAAGATCCATTTGGAAGAATTTCTTCAACTTATGATTATTCAAGCGCCATGTTGTCAGTACGCAGGACAGGTATAAGAACATTTGAAAAGTCACATAAGCGCCGCGCTTTGAATATCGGACCAACAGTCGGTCACCCGCACTGCCGGGGTCCCGTCTGTGCAATCAAAATGGTTTGGTATCCTTGATCTATCAGCTGAATTTATATCATGTCCGTACCATTTTGGAAGAGGGAATCAGAGTGTTCGCCAAAAGACATTCGTGTTAACTGTACCACCCTATACTGATGACGTGAAAATCAACAAACTCAAGTCTGCTTGCATGTCAGTGACAGCTCGAAGGGTAAGGTCACCACCGGAATAAGAAAAGACAACCGTGATCTACTCACAGCGTTTTCGAGAGAGGGAATGTTACTGTTGACATTTGGGATATTTTAGCCACATAATCAGAAATCAGGCAGTCGAATGATTTGTATCGGAAATGTTAACTTTGAATGATCTGATCGTGCAGTCATGAACAAACAATTCCTGAAACAGTGCCACAAAATAACCATTCGACGGAGACACCGATGGTAAAAGCCGGTTCACCCCAAGTAAGTCTAGGTTTGTCCAGATGGTTTAAACTGACTTCATGCACCACGCTTATCCTTATTTACGTTAAATCAGATTGAAAGTTGCGAAAGTGGTCGGGTGCGTCACGCTCATCGATCCTCGATCTATTGATCGGTAGTCGAACATTGTAAATGGATATTGCTCGATTATATAATGTCTGTAGAAGCTCTATGCATAACTTATATAGAATGCAAACCGAATTTGATGCGTGTGACTATCTTGTTCGGTTTATTAAAGTGTTTGTTAATATTTCTACGCTCTCATGAAATTGCTTCAGTTCTGCCTTGTAGGTGCAAAATGAATGACGTCTCGCGAGTTTTTATGAATTAAAAAAGTAGTCCCGGTGTTATTACAGCGAAGTCCACTTTTTACACTGTAGTCATTTGTAATAGGGAAGGGGTGCGATGAGATTTGGGGGTCGTGGTCGGCAAAAGGCGATGCAGTCCTGGGACCAATCTCGTCCGCCCCTTTACCCCACCCTCCCCCCTTTTTAATATTTGACCAGCCCCTGACACTGGCGTGAATACTTGTGACTTGTCGAACCTACCTGCTGGTGTTCCGCACTTTGGAACATTGCATGATCCCCAACCAGCGCCGTCGGCGAAGTAACACCAAAGATACCCTACCGCAAGGATAGAACCCCCTGAAGGGTCGCGGCAGTAGTTGGAAGCGCCTGCGTAGCCGAAAAGGTTGTTACCGTTGGTTACGGAGAAGTAGGAAGCAAAATACGAGTGGGCGTTTGGTGAAGTACTTTGCCACGCTTGACACGGTCGGCCTGTTGCGGTGTATGACTGTGTTCCGCTGTAGACGGCCGTTAATCCTTGCAGTGTGTAGCAAGTCGTGTCACCTGTGAAAATACTCATATAATGAAATTATAATAAAACTGTGTTTATAATGAACACGCCAGTTTCCCGTTAAGCAGAAGCGTTAATCTGTATCAAAGATGTATCTTTAGATATATATTTTTGTATTTAGTAATTACGTAAAACATCCACAAGCCACTGTCGTTCTCGTGTTTAATGAAAAGAAATTGTACTCTTGGCCACGAGGCTTTCAATACTCTCTCTCTCGATTTGCCGCCCCGGATTCCCGAAGGCGACTCACATACTTATAAAACCTACAAGAAATCGCAACTGTGTTAATATCTGCCATAGTTAACAAGATGATAATATAACGACGGCATACGAAACATCGTCCCGTCTCACCTTGTACTTTCGACGTCATCATCAGCATCAGCAACATCAGCAGCAGAACGCCATCTTCTGCAACCCGCATTGTGAAAGACACAGCCAGTTCTCTTCTAACTGATATGCGGTACACAGCTTATAGAAATGTGAGTCCGAGTTCCTCGGTGCTCAACGACTTGTTCGGTTCACAGCTCCCTGTATGACTGTGCCTTGCTGGCAGAGCGAGATCAACCGTGTGAATCATGTATCTTGTAGTTTACAGGCTGTTTATGACGTACAGAACATAAAGGAAAGGGTGTGGGTATATACGATATGTACTAAGTGTACTCTGGACAGAATAAAGCATTATCAATGGCTACTGATTTAATATGGAACCTACGGCTACTAAACATATCAAGTGTAATAGGCGCACGCTTTTATTCAATGGTAACGATATGTATTTGACCGACGAGAAACGTTCTATAGTGGTATTAAAGTAGAGGTTATTGTAAGCAGTGTCACTCCTCAGTCATTGCCTTGGAAGTAGTTTGAAAACCCTGTTTGTGAGTCGCACGGAGTGGGTTAAAATGGACGCCGCTTCAAACATTATTCAATCAATATCATGAGAAGACATTCAAAGAGGTCGTTGCATGTTAGGAATCGAAACCGGTTTTTCCCTACCGCTCGCAGATGCGGATCCAGATCGGTGAGTGAAAGGGAAGGCGGGGGATCCAAAATATCAAAAGCCTCTCTCAGATAATATTACCGCCTACACCATACTACATTTGCTTTTCGGGGGGGTGGGGGTGGGATGGGTGGGGGTGTATGTTACTACTCTCCCCCCTCCGCATTTAAAAATGCTGAATCCACCTATGACAGTGGAGAGGTTATGTCTGACTACTTAAGGGGTGACCGCCTCCGTGGTCTAGTGGTAGAGCGTCCGCCCGGAGAGCGGAAGGTCCGGAGTTCGATCCCCGGCCGCGTCATACCAAAAGACGTTAAAAGATGGTACTTGTTGTTACCCTGTCTGGCGCTCGGCATTAAGGGGCTAAAACAAGGACTGGTCGGCTCGGAGTCACTATACTGTGTCTGAGTGGGGTATTCATGTTAAACTGCGGCATGGTATCCCAGTAGGCTAGCACTATAAATCGGCCTGTCTAGTACAAGCAGCCAGCCACACACGTGCATGCACGTCGCTATATAAGTGCAATAATCTTGGACGCGACGTTAAACCTCATTTCACCTCACCACTTAAGGGGTAAAATGTTATATCCGACATCCTTTGAACTGCTCCCTAAGTGATGTGACATTCGCTGTAACCAGTGAGAAGACAGATGCCACCCGGTGATGGAAATTGGTTATTGTTTCCTTGGTGAGCACGTCAATAGAAACCCTAATAAAAATAGATAATATAAAAAATACAGTGAAACCCTTTGTATCCCGACGGAAGTATTCCGAGGGAAATCATGCAGATAGACCAACTTCCAGATTAACGAAACATGGGCATTATACACATAAACTCTTAAACAAAGACCGGTGGAGTAGGCTCGTGGTTAAAACGTTCGCTCACCACACCGAAGACGCGGGTTCGATTCCCCGCATGTGAAGCCCAGTTCTTGTGTCCCCCGCCGTGATATTCCTGGAATATTGCTGAAAGCGGCGTGACATCCACCTCACTCAGTCACTCAGTTGAAACCAAAGAATTTGAACTGCAATAATTTAAAGCGAACAATTAATACAATCCAATCCATGGTGATACTGTGTACACCGACTGTACCACAAAGAAACTGATGACGCCGTAATGACCAACGGCAGGAGGAGTTTGTTACGTCGCCTGTACAACTTTCCCTATCCCTGCTCCATGCCCCTGAAGACCCGGGTTAGAATTGGTCTTCAGCAACCTATGCTTGTCGTAAGAGGCGACAAACGGGATATTAGTGGTCAGGCTCGCTGACTTGGTTGAAGCATGTCATCGTATCCCAATTGCCTAGATCGATGCTCGAGATATCAATCACTGAATTGCCTGGTACAAACCTGATTATTCACAGACCGCCGTCATATAGCTGGAATATCGCTGAGTGCGGCGTTAAACAAACAAACAAAAACAACAAACACACCTACATGATGGTAGAATATCTGCATTTAATTAAAAAACACATTAAACTAGGATATGAATATATGCAAGTCTAAATAGCTGTATTCCACAGGGAATAGAAAAGAAAAGAGAAAAACAAATGTATTATTCCGTGTAATTAGAAATTGCATGGTCAATATGTAAATCTAACCCTTCATCTTCTGTCTGCCTGCTTCATCACTGATGACCTTTATCGTCACCACAGTAATTTCCCAACACTGGTTGTTGAGATTTCGATTTCCGCTCCTTTTCGTCTAATTAAGCTTTCAGTACAGGCTAACTGTCGATTCAGCACCTGTGTATATACCACAGTAGCAATAATATACAGTTACCCCACATTTTCCTAGTGTAACGGGGGGCACGGGGGGCCCAGTCGTCTAAGGCGCCGCGATTCGCTGTGCAGAGTTGCGTTCCTTGGACACGCCAGAAACCTGTGATTGTGGTTCGAATCCCGTTTCGCCCCAATTATATTTCTAGGTTTGTCAGCACCATACCCGTGCTCGTGGGTATCACAGAAGTGGTAAACGTCTGAGACCTGCATCAATTCGGGCGTTCCTTCCACATTAAGCTGACACGCCGTGATATAACTGGAATACTGTTAAAGCGGCCTTAAATCCAACTCACTCACTCACCCAGTGTAACGGTTGTTTTTGGTGAAGAGTGTATATGTTACAGTCAATGTGTAAAATCAGTCAGTGTGTAATATGACTGAAATTTTCACAAAATGACAAAATATTTATTTTATTTTACAATAATATTTCCATCTATTATGTTCTGATAATGAATTTCTATGCTCTTTTTCATTACCCGGTGACTGAAAATGACAGGATTAAAAGAAAGGGAAAGTAAATGTATGTGACCAACCATGATATTTTATGTATACTTTTTATTATATTTTAAAACTGTGTTCTTCGGAACACAAAAATACAATTCATAAGCTTCAATTCATATTTATTACAGAGATACATGACATCACACATGGCGATCTACACTGAAGTAAGTTGACGTCAAACGTCTTAATGACGTCATGGCACAATTGTATCCAAGCGACCATAAGGTCCCTTTTCTCATAGTGGGTCACATTTATTAATCTTTCTTGCTTCTAATCCCAGGATAATAAGTCTATTGTTGTGTTTTAAGCCCATTTGAACTTCTTAATAACTGTTAGTCAATCAGAAGAAAAAATACCAGTAACAAGACTAATTTTTTTTTAATTGCCTTCGTGAAAATTACGCTCCAACAAATAGAGAATCTCACCCGAGTGTTTTTTTATATCAAATATATCAACATGAGTTGATGAAAGTGGGAAAACTCCGAGGCTCGCCGAGTATTTTTCCCACTTTTATCAACGAGTGTTGATATATTTGATATCAAAAGACACTCGGGTGAGATTTCATTTATCATCCAACATCATTCTTCCAACTCTTTCAGTTTTTAGACAGTAATTAGCAGTGTCTTAAGTGTAAAAAGTACTGCTTACAACTTCAGTAGCAGAGCCATTAGTTATGTCATATGATTGTGACGTCTTGGTAACCAATGACGTCACAATGGTCTGCAGAGCATTGTGATGCAATTTCATTGCAGCGATATCTACAGTGTAGATATCGCTTGATCTCACCCAAGCAATATCTTCTGTGGGAGCCAGTTTTGGATGATAAAAGGCAGTTCACGATTGGAACTCATCATGATTCAATTCTTCTCCATCCATGTGTAGTTTGATGTCCATGCAAATAATAAGTATCTATTGTTGTTCATTTGACTTTCATTTAACTACATAATATGATTGCATTTGGGAAGGATACAGAGGGACGTTTTGGTGTTTTGAGTACATTGTCACAATAAATATAGGGTTACATGTATGCTATAAATCTGTCATCATGACACATGTTTACGCAATGTAAATAGAATATTAACCTGCTACATATATGGAATTATAATATCCGTATCATACAAGTATCAAATAAACAATAGTACAGTTACTTATTCACTATTACCTGTATCGTGTTTGAAGGAAAAGACAATACCCCGATTGTACATATTTTCAAATTCAGCGTGGGTGTATAAAAGTTGCCTAAATATAATATGAGTTTCTTTGATTGATTTTAATGATTAAAAACATAATTTATTTTAGAACACAAGTGTCAACATCAAAACATTCTATTGATATAGTTTTGCACGGTAAACGTAAATAAGATAGGGCACAGGATTGAACCTTGGCGAGAACCTGCTTTATAGACCTGCAGGTTGGCCATACAACTAGAGTTGAAAAGAAGGCCCCGCAGCGATTTGCTATAACCAGTCACCCTTTCTTCCTTAGCTTTTCAATTTGTACACACACCCCACCTGACACAGGCAATCAAGGCTTTAGAAATACCGCATGCTATCGATCATATCATTTGAAGCTGTGGAAATGAATGCTATTTAGTAGATTCGATAACGTGTCTTGTTTTGCTTGCTTGTTTATAGTGCTCAATAGAAGGTAAATTTCAAAAGGGATTTCAACAATTGCTTTGATTTGCTTTGGCATATAAACAAGACTACGGCTGGTGTTTTTTTGTTTAACATTTAATGTTCACTGCGGTTATAGACGTGAGAAGGGAACAAGGGTGTACAGGAATAAACAGTTCTGCGAGGTTTATGTCAGTCCTTATTGACATGCTGCTTATCTTAACAGTCTACTTGGCAATCAACGTCATGTGTTGAGATGTGTTCGTACAAGTACGTTCCCGTTGGTGTGTACATACGAGTGAGTGAGTGAGTATGGTTTTACGCCGCTTTTAGCAATTTTCCAGCAATATCAGGGCGGGGGACACCAGAAATGGGCTTCACACATTGTACCCATGTCGGGAATCGAACCCGGGTCTTCGGCGTGACAAGCGAACGCTTTAACCACTAGGCTACCCGACCGCATGTAGTACATACGATGAGAGGAGAAATGAGGTTTGGGTTTGAGGTTATTTTACTCATATAGCAACGTGCATGCACGTGTGTGTGGTTGTTTGTACTCGTCCGGACTGTTGGCGGTTATAGTATAATGATGATGGTACTTGTTTTTACCCTGCCTGGCGCTCAGCATCCGGGTGCTGAAACAAGGACCGTCGACTTGGAATCATTATACTGTGTCTGAGTGGATATCCATGTTAAACTGCAGCATGGTATCTCAGTGGGCTAGCAGTATTCGGCAATAATCTGGACTACAACAAGCAGACACACACACACACACACACACACACACACACACACACACACACACACACACACACACGTACGTGCATGTGGGCTGTATAAGTGCAAAATTTTAAGTGCGACTTTAAACCCATTTCACCTCACATCACCTCACCTCTTCCCTCAATCGCTTAAATTTTGATTAACGTGGCGACTCTTCATGACAAACTTGTCGAGTGCATTATTGCTCACATATAAACTGTCTGATGATCCTCTTGGGAAACAAGACTCATGATGAAAACAAGGCATTCCACAGTTTTCTTAAACGTGCCAAGGATGAGGGATATAACTTCAATGTCAATGTTGATTTGGTTGATGGTTTTGTACTGACGGATGAAACAAAAATGAGTTTCAACCACGCGAAGTGCCATATGAAATCGGCACAGACTCATTTTTTCAAGGGAAGGCTCTCTGAACGACCATGACATCGAAGCCTTAACGGGGTTGTGATGAAGTCGGCTGGCCTGAAAAATGAAACAGAAGGCTTTTATTCGCTGTTCAGGACCAGTCACTTCTAACTCGAAACCGTCAGTGTGTAATTTTGCATTAGAGTGTAAATATGAAATGTTGATGATGCGATGAATTTAATGAGACATATTGTCAGTGGAAGCCCAGCTTTGGCACAAACACGGTATCTTAAGCGACATTAGGGCGTGGCCCTGTCCAATTACCGCCTTCGCCATGCTTGTGGTTTTGACTCAGAGGTCCATCCATGGTACGATCCGGAATATGTAGAGGGAGTCATGGAAAATGATAATTATAATATATAATCGATAATTATTTCGTGGAATAGGCCCGTGCACAGCCACAGACGTTTTAAGGCCAACAAACCTGATCTTGTCCTTTTTGATAATTCCAATGAAATCATTTATATCATTGAATTCTCTGACCCTTTTGACCTAAATGTGATTGATTCAGGAAAAACATAACAAATATGCGGACCTCGCTTACGAATTGTTACGCTTGCATCCCAAGTACCAAGTTGTCCGACTCCCCATTGTTGTCGGTGCCTTAGGTTTGGTACCTCCCAATCTGTTGAATGACATTGGGAGAGTACCCGGGTTTGCTACCAGAAATGCAGTCCTTCTGACAATCTGGGTAATGCAGAAGGCTGCAGTGTTGAGGAGCCTTCACATTCTCCGAAATAATTCTGCGAAAGGAATCAATGTGCCTTTCCTTCTAAATGACAACTGACAATTGGTGGAAAAATTAAGAACAGAAACCTTTGGAACTATTTATTTATTCATTAACAATTGAATGTGTATTTATATGTATGAATATGAAGATTAGCATTGAGGAATAGCGCATGTCTCCCATCCTGAGTAATCGGCAAGATAACACCACAGATAGCCAAAAGGAAGAATGCTCCCCCCTGAAGGGTCGCGGCAGTAGTTGTTGGCGCCACCGTAGCCGCCGCCTGAGATGCCGTTGGTGATGTCGAAGTAGCTGGCGACGTAGGCGTGGTTGTTTGGTGACTTGGTCTGCCACGACTGACATTGTTTTCCAGATGCGGTTGTGGACACTGTCCCACTATAGACGGCCGTTGTTCCTTGTTTGGTAAAACAGGCGGCTGGAAGACGAATGATGACTTTCATTAATATCATGCCGTAGGTATCAACATTGGAGTGAGTGAGTGAGTGAGTGAGTGAGTGAGTGAGTGAGTGAGTGATGACTGGTTTGCCTACCTTCGTATAATAATAACGACCTACGACCTCTATCAGAGCACGTGCGCATTTTACATTGATTCTCCTCATCCCCGCAAACCGTTTGGACGGTAATATAAAATAAAACCCGTTCGGTGCCTATACATTATATCAATATATATTATCAAACCTTGTGTTGTTGTTGGTGTGGTAGTGGAAGTGGTAGTTGTTGTTCCTGTTGGTGCAGCGGTCGTTGTAGTCGTTGTGGTTGTCGTTGAACATTTCTGAATAGCGCATTGTTCCCATCCCGGGAAATTAGCAAGATAGCACCACACATAGCCCGACGGGAGAATGCTCCCCCCTGAAGGGTCGCGGCAGTAGTTGCTGGCCCCGACGTAGCCGGAGCCTGAGACGCCGTTGGTGATGTCAAAGTAGCTTGACAAAAAGGCGTGGTTGTTTGGTGACTTGGACTGCCACGACTGACATGTTTTTCCGCTTGAGGTTTTGTACACTGTCCCACTGAAGACGGCCGTGGTTCCTTGCAAGGTGAAGCAGGGGGCTGAAATGAAATTTTTTGGTACGGCATTGACAGACCACGGATCATAGTCGTCCCTAATATTGGATTCGAATGTACACTGTGGATGAAAATAATCGATTAGTATCGCCATGAGGACCATGAGTGAGTGAGTGGGTGAGTGAGTATGGTTTTACGCCGCTTTTAGCAATACTCCAGCAATATCACGGCGGGGGACACCAGAGATGGGCTTCACACATTGTTCCCATGTCGGGAATCGAACCCGGGTCATCGGCATGACGAGCGAACGCTTTAACCACAAGGCTACCCGACCGCCCCTACCATGAGGACCAAGAAGCTATAGATGAAAATAATCGATTAGTATTGCCATGTGGACCATGAATCTATGGGTGAAAATAATCGATTAGTATCGCCATGTGGACCATGAATCTATGGATGAAAATAATCGATTTGTATCGCCATGTGGACCATGAATCTATGGATGAAAATAATCGATTAGTATCGCCATGTGGACCATGAATCTATGGATGGAAATAATCGATTAGTATCGTCATGTGGACCATGAATCTATGGATGAAAATAATCGATTCGTATCGCCATGTGGACCATGACTCTATGGATGAAAATAATCGATTAGTATCGCCATGTGGACCATGAATCTATGGAAGAAAAAAAATCGATTAGAATCGTCACGTGGACCATGAAGCTATGGATGGAAATAATCGATTGGTATCGCGATGTGGACCATGAAGCTATTGATGAAAAAAACCGATTAGTATCGTTCTGTGGACCATGACTCTATGGATGAAAATAATCGATTGATGTCGTTATGTGGACCATGACTCTATGGATGAAAATAATCGATTGATATCGTTATGTGGACCATGAAGCTATGGATGAAAGTAATCGATTAGTATCGCCATGTGGACCATGAATCTATGGATGAAAATAATCGATTGATATCGTTATGTGGACCATGAAGCTATGGATGAAAATAATCGATTGATATCGTTATGTGGACCATGACTCTATGGATGAAAATAATCGATTGATGTCGTTATGTGGACCATGACTCTATGGATGAAAATAATCGATTGATATCGTTATGTGGACCATGAAGCTATGGATGAAAATAATAGATTAGTATCGCCATGTGGACCATGAATCTATGGAAGAAAAAAAATCGATTAGAATCTTCACGTGGACCATGAAGCTATGGATGGAAATAATCGATTGGTATCGCCATGTGGACCATGAAGCTATGAATGAAAATAATCAATTAGTATCGCCACGTGGACGATAAATCTATGGATGAAAAAAAATCGATTAGAATCGTCACGTGGACCATGAAGCTATGGATGGAAATAATAGATTGGTATCGTTATGTGGACCATGAAGCTATTGCAAATAATCGATTAGTATCGTTCTGTGGACCATGACTCTATGGATGAAAATAATCGATTGATATCGTTATGTGGACCATGAAGCTATGGATGAAACTAATCGATGAGTATCGCCACGTGGTCGATAAATCTATGGATGAAAAAAAATCGATAAGAATCGTCACGTGGACCATGAAGCTATGGATGGAAATAATCGATTCATATCGTTATGTGGACCATGCAGCTATGGATGAAAATAATCGATGAGTATCGTTCTGTGGACCATGAAGCTATGGATGAAAATAATCGATGAGTATCGTTCTGTGGACCATGAAGCTATGGATGAAAATAATCGATAAGTATCGTTCTGTGGACCATGAAGCTATGGATGAAAATAATCGATGAGTATCGTTATGTGGATCATTAAGGACAGAAATTACATTGATCGTCATCGTGGAACGGTGCATATACGTCATGAAGCATGGTATCATAAACGAACAAAAATGCGAACAGTGATTTTCCGAAACGAAAATTGAAGCCTGGAATTATGGCCTTAATACCAAAACATGACGTTGTCACGAAATACATTTTTGCAAAATAGTTTTTCTCGGGTTTTGGCACAAAAACACAAGTCATTTAAAATAATGAGTTGTGAGTCCCAAAAAATTTGTATGCTCCTCTTTTCTAAAAACAGACACACCCGAGCTTTTTAATTTTATTTTCGGATACCTGCTGTTGTAGTAGTGGTGGTCGTTGTAGTTGTTGTCGTAGTCGTTGTTGTTGGCGTTGTGGTAGTTGTTGGAGTGGTGGTGGTGGTCGTTGTCGTTGTGGTAGTTGTAGTAGATGTGGTGGTTGTAGTCATTGTAGTAGTTGTCGTTGAGGTTGTTGTAGTTGTTGGTTCAGTGGTTGTCGTCGGTGCAATGGTTGTCGTTTGAGTTGTTGTGTCAGTTGTTGTTTCGGCTGTTGTTGGCTCTGTCGTGGTTGGCTCTGTCGTGGTTGGCTCCGTCGTGGTTGGCTCCGTCGTGGTTGGCTCCGTCGTTGTTGGCTCAGTCGTCGTTGGCTCAGTAGTCGTTGGCTCTGTCGTGGTTGGCTCAGTCGTCGTTGGCTCAGTAGTCGTTGGCTCAGTCGTCGTTGCTTCCGTCGATGCAGTCGTTACGTCACAGTTTGGAATATTGCAGGTTTCCCACACAAAGCTGCCATCGGAAATGAAACACCACAATTGTCCCATGGGGGTGACAGCTCCCCCTGAAGGATCTCGACAATAGTCCATAGCTCCTGCGAAGCCTGGGCCAGCCGCCCCGTTAGTTATAGTGAAGTAGTTAGGGTCTGTGTATATGTGGAAGACTGGAGTCGTAACTTGCCACGCCTGGCATGGCTTTCCGCTAGTGGTGGTGGACGTTTTACCCCCGTAGACTGCCGTGCCTGTCTGCAGTGTGAAGCACTCGGGGGCAACTGAAATAAAACAAGCATATATGATTAAGAGGGAACCCGTTAAACCGGACGTTAGTGTTCCCTGTGTTCGGTTCTACTAGTATCCACTGGCCTCCATAGCACGGCATCTGTTATGTGTCTGCGTAACCACCCTCGATTATCCAGTGTTTATTTATATCCTGGAAGTGACGTCACTTGCTCTTATCTCTAACTTTGCATATCATTTCTGTCAGGGGCGGTCGGGTGGCCTCGTAGTTTACGCGTTCGCTCGTCACGCTGAAGACCCGGGTTCGATTCCGGAAATGGGTACAATGTGTGAAGCCCATGATATTGCTGAAATATTGCTTAAAGCGGCGTAAAAACCAAACTCACTCACTCACTAATTTCTGTTACCCAGTAGAGTAATTTGATTGGACGGAGAGTTTTAATGCCGTACCATCCGAATCGAGCTATACAACGAGTACCTTTGTTGGTCCAGAATGGGTACAAAGAAGGATGAAGGATAGTGACCCCGAATAGGACCATTATTGGACCAGTACACAAAAAGGTTTCTTTTTTGTATGTTTGTTGTTTAACACCGCACTCAGCAATGTAACAGCTATATAACGGCGGTCTGTAAATAATTGAGTCTGGACCAAACAGTTTAGTGATTGATATCATGAGCATCGATCTAATCTATTGGGATACGATGACAGGCTTCAACTAAGTCAGCAAGCCTGACCACGCGATCCCGTTAGTCGCATGTAACGACAAGCATAGTCGCCTTTTACGGCAAGCATGGGTTGCTGAAGGCCTATTCTATCCCGAATCGTCAAGGCTACCTCAATGAGTTACAGTAGAGTGACTGCAGTATATGCAGTATTACATGTTTGTGTCATAACTGGTATAGTCAGAAGAACCAAGACAATGTAAGCCATGTCGGCAAGTCATAAAGCTATACCCAAATCATCACTGATCACAGGTGGTAACATAACCTGTGAGTATATGCTATATCAGCATACACATTTCCCCAACTCCAGATACATCCCTATATCTCTAGGGTTCGCGGACCGCCTCCGTGGTCTAGTGGTAGAGCGTCCGCCCGGAGAGCGGAAGGTCCGGGGTTCGATCCCCGGCCGTGTCATACCAAAAGACGTTAAAAGATGGTACTTATTGTTACCCTGTCTGGCGCTCGGCATTAAGGGGCTAAAACAAGGACTGGTCGGCTCGGAGTCAGTATACTGTGTCTGAGTGGGGTATTCATGTTAAACTGCGACATGGTATTTCAGTGTGCTAGCACTATAAATCGGCATCAGTCCGGACTAGTACAAGCAGCCACACACACACACGTACATGCAGTCGCTATATAAGTGCAATAATCTTGGACGCGACGTTAAACCCAATTTCACCTCTAGGGTTCGCATTTCGGTACACCAACACTCTGTCCTGGATCCACTCCCGTAGTTCTCGCGATCTCAGATTACCCGTCCTTGATTTGAACAGTATTCAAGTCATGTCAGGGTGTAACAAAACAAGGGGGGTGTAACATATGGACTATGCTGTAAACCACATCACAACCCCATCGTTCCATAACTGGCGTAGGAATACGGCACCTGCCTCACTGTTGTACCACATTTTGGGTCACGTTAGGCAAGTGACTTTGTTCATGACATGCCTCTGTTCACCCAGCAGCGAATGGGTGAATGCGTCTCACAGTGTTGTATACTCCCCAGGGAGCTGAGAATGAAAATCGAGTGAATCCATTCTATCACTGGGGTAATAATAGTGTAGCGCTATGAGCATCCACTTAGTGAATGGAATTTGCCCGATTATAAATACACATATTATATTGCATGAGATGGTATCACTCTCAACAATGAAGTTCCAGATTGATTCCAATTTGATTATGTTCTCTCATCGTTGATCAGAATGATTTATCGAAGTGTTTGTTATATACTGAATCACAACAGAAACGTCACTTATAACTCTGGAGGGATCAATGCATTTTTGGAGGTGTTTGACGTTTGTCTTTATCCAAGTTTAATGTTCACTGCCTAAAAGAGGAAAGAAAGGGTCGCCCAAACGCAGCCTAACACACCACCATGATTCAAAGTCCTAAATTCTTTCCATGAAAAGCAAAATGCACTTGGGTTTCCTTGTGCCTTTTCTGAGTGAGTGAGTGAGTGAGTTGGGTTTAACGCCGCTTTAAACAGTATTCCAGTTATATCACGGCGTGTCAGCTTAATGTGGTAGGAAAGCTCGAAGTGATGCAGGTCTCAGACGTTTACCACTTCGGTGAACCCACGAGCACGGGTATGGTGCTGACAAACCTAGAAACATTATCGGGGCGAACCGGGATTCCAACCCACAATCATAGGTTACAAAGTCGTTACGAAAATGTTGGATCCACATATTGGGGTTACGTTTATCAGAAAATGCAGAAGAAAACCAAGTGCATTTTGATTTTCATGGAAAGGATTCGGGACTTTGTGCCATGGTCGTACATGAAGTGACTTTTCTTTTGCAGGTTCAGTATATCATAGGTATTAACTATAGACTTCAAATACCCTACCTGTTGTCGTTGTAGTCGTTGTCGTAGTGAGGGCGCAGTCAGGAATATCGCAGTTTTCAAATACTCCCATACCGTCGCCACGAAAACACCATGGTACCCCCCTTGGGGTAAACGTCCCCCCTGACGGATCGCGGCAGTAGTCCATAGCCCCAGCAAAGCCAGGACCGGCAGGGCCGTTGGTAACGTCGAAATAAGCAGCGACGTTGTATTCATGATAGGTAGGAAACTGGTTTTGCCACAGCTGACAGGCACTTCCACTGAGGGTTGTGGACGTCTTGCCGCTGTAGACGGCTGTGCCCGCGACCAGGTTGAAACACTCGGGAGCACCTGGAAAAGCAGTATGTGAGTGAGTTGGGTTTAACTCCACTTTGAACAGTAATTCAGTCAAGTCGAGGTGTGTCAGTTTGATGTTGAAGCAAAGCCCGAAATGATGCAGGTCTTCGACGTACCACTTTGGTGAAACCCACGAGCAGGGTGTGGTGCTGACAAACCTAAAAACAGGGTGAGTGGTTATTCGAACCCACGATCGTAAGTTTCTGGCACACCTAAGGGACGCAACTCTGCACAGCTAATTGCGGCGCCTTAAATGCCCCTGACACAGCTATGTAACAATAAACATAACATCATATAATGGTTTTAAACGACTGCAGGTGCCGTGTTAATAACGCTTGAGACGGGCCCAAAAGGATCTTATGAATGATATTTTTTTTTTTTAAATCATGAATTAACAAATTCAAAATTTCAAATCCAAATTCTGCCTAGCAATGTATGTGCTTTTCACAAATGCCATATTATTTTCACCCCCTCCACTATAAATGTATAGCAGTTTGACAGGGACAGAAACCAATAGTGGTGTCATTCTTATTGACCAAACTAAGACCAAACTAAGCCAAGTCGTCTAAGGCGCCGCGATTCGGTGTGCAGAGTTGCGTCCCTTGGGGACGCCAGAAACCTGTGAGTGTGGGTTCGAATCCCGGTTTGACCTGATTGTGTTTCTAGGTTTGTCAGCACCATACCCGTGCTCGTGGATTTCACCGAAGTGGTAAAAGTCTGAGACCTGCATCACTTCGGGCTTTCCTCCCACATTAAGCTGACACGCCGTGATATAACTGGAATACTGTTAAAGCGGCGTTAAACCCAACTCACTCACTGTCATCTATAAAGTGATATGATGACAGTAGCTTGTTGGGTGTATGTGGATGCAGGGTAATATCTTTACATTAGATCCAGTACGAAAGAAGCTCCCCGTAGCCAAGATTACGGAATACACGAACACACGTGGAGTGCATTTCCTTTGTATACACTTCGTTCGTACTCTATGGTGGCGGGTCGTCATAGTAGACGTCAAGGGAGATTATAAAATAAATAAAATGAAACAAAACCAACAAAACAATATAATAAAATAGAATAAAATTCATTAAGTTCAACAGCCATTATTCCATCTTTACTGTTACAATAAAAAGTTTCATGTTCTCATACCTGTTGTGGTTGATGAATCTGTTGTTGTTGCTTCAGCAGTCGTTGAGTCTGTGGTTGAGTCTGTGGTTGAGCCTGTGGTTGAGTCCGTCGTTGAGTCTGTGGTTGAATCTGTGGTTGAGTCTGTTGCTGAGTCTGTTGTTGAGTCTGTTGTTGAGTCTGTGGTTGAGTCCGTTGTTGAGTCTGTGGTTGAGTCCGTTGTTGAGTCTGTGGTTGAGTCTGTGGTTGAGTCCGTGGTTGAGTCCGTGGTTGAGTCTGTTGTTGAGTCTGTGGTTGAGTCTGTTGTTGAGTCTGTGGTTGAGTCTGTTGTTGAGTCTGTGGTTGATTCTGTTGTTGAGTCTGTGGTTGAGTCTGTTGTTGAGTCTGTGGTTGAGTCTGTTGTTGAGTCTGTGGTTGAGTCTGTGGTTGAATCTGTGGTTGATTCTGTTGTTGAGTCTGTTGTTGAGTCTGTGGTTGAGTCCGTGGTTGAGTCCGTGGTTGAGTCTGTGGTTGAGTCTGTGGTTGAGTCCGTGGTTGAGTCTGTGGTTGAATCTGTGGTTGAGTCTGTGGTTGAGTCTGTGGTTGAGTCTGTGGTTGTTTCTGTGGTTGAGTCGGTGGTCGTTTCTGTTGTTGAGTCTGTGGTTGAGTCTGTGGTTGAGTCTGTGGTTGAATCTGTGGTTGAATCTGTGGTTGAATCTGTAGTTGAGTCAGTGGTTGAGTCCGTGGTTGAGTCCGTTGTTGAGTCTGTGGTCGTTTCTGTTGTTGAGTCTGTAGTTGAGTCTGTGGTTGTTTCTGTGGTTGAGTCTGTGGTTGAGTCAGTGGTTGTGTCTGTGGTTGAATCTGTGGTTGAGTCTGTGGTCGAGTCTGTGGTCGAGTCTGTGGTTGAGTCAGTGGTTGAGTCTGTGGTTGAGTCTGTGGTTGAGTCTGTGGTTGAGTCTGTGGTTGAGTCAGTGGTTGAGTCTGTGGTTGAATCTGTGGTTGAGTCTGTTGTTGAGTCTGTGGTTGAGTCCGTGGTTGAATCTGTTGTTGAGTCTGTGGTTGAGTCTGTGGTTGAGTCCGTGGTTGAGTCCGTGGTTGAGTCCGTGGTTGAGTCTGTCGTTGAGTCTGTGGTTGTTTCGGTTGTGGTTTCGGTTGTGGTGGGAGTCGTAGTTGGGGTCGTAGTTGGGGTCGTCGTTGGGGTCGTCGTGGGGGTTGTCGTGGGGGTCGTCGTGGTGGTAGTCGTCGTCGTAGTGGTCGTAGGTGTCGTTGTAGTCGTTAAAGCACAGTTCTGAATGTTGCAAACTTCCCATATTCCAGTGCCATCGCTGATGAAGCACCACACATACCCAACAGCACCAATAAACCCTCCCGAAGGATCTCGACAGTAGTTGACGGCGCCGCCATATCCAGAACCAGGGCTGCCGTTGGTAACGTCAAAGTAGCTAGACTGGTAACCATGAGGGATTGGAGACTGGCTCTGCCAAAATTGACATGGTTTTCCACTGATGGTCGTCGACGTTGAACCGCTGTAGACGGCAGTGCCCGCCTGTATTATATAACATTCGGGAGACGCTGGAACATACACATTGAGAAAGATACATTCAGGATCATGCAATGGAATCCAGGAAAACATGTCCCATAAATCGGGTCGGTGGGGTAGCCTAGTGGTTGAAGCGTTTGGTCGTCACGCCTTAGACCTGGGTTCGATTCCCCACATGTGTCATGTGTGGAGCCAATTTCTGGTGTCATCCACCGTTATATTGCTGACATATAGCTAAAACTGGCTTAAAATCATACTCACTGACTCACTCTACCATAAATTCTGGAAGATGCGCCGGAGAAGGTCGTAAGACCCCCTGTTTTAACAAGACCGATTTGTTGCGGGGGATGGGTTGCATGAAGTGTCTTGGTTATTCTAGGCATGTGTTTGACCGCCTCCGTGGTCTAGTGGTAGAGCGTCCGCCCGGAGAGCGGAAGGTCCGGGGTTCGATCCCAGGCCGCGTCATACCAAAAGACGTTAAAAGATGGTACTTGTTGTTACCCTGTCTGGCGCTCGGCATTAAAGGGCTAAAACAGGGACTGGTCGGCTCGGAGCCAGTATACTCTGTCTGAGTGGGGTATTCATGTTAAACTGCGGCATGGTATCTCAGTGGGCTAGCACTATAAATCGGCATCAGTCCGGACTAGTACAAGCAGCCACACAAACACGTGCATGCACGTCGCTATATAAGTGCTATAATCTTAGACGCGACGTTAAAACCCATTTCACCTCACCTCACCTAGGCATGTGTTTATTTATTTCTGTGCGTCGGTTGACACGACGTGTATTCAAGGTAAGCGTATATTCAAGGCCAATGCGTGTTTCTTCTAGTATTGCAATTGCCAGTTTCAAAATCAAGAACCTAAATATTTTTTCAAATTCATCCAACAGAAGGCTTCTTATGTTTGTCAGACATGTTTTTTTCAACAACCTGAAGCATATGTTTTTCAAGAACTAATGATTCTTTGGTACAAAATGTATCGATAAAATCCCAGAGCCCTTACCCAGAATATCAATGGACGGTCTCTTAGAGCTAACGTCAAACTGAATTGACGTCGACTAAATATCTTACGCGTTGCTCCGGGGACGGGTGCTGGTGTAGTAGGTAAGCAGAATTGGATGTTGCATCTCTCCCATATTCCGCTGCCGTCGCTGATGAAGCACCACACATATCCAGCAGCCCTGATACCCCCTCCTGAAGGATCCCGGCAGTAGTTCTGGGCTCCGCCATAGCCCGGCCCCGCGGCCCCATTGGTGACGTCGAACTGGCTGGAGTAGTAGCCGTGGGCAATGGGTGTTTGGCTCGACCAAGCCTGGCATGGTTTGTTGCTCTGGGTAACGGCCACGGTGCCGCTGTAGACGGCGGAACCGTCACTGAAGGTGTAGCAGTCCATCGCACCTGTCACTGATATAAAGGAGACACGATCATTATCTGAATCAACGCTCTGTGAGTGTCTTACTCGTTTCTGTAACTGAAGTCGGGTTATAACGCCTTCAGCTGTAGCAGCATCAATTGCAGCATCTGTATCACCAACAAGAGTAACAATGAGTAGGAAATGTGGGGGACGTTTACTGGTTTGACGCGTCGGTGGCGTCGTTGGCAGGCGTGGTGTACAGTTCCCTGTTTGGGCTTGTACCATACCTTTCCGTGCTTTTTCGGGTGAACAATTGACTTGTCTTTGCATGTGTTTGTGACGTGTGCCACCTGCCGGACAGGATACGCTCACCTTTTCGCGAAAACCTGGTATCATTACCCTTTTGATAGTGATTCATAAACATGTGCTTATGATATGGTCGGAATTGTACAATCTGGTACTTAAGTTTGCTACGGGTATTATACATGAATCTGATCGTAATCTCGAGGAGCTTCTGAAACGTCAGCACCGTGAATCAGAGGCAGTCGTGAATTTTGGTTTAAAGAACTTACCATCATCAGCAGCAGCAAGCAGCGCCTGAACCCTAACAATAATATTAATTCATTTAGTATACGTAAAGTGGGTGTGGGTATGATGGACGGACCATCTTCATCAGCATCATCTCAACCGCTATCAACGAATAGAGCGTGTCAAGGCCCTTCACATCACGTATCCTGCATCTTAATTAAACGGGGGCGGTCGGGTAGCCTAGTGGTTAAAGCGTTCGCTCGTCACGCCGAAGACCCGGGTTCGATTCCCGACATGGGTACAATGTGTGAAGCCCATTTCTGGTGTCCCCCGCCTTGATATTGCTGGAATATTGCTAAAAGCGGCATAAAACCACACTCACTCACTCTTAATTAAACATGTTTACACCATGGCATTTCCCACAAACAATCGGAACTCATCATTTAAGTCACTCGGAGATTAAATGTTTAATGGTGACGACATTGGTTACCATGACATGCAAAAAAAATAAATGATGTGCCACTGATGCTGGTCAGCTGTATTTGTTTACACTCAGGACACTTGTTATTACTATACACAAACTTAAACAATAATAATTTGGATGATGAATAGAGTCTCGTCCTCGTATCGTTGGATCAAATAGATATATAACACTCGTCAATAAATTTAAGTGACTCTCGTTAATATATTTAACATTAAAAGCCACTTGGCTGATATTCTCTTTACATTCAAATTCTGCATGACATTGTTATGCTGTTTACACGCGGTATGGAAAAAGGCGTGCTTACTTTGATTGCCTATTAAAGATTACGGTTGTATATAAAGTGGGGCGGTTGGGAAGGTAGCCTAGTGGTTAAAGCGTTCGCCCGTCACGCCGAAGACCCGGGTTCGATTCCCCACATAGGTACAATGTGTGAAGCCCATTTCTGGTGTCCCACGCCGTGACATTATTAGTATATTGCTAAAAGCGGCGTAAAACAATACTCACTCACTCACTGAAGAATAAAGCAACATGATGGGCTGGACTTATTGATCCAACTACTCATAAAAACATCAAGCTTCGGACGTTGTAAATAATATCAATTGCTAGTTTGATTTGTCCAGAATTGATGATTAAAGACAGTCACTTTAAGCTTTAAACAAAACCAAGTCAGAGCAACACACTAGCAGGAAGCTCACAGACAAGGGATCTTAATAAGCTGTGGACCAGTCTGGGATTCAAACCTTCGTTCCGGGTAGCTTCTAAACGCGGTACACAAAATATAGAACGTCAACGCCAGAGAACAACCAGTCTGGATTATCCGCCGAAACAGATACCATTGAGCGTAAAATAGCGGTGAAAATTATATGAATAGATCCCTGAAAATCAGTGATGACACCAGGTGTTCGTGAAAAGGGTAAACTTGTCCCGCCCTACCGGAAGCACCCGCCACCGTTTGCCTATAAAAGTATCGTCACGATATGGCTGAAATATTGCCGATGTGACGTTAAATATTAACTCACTCACTCATAAAAAAGTAAGTGTCTGTTAGTAAAGTAAAGAAACACTCAGATCCATGTTTGACGTCATCAGGTTTTCGTAAATTACGAAACATCTGCTGATACAAAGTATTATCAAAAAGCACGGGAAAGGTAAGAGAACCCTTTGCTTTGCGTATGTTGTACACATATAATACTGTCACGGGGTTGAAAGCTTTTTCCAACCTTGGACATTTGTGAATAATTGCGATCACAATTCTCACCTTTTGTCGACGTTAACATCATCATCACCAACAGTACGACATCATCTACTGTAACCATCTTGACAGACAACGCTGTCCCAGTCTGTTGGTAGTGTTGTCCTCACTACAGATGCAAGTCACCGACAGTTTTAAGATCTGTTACAGAGTAGCTGACGTGTTAGGTCTCCAATACATGCTGTAGGAACGAGAACATGCATTGAAAGCCGTTAAAGCGTGACGTCTGTCGAATGACCTTCATAAAAGGAAAGATCATTCTTGAAGAGACTGAACGTATCTATTGATAGGTTAAAAGACATGGCCAGTTGACTTGTGCGTCTGTGGTGTGTATACAATTGCCGAATGGATTCCTGTCGACCGAATTAATAGGCATTTGTAAACGAGTAATAAGTAGTGTTGGTGTGAAAGGTAGAATACTATTACACGAATTGTTGTGAATATGGACAGTCATTGGATATGAGTTTTACTGGCTATTTGATATCGAAAGCATTTAAACCATTTCAAAGGAAGACAAAATTCAATGAAGTAAAGGCATTTGTTAGAAATGAAATATTAATAAGAAACATTTGTCCAAAGAACACTTACAGTAGGTGGGTTTGAATTTACGATATTTACAGTAGTCAAGCTATCAGGGCGTGGCAGCTTAATCTGGCTGGGAAGTTTTATGTGACGTCATACGCGTTTTCTACTTTGGTGGCACCCATAAACACTAATATAGTGTTGACAGACAGACAGACAGACAGACAGTCTTTCTGTCTGTCTGTTGACAGTTCACGGATTCTAATATGATGTTGGAACTCACGACAAGATTGGTATGGTATCTAAGGGACAGAATTCTGCACAAACCTCTTACAGGCATTTAGAGTGAGTGAGTGATTTGGATTTAACGTAGCTTATTTGCAATATTCCAGCTAACTCACGGCGGGGGACACCGGAAATGGACTTCATACATCGTCATGCCGAAGACCCGGGTTCGATTCCCGACATGGGTACAATGTGTGAACCCAATTTGTGGTGTCCCCCGCCGTGATATTGCTGGAATATTGCTAAAAGCGGCGCAAAACCTCACTCACCCACTCAGTATCTCAGGGTTGGTCACACTTTATATACAAAGTCAGACACCTCACACGACAAGGTATCTGGCATACACAGAATATGAAAGGTACTGGATGAAAAACAGTTTGTTTGCACAGTTTGACTCAGAGACTGTTGTTTGACTTTGTTTACAATGCGTGTGACATACCAGCACTTGGCAAATAGTATTTCCCCATTGTACACTTTGCTTTTCACATTTATCCATTGACTGTAATCGCTGTACGACCTACAGCTGCTATGGTTGTACGTCACACAATGCTTATTCTTAACTTCATACAAAGTACACATATACAACACACGCCCTGTCGTCTAAGGCGCCGCGATTCGCTGTGCAGAGTTGCGTCCCTTGGGCACGCCAGAAACCTATGATTGTGGGTTCGAATCCTAGTTCGCCCCAATTATGTTTCTAGGTTTGTCAGCAACATACCCGTGCTCGTGGGTTTCACCGAAGTGGTAAACGTCTTAGACCTGCATCACTTCGGGCTTTCCTCCCACATTAAGCTGACACGCCGTGATATAACTGGAATAATGTTAAAAGCAGCGTTAAACCCAACTGACTCATTCACTCACTCACACACGCCCATGCACAAGAACAGATCCAAGCGACTACCGTTATTTCTTACATGGTGGTGCCAAGGTATAGTCTATTTCACTGTTTGTTTTATTATTGCAGCCCTTTACAATATAACCTCTTTACTCTAGAACCCGTAGAGATGAAGGTTAGTACTGGTCTACGGCAACTCGTGCTTGCCGTAAGAGGCGACTAACGGGATCGGGTGTTTAGGTTCGTTGACTTGTTGATGCATGTGTTTCAATTGCGTAGATCGATGCTCATGATGTCAATCCCTGGTTGGTCCAGACTCGAGTATTTATTTTTTGGAATAGTGTTGAGTGTGGCGTTAAACAACAAACAAAACACACAAAAAACACTGGTATTTAAGAAAAAATATATCTAAAACAAATATAATAAATCCATAAATCAATATAAAAAACAACATTAAATGGACAAATAAGAAAAATCACGACTAATTCAGGCAGTCAAGAGGGGGAAACATGTTGATGATAGCAGGACCATCGATGCAGGCAACTCTGACATTTTTAACTGATTCATGAAACTGATTCAGAAATAAAGGCCAAATGCTCCTATCGTACGTGCCACAAATCTCTGAATCAGTTGGACATGTGACGTAATCGATCACCACCCACTCACACAGCTATGCATTGCTGTGATTTACCGGAATCTCAAGAACCAATTCGATTTCTGACGTAATCGATCACCGCCTAAATATGCATTGCTGTGATTTGCCCGTAGTTTTGCAGGTCCACCCGCACGCTTCACGTTCACAGCTGTCTTCAGCGGCACAACGGCCGTCACCATCAGCGGGTAGCCGTCTCACTGGATTATCTGGTCCAGACTCGATTATTTTCAGACCGCCGTCATATAGCTGGGATATTGCTGAGTGTGGGCTTAATCAAACAACAAATCAACAAACTTTACTGATGGCCAAAGAAAAGACTAATCAAAAGGCCTTGTCATTCCAATCTTCCCGAGACAAGGGAGTGAACTTGACTTTAAAAGTTCAGTTTCTGACGGCGTTGTAATACGTACGCCAGTCAGAGCTTAATCCTTCAGGGCTCATGTTGGATAATTCAGATGTGAGAGCTAACTAGTAGACTCAGATGTGTTGTTTTACGTAAATAGCAAATGCTATTTAGCGGGCTGCCCAAGTCAAACGAGTTGGGAGTTACCCAAACTTGATCTATTCTCATGATGACCTCCATTTGGTAAACTGTGTGTGAGACTGCTGTCATTGTTATAAATACATGCAAAACGCGAACCATTTTGAAAATTTGCTGAAAGTTGGGCGATTTATGACAGATAGATTTAATTTAACGCAGTAATAACAGCTGTCCCTGTTGAGGGTGACATCATTTCCCTCTTCCGAGAATTGCAACTGTGCATCATGGCGGTCTGTTGGCACATCTTCAATGTTAAGAATACGGTAGCCTATGGCAGCTGTTCCCTAAAACTCCGTCAAGCATTCCGAGAGACTGCTGTCAAGGTACAGCAAACCCATAACCCCTAAGGAAAAATAGACCATGCCACTTATTCCAATTCACAGGCGTCATCGGAGTCGACCAGTCAAGCTGAGTTTAAATAAGCCCAAATAAGCCGTGAAGGACCCAGTTCATATTGGTAAGCTCAGACAAGTCTGATATGATGTGATGACGAGGTATGTGTCCTTTACTAAATAGTTTTTTTATAAGTTCATTTAATTGCAATTTTACCCGTTTACAAATGTTTTGTGAAAATATAGCTGCTTGTAAATGTGTAAGATTGTGTTCATATGTGTATGTGTGTGGGTGTGCGTGTGCGTGTGCGTGTGCGTGCGCTTGTCCGGACTTGTGCCGGTTTTGTAGTGCTAGCCGAATGAGATATCATGCCACCCCACCCAGACACAGTGTAGGGACGCTGAGTCTCCCATTCCTTGTTTTATCCGAGCGCCAGGTATTGGTATGACGCGGTCGGGTATCGACAACCAACCTCCTGCTCTGAGGGCAGACAAATTACAACAGAAGTGCACGCTGTCCTTGTAGGAGTAGGCAACACTTTCATTGACACATGAGTAACACACACCACCAAGAAAACGTAGGCTAGCATGTACACGCATTTATTGCAAAAAAAGACCCAGTTAACAATTAGCATTGAGGAATAGCGCATGTCTCCCATCCTGAGTAATCGGCAAGATAACACCACAGATAGCCAAAAGGAAGAATGCTCCCCCCTGAAGGGTCGCGGCAGTAGTTGCCGGCACCACTGTAGCCGGTGCCTGAGATGCCGTTGGTGATGTCGAAGTAGCTGTTGTAGTAGGCGTGGTTGTTTGGCGACGTGGACTGCCACGACTGACATGTTTTTCCAGATGAGGTTTTAGACACTGTCCCACTGTAGACGGCCGTTGTTCCTTGTTTGGTGAAACAGGCGGCTGAAAAGTGAGTGAGTGAGTGAGTTGGTGAGTGGGTGGGTGGGTGGGTTGAGCGGTTTGGTAAAACAAGCGGCTGACAGAACATAGGGGATATGAAGGGTGTACTTACTAGACTGAGTAAAGTTCGAACATTTTAGAATAAAAACAGGATAAAAAAGACAGAAAAAGGACGTTTCAACATTAATCAAAACCAACATATGAAGACGAACGTTTTCCTAATGAAATATGTAATTAATGCCACATCTAACAAATTACGACGTCCGAATGTTTTCTATGGCGTAGGAATTCCAATATTGAAAAAGAACACACATTTCCCATTTAGTCTGGACAAATGCCGGTTTCAGCTCACTGAGATACCATGCCACAGTTTAAGAGACCCCACTCGTTTATTTCCATACCTTGTGTTACTGGGGGTGTTGTGGTAGTGGTAGTGATGGTTGTCCCTGTTGGTGTTGCAGTCGTTGTTGTCGTCGTGGTACACTCGTTTATACTGCATTGTTCCCAACCACTGCTGTCAGCAAGATAGCACCACACATAGCCCGACGGGAGGATGCTCCCCCCTGACGGGTCGCGGCAGTAGTTGCTGGCCCCCACGTGGCCGGAGCCCGAGACGCCGTTGGTGATGTCGAAGTAGCTTGAAAAAAAGGCGTGGTTGTTTGGAGACGTGGCCTGCCACGACTGACATGTTTTTCCAGATGAGGTTATGGACACTGTCCCACTGTAGACGGCCGTGGTTCCTTGTAGTGTGAAGCAGGGGACTGAAATGAGAGTGAGCGAGTTTTCTGGTTTCATGACGCTTTAATAATATTTCAGAAACACTAAAACGCCGTTGTGTGTCGAACTAAAGGTTGTCTCGAAGTTAAGGCATGCTTCCTGCGATTTCCTTCTTTTTAATAATTTCTTCAGCTATAATTCCGATTTCCTTTCATCACGTTTTTATATGAACCCGTAAAGCGGAAGTCAATGTTTGGCATTTAATTCATTTCACGTTGTCTGTTTATCGCTTACGTATTGTTTTATTCATTTTTCATTCTCTGGTTGTGTCGAACCTCGCACAACAAGGGCGGATCCAGCATTTTTAAACGGGAGGGGTCCAAAATATCGAAATCCTCTCTCAGACAATTTACTGCCCACATAACACAACATTCGGTTTTCTAAAGGGTGGGTTGGGTTTCGGACCCCCTGGTAAATACATACAGGGTGCATTGATTTCGCGAACACCTGGTGTCATAGATTTTTAGTGATCCATTTATATAATTTTCACCAATATTTTGCGTTTTACACCCAATGGAATCTGTTTCAGCGGATAATGGCGACTGATTATTCTCTGGTAGTGACGTTTCATATTAACTTGCTATTTGGTTCTAATCATTTAGAATTAATAATATTGTTCGATCATTGCACTCCGGCCGGGCATGAACATTCATATATTCCTTGTGATGTCACGCTTCTGTCGCCTAAGGCGCCGCGATTCGCTGTGCAGAGTTGCGTCCCTTGGGCGCGCCAGAAACCTATGATTGTGGGTTTGAATCCCGGTTCGCCCCGATTATGTTCCTAGGTTTGTCAGCACCATACCCGTGCTCGTGGGTTTCACCGAAGTGGTAAACGTCTGATACCTGCATCACTTCGGGCTTTCCCCCCACTTTAAGCTGACACGCCGTGATATAACTGGAATACTGTTAAAAGCGGCGTTAAACACAACTCACTCACTCACTATTAATCAAATGGACATGACACCAGGTGTTCGTGAAAAGGTGAGGGTATCCTGACCCACCAGCCAGTCCGTGTCTACTTGCAGTACTGGATGTTCGACTTCATTCGGGGATCACAGGACACGGGACATGCTAGAGGACAAAATGGTTACTGTCAAACACAGAGTCGAGCATGTCAAAGTGACATATCTATAACTCCCGATTACCAGCTGGTTACTGTCTGATAATGGGAGGAAAGCTGTGTGCAGAAGTGTCTGTTACCGGGTCTGTTACAGGGTGGCGGCCATTGGTTTAGGATGGCGTGTCCTGTGTCACGTGGTCATGTCAAAATCTCGCGAGATCTCGTAGACTGGAATATTGACTATACGGCGAGTAATATTTCAAGAATTGACAACCTTAAAACACAGCCAATAAATGACTCGATGATTTTAGTTATTACCTATTGTTGTTGTAGTCGTAGTCGTCGTCGTAGTAGTAGTTGTTGTTGTCGTAGGCGTGGTTGTGGTCGTCGATGCAGCAGTAGTTGTTGATGTAGTTGTGATTGTTGTCGTGAGAGTGGTAGTCGTGGGTGAAGTGGCTGTCGTAGGTGTAGTGGTGGTCGTGGGTTTAGTGGCTGTCGTAGGTGCAGTCGTAGCCGTGGGTGTAGGGGCTGTAGTAGGTGTCGTGGGTGTCGTGGCTGTCGTAGGTATAGTGGTTGTAGTTGTTGTAGTGGCTGTCGTAGGTGTGATGGTAATCGTGGGTGTAGTGGCTGTCGTAGGTGTAGTGGTAGTCGTGGGTGTAGTGGCTGTAGTAGGTATCGTGGGTGTCGTAGGTGTAGTGGTTGTCAATGGTGTAGTGGCTGTCGTAGGTGTGATGGTAATCGTGGGTGTAGTGGCTGTCGTAGGTGTAGTGGTAGTCGGTGTAGTGGTTGTCGTAGGTGTAGTGGTTGTTGTGGGTGTAGTGGTTGTCGTTGGTGTAGTGGTTGTTGTCAGTGCACAGTTCAGAATGTCACACATTTCCCAAATCGCGCTTCCATCGGCGACATAACACCACAAGAAACCAGCAGCAACAGCGCTACTTGCCGAGGGGTCGCGGCAGTAGTTGCTGGCTCCTCCGTACCCCATGCCAGCCGCACCGTTGGTGACGTCAAAGTTGCTGGCGACGTAGTTATGGGGGATAGGGTATGTGCTTTGCCATGTCTGACAGGGCTTCCCGCTGAGGGTGACGGCCGTTGTGCCGCTGTAGACAGCTGTGCTTCCCTGCAACGTGAAGCATTCGGGTGGATCTGCAAAAATACGGGCAAATGCAATATTAAGGCGGTGATATATAACGGCAGATATCGCAATGGTTCTAGGGATTCGTATGATCTGAGCATATCGCCTTAAATTTGGTTGAATAATTCAGTGTGTCAGTTTCCTGCATCGGTGGTCATGCCATCATCAACAAGTTTTTTCGCTTGACTTCTTGAAACATCCGTGATATTGTTAATTTTTTTTGGTTTAGATTTTTAAATAGTGATTAAGTTGTATATACTTGTTTTAATTATTGTCATTCCAGTGATTAACATCATGACCATCGTTCTTGGCAACTGGGATACTATTACATGCATCAACCAAGTCAGCCAGCCTGACCACCCAATCCCTTCAGTCGTCTCTTACGACAAGCTTGGCTTGCTGAAGACCAATTTTAACCCGGATCTTCACGGGACACTTGTCTTCCAGCATACCAGATGATAAACAGGAAATATACTCATGACTCCAGTAAGGACTGCACGCCTAAACTCACATTGCTGAGTGAGTGAGTGAGTTGAGTTAAACGCCGCTTTGAACGTTATTTTAAGTGTTGCAAATTTTAGATGTTTTCCACTTATATGACAGCACTGAGCACAGTTACAGTGATTCCAAAACAAGGATCGTTATCAAGACGTATCTGGAATTCCAACCGTCCTGGATCCTGTCATTCTAAAGGGACGCAATTTCGCAAAACGACGTCAACACACAACTCACTCATCACTTTGTACTCATCCTACCTGGAGCCCCCGGGATGGGGGGAGGTGTTACAGGGGGGCACAGGGGGACGCTGCATCTTTCCCAGACACCGCTGCCGTCGGCGATGTAGCACCATAAAAATCCGGCGGGCTGTGCCGCTCCACCTGACGGATCTCGACAGTAGTTGTTGGCGACGTTGATGCCGGGCCCGGCTACTCCATTAGTGACGTCGAAGCTGGTAGAGGTGTACGAATGTGGGATTGGGGACTGGTCTATCCACTTCTGACACCCTCGACCGTACTGGTCGACTGCAGTTGTCCCGCTGTAGACAGCGGTGCCGTCTTGAACAGTGTAGCAGTCAGTCGTACCTGTGGGTGGAAAACAGGATGGAAAATGAAGTCAAGGTTAAATATCTAAAAACGATGTTATCGTATCGTGCGAGTTTTAGCGTCACTTGGTATGTTTTACGCCCTAACTGGCAGTTGAGTTGGAAAAGGTCTTTAGCAACCCAAGCTTGTCATTAGAGGCGACTATGCTAACGTGATTGGGTGGTCGGACTCGATGACATGGTTGATGCATTTCATAGTATCCCAATTGCGTAAATCCGTGTCAAAACTTGATTTACAGGCCGCCGTCATGTGGCTGGAATATTGCCGAGTGCGGCGTTAAACAAACAAACAGAACTATAAGGTTTAACACTGGTACCGTGAGCAGCAAGGGGATTCCACTGTGACGTATGTGGGACATGTGTTACTTGAGATCTTCTAGCCTTTGAGTACTGCTCAATGGCTTCCTCTAACTTACGCTCATCACATTACCATTATGATCCAGAGGTAATTTGTGAGAAAGTTGTAATTTATAACACAAAATATCAAACCAAAGACCATTCCAAAATTAACTTTTTCAACATGAGGTAGAAACGTTTGTAAATTTTAGTTTTCGTTTCCTTTCAATGTGCATGTCGTTAGCTACGTCGTTTAGATACATGTTCTTGGCGATGGTCGAGTAAGATACATGTTCTTAACATGTTCTTCGATCCCCGGCCGCGTCATACCAAAACATGGTGAAGATGGTACTTTTTGTTACTCTGCATTAAGGGGCTGAAACAAGGACTGGTCTGCTCGGAGTCAGTATCCAGCGTCTGAGTGGGGGTATCATGTCAAACTGCGGCATAGTATCGCAACGGGCTAGCACTATAAAATCGGCATAAGTCGGGACAAGTACAAGCGCGCGCACGCACAAACACACACACACACACAACACACATCACACCGCACCACACACGTCGCTATATAAGTGCAATGATCTTGAAAGCAACGTTAAACCCCATTTCACCTCACCCCAAATGCACTGTGTAACCTGAATACTATTTGTTAATACTAATAACTATGACAGACATAGGGTCTGTATTTGTCTTGTGAAACTTGGCATGGATGAACGCTCCTGGCTTAGCTTACTCACCTTCTGTTGCTCTCGACATCATCAACATCAGCAGCAGCAGTACGACATCCTTGCCAACCCACATCGTGAGTGATGCTACTTTCCCAAAACTGTCTGTACTATTCTCCCCAAATCTGATGCATAGTATTCTGTTCTTCGACCTGTAGGTTATTCAACATAGGGGGCGATCGTGTAGAACCAGGTTTACAAGACGCCATTAGATCTATTGACATTACCGTGGTCGCTGAATTATGCATACGGGGATCTCTGGGCGAATGCCTCATGACGTATGAAGAGCGGTTTTCAAAAGAAAAAAAAACTATTATTGCTTCTGATCTATGCCAGACTCGTCAACATACCATACAAGTTCTCGTATCGTTGAACACGCGTTCACATGAGGGATCGTAAATCATTGTCGACAAAAGCAATTGCATATGGGCGATATCAATTTGTCTGAAGTGATTGGTGAAATATTGAACTGTGTCGATATTGGTAAGTGTAAAGCTTTTGACGACTTGATCGATTGCTTATACGTCAGCAATATAGAATCTATCTCAATGTCAAATTGGTTCATACAGATCAGTACTTAGGAGCTGCCAAGAGTTAAGGATAATCTGTTGCCAGATAATAAGGATTATCTCCATCCAGGTAGTAAGTGTTATCTCTGAGTGTCAGATGTTCCGAGCCTTGACGAGCAATTTTATGTTTATTATTATTATTGCTACGTCTACATCTACCACGAGTTGTTTAATTTGGCCTTGAAAATGGCTCACACAAGGACGTCGGCTTGTGACGTCGCAATGGTATTACGTCACCTTAAAATAATTTCGACAAGACTGTACAACTGTAGACGCCGTAATGTTTTGCATATATGTTCCCGTGCTGTGTCAGGTGAATAATTGACTTGCCTTTGCATGTGTTTGTGACGGGTGCGACCGGTGGGGCAGGCTATGCTCACCTTTTCTCGAACACCTGGTATCATCACTATGTGATAGTGATTCATCACATCCTTTTTTCATGCAGTCGAAATCGTAAAACGGACACTGGTTTCAGCAGACATATCGTTTGGTTATGGTAATTGCATTGTTTTGTGACTTTTATTCTACAATCAGTTCAATAGACTTTCCTATCACACCCTCCCTCTCCTCTGTGGTCGTGTGTACCAATATTCTTTCTTTTAGTAGATTTGTAACGTCCGTAGGTTTCTGTATTCAATGGGATTTTTAATTCCAAATAACTGTCAACCATTATCGGAACATGTAAAATCAAACAGACCCGTGAAGATCCGGGTAAGAATAGGTCTTCAGCAACCCATGCTTGCCGTAAAAGGTGATTATGCTTGTCGAAAAAGGCGACTAACGGGATCGGGTGGTCAGGCTCGCTGACTTGGTTGATGCATGTCATCGTATTCCAACATCGTAGATCGATGCTCATGATGTCAATGACTGGATTGTCTGGTTCAGACTCGATTATTTACAGACCGCCGTCATATAGCTGGAATTCTGCTGAGTGCGGCGTTAACCAACACACAAAAATCAAACAAACCCCTCTTCTCTAATTTGTCCCGTGCTGCCCAAATCACCAAGGGGTTCTAATCAAACCTACACTGTGTAGAGGAAATGTCTTGTAGTTCACAGGGCACAACACAATAACAGATGAGATTAATTAAATAGGGGTGGGGTGTTCTTTTGATGATAGTTGTTGCAGTGTATGTTGTGCATGCTTTACCGTGTGCGTTTATATGCGTTGATAGATTGTGATGCGTTGTTGTGTATGTTGTCCATGATCCCATCATGCGTTTATCTGAAGATGGCCTCAACAACCAGGACTTTCTGTCTTATAGTAGGAGTCTCTCATATGTACACGATGTGCGTGAGTGAGTGTGGTTTTACGCCGCTTTTAGAAATATTCTAGTAATATCACGGCGGGGGAACACCAGAAATGTAATGTACCCATGTGGGAATCGAACCCGGGTCTCCGGCGTGACGAGCAAACACTTTAACCACTAGGCCACCCCGACTCCTACATGATGCTGAGGGAACCCCTTGTGGGTCACAACGTACATATCGATATACAGTTATGATTGATTAGATACGCTGGCTTATAGGTACATTAGGTCCACTTTCAATGTAACTGTTCAATTTGCACTATTTGAAGGACTCTGCAATGAATGCACCTTAAACGCCTTTGTGCACCCATGGACGTGAATGCTTCAATTAATCCAAGTCATGAATAACTATGAAAAGGATTGATCGGGATATTGGACGTGTGAGGTAAACAAACGTGTTTACTGACAGTATTCGGTTGGTGTATATGACGACCTCTTGTCCTTGTATTCGTGTTTAAAAGGATACGTACTAAGCGCCTACCAGAGAACAAGAATTGTCTGCGTGTATGTAACGAACAATGTGCTGCGGTTTGTGCGGTGAGTTTCTGATCCATTCGTGAAAACTCGTGTTTTTCCGGGACAAGGCGAATAGCGACTCGTGGCCATTTGTGCGACTGGGTTCCGTCTAATTATAAACCTATTCATTGGGATCGCTATTAAGTAAGAGACTTCTTTCTATAGGCATCAAAACCTATTGTGAGGTTTTACTTTCCAGTCGAGTTAAATCTCATAAACAGGGACGTTGTAATGTCCCTGGGATTTTATATAATATCCAAGTCATATTTGCTATAATATCCCAGGGATTTTATATAATGTCCTGGGTATTTTACTAATATAACTTCCGTTCAGATTGTAACATGTTATGAAATGTAAAATCAAATGACAAATGTTTTCTTTATATTCTCGAGGATCGAACTCGCAATCGTCATATCTGTAGCCCAGTGAGTGAGTACCACGAGGCTACAGAGGTGTTGATAAGCTAATAAGCTACATAAGATGTAAGCTACATAAGTTCCTTTTCAAGATCCGTACGCCAGCAACAGATATTTTACGCGCGTTTCCAAAGGTTCATGGAAAGTATGTTCGAAACATAAAAATGTTGATAAATGTTGTTTTAAGTTTCTTTTTTCGGTTTATAAGTATGGAAAAACACTTACCCTCGGTTTTGGTAGACAGAGCATGCCCTGGGGGTCGGGAAAAACCGCGGGAGCTTCGCCTCCTTGGTTTTTCCCTCTCCCCAGGGCATGCTCTGTCTACCAAAACCTCGTAAGCGTGTTTTCTCCAATACGTACAAACGGGTATAGTTAAAAGAATTGTCATCTCGTAGCGTCATAATTCACGTTTGTTTTCCCAATATTCCAGATGCTATTAAAACCACATCGGGAATTATTGTATTATACGGTATGATTGAACGCATTTACCTGTATCTAGGGTAAATTTTTAGATGCAAGACGTGTAAAATCAAACATTATTCCTTGTGGATTCTTTGACCGAAGTACTTGAAGCCATACGCGCATTCTGATTGGTTTGTCGTATTTTTGCACATAACATTCATCGATAGTGGGGACGAGTCTTCTTGCAGGTTACGGAAAGGGGCGAGTGGTGACGAATGTTTTTGAGTGTGATAGATTGTGATCAGTTGAATCCGTTGTGGTTCGTTCTGATGCGTTTTGAAGCCTTCTGGAGCTTTTGGTGCGTTGTGATTCTGGTACTGCGGTTTGATGCGTTCGGATAAGTTATGGTGTGGAGTGATGCGTTGTGATGCGTTGTGATGCTTTTTTATGCGTTCTGACGATTTGAAGTACGCATTGAGAGATGACTTGTGACACGTACTCCTGCAGGAAGCCAAGCGATTAGATTCGGCGTGACGTACATTCTGAGTTTGAGTGTATACACTGTATTAAGTTTGGTTACATCGTGACATGTCACTTTCATCTCGGAAGAAATACCAAAAAGTACTTGACCTATACCACAACTAACGTAACTAATGTGGAAAAGGCGATGCTGAAGCAAAGATGATGATCAGGATAAATCGATGATTCGAACTTAGGACCTGCAGTTGTGGCAGCTATATCAAATATGTCTGCTGAACGGGTTTCATCCGTGCACCCGCTTACCACTCATTTCACGTTGCCCCATGTGTTACGGAGGCAGCGGTAACCGAGACGTTTAAGGCGCCGACATTCGTTGAGTTGCCGCCCTTTGTCATGCAGAATCCGATGATCAGGTTCTAATCCAAGGTTCGTCCTTTATCTTGCTTCTTGGTTTGTTAGTACCATATCCGCGCTCGGTGGTTTCACCATAGTGATAATCAATATTCATTGTCTTTCCTAATTTCGGGCTCCCCTCCGACATTTAAGCTGACAAACCTCGATATTATTGAAATAATAAAGTCACCCATGTGCTCCCATAAATCAATAATCAATATGCATTTGATCGATATATTTCTTAAACCTCGAAGTGGTACATGTATTTCCTGTTTGCGTGCAACAAGGATGTAGCCGCTGGTCACCAAATATTTCAAGACACGCAAGAAACACGGAGGTTCAAGTTTTGGCGTAAATGATCGCGTTGTCTACAGAATGGTCATTGTGTTCCGCGCTCGAGCTGTTTGAGAAGGTTGTTTGTCTGAGGTTGGTAGAGGTATTACGAGCGCCTCTTGCAATTGCCGACTTCGGTTCTTTCATTGTCCGGAAAGAGATATTTCGCACGCCACTGTTCTCAAAGCCCAATACCCAATATCACTTGGCACCATCTACACTACCACACACCAATCTTTCAAACGACATACACCAAAGCCAAGCAGTCATTCGGTCCACCCTTAATGGACCCCGACCCGTGAAGATACGGGTTAGAATTGGTCTTCAGTGACCCATTCTTGTCTTCAGCAACCCATGCTTGTCGTAAGAGGCGACAAACGGGATCGGGTGGTCAGGCTCGCTGACTTGGTTGATGCAAGTCATCGTACGCCGACGGCTTGGATCGTTGTTCACGCCATCATGACTGGATTGTCTGGTCCAGACTTGATTATTTACAGGTCGCCTTCATAAAGCTGAAATATTGCTGCGTTGAACAACGAATTAACACTATTAAAGTCTTAATCATACCGTGAACACGTCCTTCAGTGTGTGTGGGGCCTTGACAGTGAACCAGAAGGGGTATCATTGTTTGTTTGTTGTTTTACGCCGCACTCAGCAATATTCCAGCTATATGACGGTGACCTGTAGATAATCGCGTCAAGACCAGACACACCAGTGATTCTCATAATTAGCAACGTCCCACGTCGTTGGGGACGATGACATTCAGCCAAGTCAGCGAGGTATGGCATCCAAGTCCAGGCATTAGCTGCTGGGAACCGGTTCTATCCCAGAATCCCAATGCCAAGGGCGTATGCATCATTACATAAACTAGAGCGAAAACAACTTAACCTTATATCTCCTGTTGTGTGATGGCTTAATATAAATGTTACTTGATTAAATAAGACGTTTTGACGTTTAAACATTCACAATACAAACCACGCGATCCCTTCTTCCATGCCCAGAAGCTGATGTAATGAAATAAAAAAAATTCGTTTTTAATAAAAAATATAGCAAAACTTTATTTTTGAGGTAAACGGAAATACAAATCACAAACCACCAAAGGCATTCAGCCTTTAGTGCCAACAAACATAACCACCAACAAAGGTAGAACATACCCAAACAATCCTAAATACCTTCACTGGTCTCTGTACAAAGTCATCTCATCAATGTGGACAACGATTTGAGGACTGAAAAAATGAGTTTGATGTATATCATCTTACTGCTTCCCTGTCGGGTGTGCAAAATGAAAATAATGAAAGCACGAATGTTATTCATACTGTAAATGCTAGTCAAAATTAAATTTTGCAGTCTCTCCACCAAATCAAACACCACTGCCACATAAACCGACTACTTCCAGATCCCTTACAAGCCAAAACACGATTACATCACATTATCAGAAATAAACAGATTATTTTCGATAAAAAGATCCACTGAACCCCCCAAAGAAACCAGATTCACTGAAACGTCAACTGTCACTGATCGTATGTAAGCCTATCCTTCAGGACGCTTTCATGCGAAAAGTGTTTATATTAATTCAAGTTGAATAATTTGAAAGCTAGCATTTTCGGAAGAAGGGGAGAAAAGATTTATTTGGGAAATGATCAAATACACTTGAATTACGGATTATATTTCCCCCTTGAAATATACGTTTTATCCGTATCTCTGATAACCTGGCCCTGAGCGGGAATTCGAAGTCACTTTTGATCACTGCAAAATGATCATGTCCACCGAAATTTGATGCTTATCCTGAAGGTGTGACATTAACTTTCAATCTTTGCCAGTCAGATGCGAAACTTCTTCTGGTTGGTGGTCATGCACATTTAAAGCCAAACCATTCGGACTGACGACATTTGGTTTGTTTTGAAACCGATTATTCTTGAGGTTGTGATATAATTAATAACGCAGCCTCTGATATGACCTTGACCTCCTATGTAGGTCACACATAACCCGAAGCTCACACCAGAGATCAGAAAATTACATTTCGTCAAATTCGTATCATTAATACTCAATTACTTTCGTACAAAGCCTGGGGGCACGGGTGGCCCAGTCGTCTAAGGCGCCGCGATTCGCTGTGCAGAGTTGCGTCCCTTGGGCACGCCAGAAACCTATGATTGTGGGGTCGAATACCGGTTCGCCCCGATTATGTTTCTAGGTTTGTCAGCACCATACCCGTGCTCGTGGGTTTCACCGAAGTGGTAAACGTCTGAGACCTGCATCACTTCTGGCTTTCCTCACACATTAAGCTGACACGCCGCGATATAACTGGAATAATGTTAAAAGCGGCGTTAAACCCAACTCACTCACTCACTCACTCGTACAAAGCCTTCTTCAGATCTTGACCTTCAATGTCCAAATCATACATGAGAACAACTCCCTGGGTTATGTGAATACAGAAGGTCATGCATGATGTCTCTGAAGTATGATGTGACCTCGTGTTTCAGAAAACGAAATGAGCCGCATGCGACAGACACAATGAAGCAAACACATTATACAGCCTGCTTACATATACTTCTTATTACCACTAAATGGTTATTGTTGTGACGTAAAGCGTCACCAGTACCACCTGAAATTGAGTTATATGGGAATGGTCAGTAATGTTGTGTTTATGGGTGATATTTTGAACCTGATTTCTAGTCGGTTCATATACATTGATAAGAATGGTTCATCACTTTGTGACGAAGTCAGAGCTGAGTTGAAATATCAGCCGTTTCCACGTCAAGGCCGCCATTTTGTCCATCACTAGTTTTGCCTGACGCAACCTTGACCTCCTGTCCTTCTTCCACAATTATCTCCACCTGGTTCACAGCCCAAGGCTGCAGCTCGCCTTGAGCCAGGGTGCCGAACACCACCATCCCCAGGACGCAGAATCCCCCACACACGTAGAACATGTTCCTCCATTCTTCCTGAGTTTTCTGTGGCAAGAGGCGAAAGGAATGCGTGAGATATACCTTATATAGTGAGTGAGTGAGTGAGTGAGTGAGTGAGTGAGTGAGTGAGTGAGTGAGTGAGTGAGTGAGTGAGGAGGAGAGAGAGGAGAGAGAGAGAGAGAGAGAGAGTCAGTCGCCCCCGTAGTGACAAGCGAACACTTTAACCACGAGGCTACCCCAACCCCCGACCTTATATAGTGAGCAATGTAACAGTGTAATGTAGGAGGCTCCGGGGGCCTTGTCGTCTTAATTAGGCTTTGTGAAGAGTTACGTCCCACAGGCACGCCAGAATACTATGATTGTCAGTTCGAAACCCGGTTCGCCCCAATTGTGTTTCTAGGTTTGTCAGCACCATACCCGTGCTCGTGGGTTTCACCAAAGTGGTAAACGTCTTAGACCTGCATCACTTCGGGCTTTCCTACCACATGATGTTGATACGCCGTGATATAACTGGAATAATGCTAAAAGCGGCGTTAAACCCAACTCACTCACTCACTATAGTGTCATATGGGGAACATGTATCTCGGCTGAATCATGGTATATAATTTACAACATAGTATAACGAAAACACTCTTCTGTAAAAGTAACACGCCATTTATGTGTTATGACGTAGTATCACAGCTATATAACGGAATTCAGAGATACCATCTATATCAAGGGTAGTCAGCAATAGCTCCACTATATCAAGGACAGTCAGCAATAGCTCCACTATATCAAGGGTAATCGGCAATAGCTCCACTGTATCAAGGGTAATCGGCAATAGCTCCACTGTATCAACGGTAATCGGCAATAGCTCCACTATATCAAGGCCAGTCAGCAATAGCTCCACTATATCAATGGTAATCGGCAATAGCTCCACTATATCAAGGGTAATCGGCAATAGCTCCACTGTATCAAGGCTAGTCGGCAATAGCTCCACTATATCAAGGGTAATCGGCAATAGCTCCACTATATCAATGGTAATCGGCAATAGCTCCACTATATCAAGGGTAATCAGCAATAGCTCCACTGTATCAAGGCCAGTCGGCAATAGCTCCACTTTATCAAGGGTAATCGGCAATAGCTCCACTATATCAAGGGTAATCGGCAATAGATCCACTGTATCAAGGCCAGACAGCAATAGCTCCACTATATCAAGGGTAATCGGCAATAGCTCCACTATATCAAGGCCAGTCAGCAATAGCTCCACTATATCAAGGGTAATCGGCAATAGCTCCACTGTATCAAGGGTAATCGGCAATAGCTCCACTGTATCAAGGCCAGTCAGCAATAGCTCCACTGTATCAAGGGTAATCGGCAATAGCTCCACTATATCAATGGTAATCGGCAATAGCTCCACTGTATCAAGGGTAATCGGCAATAGCTCCACTATATCAAGGGTAATCGGCAATAGCTCCACTGTATCAAGGGTAATCGGCAATAGCTCCACTGTATCAAGGGTAATCGGCAATAGCTCCACTGTATCAAGGCCAGTCAGCAATAGCTCCACTGTATCAAGGGTAATCGGCAATACCTCCACTATATCAATGGTAATCGGCAATAGCTCCACTGTATCAAGGGTAATCGGCAATAGCTCCACTATATCAAGGGTAATCGGCAATAGCTCCACTGTATCAAGGGTAATCGGCAATAGCTCCACTATATCAAGGCCAGTCAGCAATAGCTCCACTATATCAAGGGTAATCGGCAATAGCTCCACTGTATCAAGGGTAATCGGCAATAGCTCCACTGTATCAAGGCCAGTCAGCAATAGCTCCACTGTATCAAGGGTAATCGGCAATAGCTCCACTATATCAATGGTAATCGGCAATAGCTCCACTGTATCAAGGGTAATCGGCAATAGCTCCACTATATCAAGGGTAATCGGCAATAGCTCCACTGTATCAAGGGTAATCGGCAATAGCTCCACTGTATCAAGGCCAGTCAGCAATAGCTCCACTGTATCAAGGGTAATCGGCAATAGCTCCACTGTATCAAGGGTAATCGGCAATAGCTCCACTGTATCAAGGCCAGTCAGCAATAGCTCCACTGTATCAAAGGTAATCGGCAATACCTCCACTATATCATGGTAATCGGCAATAGCTCCACTGTATCAAGGGTAATCGGCAATAGCTCCACTATATCAAGGGTAATCGGCAATAGCTCCACTGTATCAAGGGTAATCGGCAATAGCTCCACTGTATCAAGGGTAATCGGCAATAGCTCCACTATATCAAGGCCAGTCAGCAATAGCTCCACTATATCAAGGGTAATCGGCAATAGCTCCACTATATCAAGGGTAATCGGCAATAGCTCCACTGTATCAAGGCTAGTCGGCAATAGCTCCACTATATCAAGGGTAATCGGCAATAGCTCCACTATATCAAGGGTAATCGGCAATAGCTCCACTATATCAAGGGTAATCAGCAATAGCTCCACTGTATCAAGGCCAGTCGGCAATAGCTCCACTATATCAAGGGTTATCGGCAATAGCTCCACTATATCAAGGGTAATCGGCAATAGATCCACTGTATCAAGGCCAGACAGCAATAGCTCCACTATATCAAGGGTAATCGGCAATAGCTCCACTATATCAAGGCCAGTCAGCAATAGCTCCACTATATCAAGGGTAATCGGCAATAGCTCCACTGTATTAAGGCCAGTCAGCAATAGCTCCACTATATCAAGGGTAATCGGCAATAGCTCCACTATATCAAGGCTAGTCCACAATAGCTCGACTGTATCAAGGGTAGTGAAACACTTGATTACACTTACATTAGGCGTGATAGCACCAGCAAGGAGAGGTGATATTGTCCCTGGTATTGTTGCAACAGAGTTAGAAATACCAAACAGTACACCGGCATGTCTGGAACAAATAAAAGATATTGATCAAGTTGATCATATTTGCTGAAGACATTTGTACGGAGCATTGCTGAGTGCGGCGTTAAACAATGTGTATCACAGATGGTGACTGTTGGATTAATCATGCGCCACAAGTTCAACATATTTGAAAAATCTTTGAATAATAAAATAATTGAACGGATCAACGATTGATGGTCTTTCTCCGTTTAATATGGCCGTTTCGACACAATCATCTATGCTAAATTATGTCGACCACATTTATACGCTACAACCTGTCATTGTATGCAGTACAAAATCATTTAGTACAATATGATTCATTCCACGTTGACAACCTGCCTACCTCGGAGCGAAGTCGACAGCGTTGACGATGTACCCAGCCGATGACATCCCCGAAAACCACAGGCCTATTGTTATCAGGGCAATAGCTGTATAGCGATGTGCCACGTCAACAAACCCCGCTCCTATTAGACACGCCCCTGTTCCCATAAACGCTGACAATGCAAAAAAGGGACAATGGTATTCTCACACTGTCTTGTCGAAAACAATTGTGATAATATTTGTAAATAATCACCAAACAGAATCAATAAAATTATTTTGAGTTTCTCATTAAAAACAGATAATGTTATATTGAGCAGTATTGTTATATATCAGTTCAATGTATACCGGTGAGTGAGTTGTATTTTACGTCGCTTTTAGCATTATTCCATCACCATCATGACGGGGAACCAGAAATGGGCTTCACACGTTGTACCCATGTGGGGAATTGAACCCGGGTCTTCGGCGCGACGAGCGAACGCTTTAACCACAAGGCTACCCCACCGCCCCTAAATGTATTTTGAGTTTATATGCATGAATTATAAAACGAAGAAACGCTACCACTAGTTGCAGAACTGAAAGATCCATTAATACAACACTTATATGTTGTTTTCATGAAAGAAATCTCCAATTTTGTTTATTCTGAAAAACATTCAAGAATACAGACAGTGGATTCCCGATCATCCAGTGAATTGTATCTCCATTTTGTTTTTTTATTTTAAAAAAATGCCATATTTGTTACCATAGCTTCGCTTTGGAAGTGACGTCACCGTCACCATCTGACGGTACAGGCCGCCGCCGCCGCCGCATGGCAGGAGTGCTGTTGTACTCTGACAGGCAACACACGCTTACTTACCGTATTCGGCGTAATAAGCGCCCCGCTCTAATAAGCGCCCACGGCGATATTTGCTAATATATTGGCCAGTGAACAATCCCAATTAGCACCCCTTCCGATTCATCAATGTAAACAAGACTTATTTATTCGCGTATAATACGCACTCGTGTGCTTTATGCACTCTTAATTATGGGCAATAACATTCTGGAAAAATATATCTGTCGTATATAAACATTTTAGGCTGTCAGCATAAACCACGAAATTAAATTTATCTTTCAATTCTGTTTTTTTCCACCAATATAATATTTGAATAGGAGCCCCCTATTTCTAATTTTGATAGCGCCCTGGGCGCTTATAACGTCGAATACGGTATTTATGCAAATTGTGTGAGTGGTGGGTAGGGCAGGACATGCTTACTCTTTTCACGAACAGCTGGTGTCATCACGGGTTTCAGTGATCCATTCATATACTTTTCAACGCTGTTTTGCCTTTTACGTCCAATTGAATCTGATTTGAGAATGGGACCGCCTCCGTGGTCTAGTGGTAGAGCGTCCGCCCGGAGAGCGGAAGGTCCGGGGTTCGGTCCCCGGCCGCGTCATACAAAAAGACGTTAAAAGATTGTACTTGTTGTTACCCTGTCTGGCGCTCGGCATTAAGGGGCTAAAACAAGGACTGGTCGGCTCGGAGTTAGTATACTAGCTGTGTCTGAGTGGGGTATTCATGTTAAACTGCGACATGGTATCTCAGTGAGCTAGCACTATAAATCGGCATCATTCCGGACTAGTACAAGCAGCTACACACACACATACACGTGCATGCACGTCGCTATATAAGTGCAATAATCTTGGTCGCGACGTTAAACCCAATTTCACCTCACCTCGCCTGATTTGAGAATGGTTACTCTTTAGCGTTGACGTTTTAAATCTACCAGTATCTCCGCACAGACTTTTATCTTGTGTAATCTGTCCAGATGGCTTATTTTCTTTCTTTCTTTGCCCTTTAACACCGCACTCAGCAAAAATCCAGCTGTATGACGGCAGTCTGTCAGTTATCGAATCTGGACCAGACAATCCACTGATTGACACCAGGAGCATCGATCCACGCAATTGGGATACGATGACATGCATCAACTAAGTCAGCGAGCATGGGTTGATGAAGACCAATTCTAATCCAGATCTTCAGTGGTGCGGCTTACTTTAGCGTTGTGTGTTTCTTATCAGAAAAGCGAATGGGTCCAGAGTATACATCATAACAGAATGAATATATCATACACTTGGTTATCGAAGATGAGCTGTGTAAACCACTTCTCTTTCTAAATCCTTCTATAAGAAAACAGCTTTAAGTTTTGAATTCATTTTCTCGGTTGCCAAATTGAGAATCGTCTTTTGCAATTTCAGCAGGAATTTGTTGTCATGTTTTAAGAGAATTCCTCGACGTTCCTTATATCACCAGACATATACCGCAACAAAACGGCAAGCACGCCTGTGTATGAGTGTTGTACTCTGCAGAATGTAGGGCATCTTCCCGAGGCAAGAGAGTTAACTGACTATAAAAGTCCAGTTTCCACCCTTGCCGAACTAGGCTGGTATTATGGAGTTACATTTTGGCTGGACTAACGAGTCTATGCATAGTCCAATCAAAATCGAAATCAAAATCCAGTTCGTAAACTGTCCTGCAGATTTCGATCGATTGCAGGATTTGCGAAGTATGTGCACCGCCAACTCGTTGTCCGAAGATATTTTCCAAATCTTTTCAAGTTTTTAATCAAGGTGCTCACGTGATTTAATGCATTTCGCGATGTAAGACCCGTTTTATCACAATATAGATCTTGATTATCGATCAGATCGACCTGACTGGGCGCCACCATTTTGTGTGAAGCAAACGCAAGTGATACGAGAGGTGGAATCTGATTGGTCCATAGAAGAGGCTTAGAAGGGACATAACTGGTAATAGCCACTGGTGGCGCTACGATCGAGCCCAGTAGTTCCAGCCTTGTTGGGCAAGGGTGGATGGAAACTGGACTTTGAAAGTCAGGTAACTCCCTTGCCTCGGGAAGATGAATGGAGGGATTAATCCGCACTTTGCAATATATTGACCGTTAACATGAAAGGGTACGAGATCGTAGTGTTGTTTGTTTGTTGCTTTACGCCGCACTCAAAATATATAAATATAAATAAAATATAAAAACTCGATTCTGGAGCAGACAAACCAGTGATTAATACAATGAGCAACGATCAAACGCCGTCGGGGTACGATGGCAACCAGGTAACCGAGCCTGGCTACCCGACCAATTACGCCGTCTCTCGAGACAAGTACAGGTTACTGGGACCTATATATCCTGACCCGGAATTCCTAGGGATATGAGTGTGTGAGAGTGTGTGGACATTTTATTTTGACTGATTCTCACAGATTATCTGGAATATCCTCCTCGTGGCCGTAGTGGTGAGGTATTTTCTTGACCGCAAGTAGTCAGCCAGCTGACCAGTGACCATTCCGGACACAGTCTGGCTGGCAAAGGCGACTGAGGAAAGAAGTCCGTTCTGGAAGGAGAGCATAATACAATCATCCCTGGTTATAATGATGGCATTGTACATCACTAGGGTGGCATTATAATCAGGGAGGACTGTATATCCATTTCCAAAATAATGTTGTGAGGAAATGAATGACACAACCGGGATTGAGGATATTATAACAGGAAAGGATATTAGCATTAACATCAGACTCATTTGTTTTTTATTTTAAGAAGGTGTGAGTATTAGCTGTGAAATCAATTAAATTAGTTTATAGATTTAGAAGAGGGAATTGTTTCCAAAAGATTATCTACATTGACAATTGTATGTAAAAAACGATATAAATAATGTCATTGTAACAAAGGAACAAGAAAGTTTGTTCTGAAATACATTTGGATTGGCATTATAACCAGGATGGCATTATAACCAGGATGGCATTATAACCAGGATGGCATTATAACCAGGGTGGCATTATAACCAGGATAGCATTATAACCAGGGTAACATTATAACCAGGGTGACATTATAACCAGGATGGCATTATAACCAGGGTGCGTTATAACCAGGGTGGCACTATAACCAGGATGACATTATAACCAGGGTGGCATTATGACCAGGGTGGCATTATAACCAGGAGGGCATAATAACAAGGATGACATTATAACCAGGGTGACATTATAACCAGGGTGGCACTATAACCAGGATGACATTATAACCAGGGTGGCATTATGACCAGGGTGGCATTATAACCAGGAGGGCATTATACCCAGGATGGCATTATAACCAGGATTGCATTATAACCAGGGTGACATTATAACCAGGATTGCATTATAACCAGGATGGCATTATAACCAGGATGGCACTATAACCAGGATGACATTATAACCAGGGTGGCATTATGACCAGGGTGGCATTATAACCAGGAGGGCATTATACCCAGGATGGCATTGTAACCAGGATTGCATTATAACCAGGTTGACATTATAACCAGGATTGCATTATAACCAGGATGGCATTATAACCAGGATGGCATTATAACCAGGATGGCATTATAACCAGGATGGCATTATAACCAAGATGGCATTATAACCAGGGTGGCATTATAACCAGGATGGCATTATAACCAGGGTAACATTATAACCAGGGTGACATTATAACCAGGGTGACATTATAACCAGGATTGCATTATAACCAGGATGGCATTATAACCAGGATGGCACTATAACCAGGATGACATTATAACCAGGGTGGCATTATAACCAGGATGGCATTATAACCAGGATGACATTATAACCAGGGTGGCACTATAACCAGGATGGCATTATAACCAGGTTGACATTATAACCAGGATTGCATTATAACCAGGATGGCATTATAACCAGGATGGCATTATAACCAGGATGGCATTATAACCAGGATGGCATTATAACCAAGATGGCATTATAACCAGGGTGGCATTATAACCAGGATGGCATTATAACCAGGGTAACATTATAACCAGGGTGACATTATAACCAGGATGGCATTATAACCAGGATGGCATTATAACCAGGGTGGCACTATAACCAGGATGACATTATAAACAGGGTGGCATTATAACTAGGATGGCATTATAACCAGGATGGCATTATAACCAGGATGACATTATAACCAGGGTGGCACTATAACCAGGATGGCATTATAACCAGGGTGACATTATAACCAGGATGGCATTATAACCAGGATGGCATTATAACCAGGGTGGCACTATAACCAGGATGACATTATAACCAGGGTGGCATTATAACCAGGATGACATTATACCCAGGATGGCATTATAACCAGGATGGCATTATAACCAGGATGGCATTATAACCAGGGATTTTTTCTCTGCAGAAATTCGTTCTGAGAAAAACATGGCATAATCAGGGACGACTGCATATGTAGCTATTTAGCGTGATATCTCCACGCAGACACGACTAAATAAGCATTGCAGGAGATGCACACGCGGTTTCTTCGACTCATAACTTCCCGTTGTACTTTTATACTGCAAATATAGTTGGAATATTCCTGAGTGCGGCGTTAAACAACAAACAAACCAACCAACCAACCCCGACCACGGATGTGGTGCAGACAAATAGTGAAACATAATCAGGGCAGAATTCGAACCAAAGATCGCAGGTTTCCGGCCGCCTAAGGGACGCATAACTAATTGTTTGTTTGTTGTTTAACGCCGCACTCAGCAATATTACAGCTATACGACGGCGGTCGGTAAATAATCGAGTCTGGACCAGGCAATCCAGTGATTAATATCATGAGCATCGATCCACCCAATTGGGATCAATGACATGCATCAACCAAATCAGCGAGCCTGACCACCCGATGCCGTTAGTCGCCTCTTACGACAAGCACAGTCGCCTTTTACGGCAAGCATGGGTTGCTGAAGACCAATTCTACCCCGGAATCTTCACGGGAAGAGTAACAACAATAGCTAAATTGTAAAAGTAAATGGTACATACCTCCGTAATGCCGAAGTTCAACACTTCTTTAAGATATATAGGGATGTTAGTCGTCAGTGTGTATGCGATCCAATTGTAACATCCGTGCCCAGTAATGAACGCCCAAGATGCTGGAGACGTCATCATGGCTTTCCATGGCGTTCGATGTTTCTGTAAACAAAACCCGACAATTATAGAATTCTGATATTGAGAAAGAAGGTGAGGTGAAATGGGGCTTAACGTCGCGTTCAAGATTATTGCACTTGTATAGAGACATGCACGTAGGTGTGTCGGACTTGTGCCGAGTTTATAGTGCTAGGCCGCAGTTTAACATGAATTTCCCGCTCAGACACAGTATACTGACTTTGAACCGACCAGTCCGTGGTTTAGCCCCTTAATCCCGAGGGCTAGACAGGGTAACAACAAGTACCATCTTTTCACGTCTCTTGGTATGACGCGTCCGGGGATGGAACCTCCGAACTTCCGCGTTCCGTGCTGGCGCTCAGACACTAGACCACGGAGGCAGTCGTTAAAACACGAGGAAAGACTGTTTCGTATGTATAAGAAAGAAACATGAGATGTGAAGAAACACATCCGAGATACGTACACAAACTGAGATTTGAAATGACTTGATATTACACATTAATACGTACAGCAGTTATCATGTCATCTTATTCACACGTATTGTTTCGTGTTTCCTTGCTTCTTTCCACATGACGCTCTATGACATTTAAGTGGAGGATATAGAACTGACAAATTTCGTTTCATTTTTGAAGCCATGAAGACCCGGGGTAGAATAGGTCTTCTGCAACCAATGCTTGCCGTAAAAGGCGACAATGCTCGTCGTAAGAGGCGTCTAATGGGATCGGGTGGTCAGGCTCGCTGATGCATGTCATCGTATCCCAAATGCGTAGATAAATGCTCATGATGTTAATCACTGGATTATCTGGTCCAGACTCGATTATTTACAGACCGCCGTCTTATGGCTGGAATATTGCTGAGTGCGGCGTTAAACAGCAAACATTTTATTTTTGAACTTTGCGCAAAATACTAAGACGACAGTTAACGTTAAAACATTACGTCTTTGATAGACATTTGGAAGTTCGAAGAATATGAAGAAATGGAACATTAGTGGATAACTTTCTTTCATAAAGCAGATTTTGCACGATTCCGACTATATCATGAGCATGTGTTTATGAATTACCATCAAAATGTGGTGGCACCCGTCACAAACACATGGAACGACGTTTCATGGCTACTTTTTCCCCTTCATCAGGTTCGTCGTTACAAGGGGTCACGGGTGGCCTAGTCGTCTAAGGCGCCGCGATTTGCTGTGCAGAGTTGCGTCCCTTGGACACGCCAGAAACCTATGATTGTGGGTTCGAATCCCGGTTCGTCCCGATTGTTTCTAGGTTTGTTTGCACCATACCCGTGCCCGTGGGTTTCACCGAAGTGGTTAACGTCTTAGACCTGCATCACTTCGGGCTTTCCTCCCACATTAAGCTGACACGCCGTGATATAACTGAAATACTGTTAAAAGCGGCGATAAGCCCAACTCACTCACTCACTCACTCACTCGGCGTTACAAACAGTAAAGAAGTTGTTTTTCGTAAAGATTTATGTCTTCGCGATATTAAAAACCTTAAGAATATTAAAATTTAAAAACAAGTACCTGTTCTGTTTCTCCGATACTGTTGATGATGTAGTTCATCTCCGCTTTCGAGATGCGGGGATGTTGAGCCGGTGTACTCGCCACCGTGTAATACCACAACAAGCACCAAAACACCGATATAGCACCTGGAGACATAGGAGATATATTCGTCAGACAAACCATCAGAGCCTCGTCCGCATCATCTTACATGGAGGCGACCGCCTCCGTGGTCAAGTGGTAGAGCGTCCGCCCGGAGAGCGGAAGGTCCGGGGTTCGATCCCCAGCCGCGTCATTCCAAAAGACGTTAAAAGATGGTACTTGTTGTTACCCTGTCTGGCGCTCGGCATTAAGGGGCTAAAACAAGGACTGGTCGGCTCGGAGTCAGTATACTGTGTCTGAGTGGGGTATTCATGTTAAACTGCGGCATGGTATCTCAGTGAGGTAGCACTATAAATCGGCATCAGTTCGGACTAGTACAAGCAGCCACACAAATACACACACGTACATGCACGTCGCTATATAAGTGCAATAATCTTGGTCGCGACGTTAAACCCCATTTCACCTCACCTCACCTTACATAGAGGCTGTCTAATTAGACAAATACATCTTGGGGCACGGGTGGCATTTGAAATACCGCGCTAACAAACTCAACACACGTCAGAATCAAATGTTGAGATGTGCTTGTGTGCTTTCCTAACGCGTATTTGGTACGAAAGGCTGGGAATTTATGATAGCATATCATTTTACTGTATCTAAAACAAAGTTATTTACCTGTGATGTAGAAGATCGACCCCCAACCATTATCGAATCCGTAAACACACAGCAGCCCTGATATGGCGAATGTTGCTATCCCACCAAACATTGTCCCTGGAAGTTGAGATGTAAAATTTTGTTTTACGCCGCAGTAAGCAGTAATGTAGATTCATTAGATGGAAGACTAAACAAACAACGAGCCACAGGTCGGGACAAGACGGTACAGAAATAGCACGGTCACTCAGTGTCGCCAGTCCATCTTCGCTTGTAGCTTTTACGGCACTGAGACCGAAGAAGAAGAACAATATTCATGTATTCATCATCTTGTGAAGGGTTCTTGAAGACCTAATTATAACAAATATGCGCAAGTGACCCGAGTGAAATTTCAGAGTTTTGTTGGCCCAGCAATCCAAATATAAGTCGAAAGAGACCCCTGAATAGGTAGAATAGGTCTTCAGCAACCCATGCTTGCCGTAAAAGGCGACTGTGCTTGTCGTAAGAGGCGACTAACGGGATCAGGTGGTCAGGCTCGCTGACTTGGTTGATGCATGTCATCGCATCCCAATTGCGTAAATAAATGCTCATGATGTTAATCACTGGATTATCTAGTCCAGACTTGATTATTTACAGACCGCCGTCATGTAGCTGGAATATTGCTGAGTGCGGCGTTAAACAACAAACAAACAAATCAGTCTCCAGCATCGCATTGGATCAATGGATGAAGTTTTGTCTATAGTTTGTCGTGTGGGATAGGGGCGGCCGGGTAGCCTAGTGGTTAAAGCGTTCGCTCGTCACGCCGAAGACCCGGGTTCGAATCCCGACATGGGTACAATGTGTGAAGCTCATTTCTGGTGTGCCCGCCGTGATATTGCTGGAATATTGCTAAAAGCGGCGTAAAACCATACACACTCACTCACTCACTCGTCTGGGATAGCTGTGCAAAGCATGGAAAAGTCCTGTGAATTGACATAATTGTACTTTCCTAAGATTGCAAAAGATTCAAGCAAATCCTTTGACATTAGGAGAATCCACGTGGTATAAATTCCACCTGTCTCAATACCTTCTGAGAAAGTATTTCCTTGATTGTGTTAAGGATAATTCTTCTTCGATAGAGAGGGATTCGGGGATACATTTGCTGAACCCTTCCTATACATGTCTCTCTCGTTGCACGAACTTTTTTTTTTTTAATTCAGTACAAAAGAGGAATTGGCATGTCTTCAGCTTTTAAAATCAAGCTAAATGTCAACGCTTCTGTAATTATTTGTTCTAAAGAAAACCCCAGAGTTTTTCTCAGAAATGAGTAAGTATTCCATCAGTGTCTACGTCATTTTAAGACTAGTCGAAGTATAATCTTTGACAAATGTTTTATGCATTTGACGATGCTATTGACTCTTACCTGAATAACAGATAGCAGTGAGCTTTGTTCTCTCCAAGGGCGGCGCCCATCTTCCCCACATAGCCTGCGAAGCCGGGAAATACACTGCCTGTAGAAACAGGTGATGGCGTTAACTTAGCAAGAGCTTGTTACAATGTTCAATACCACAGAATGTTTACCAGCGAGATAGATAGGCATAGTTAGACCAGGAGAGCCCCGACTAAGCGTATGTGAACAATAACATGCGGCTGGCCGAATACCCTCACAAATATTATCAACTGATTTTATTATTTATCCGCCAATTCCCAGAATTGATTTCGATCATCACTTCCCAACCTATGACCCAAACCCAACATCTTCTCATTCACCTTCAAATACAGAAGATACACAACGCAGGAAAGTCAGGTTAATTGTTCTCTAAATTATGATGCTGTCTGGTATTCTGTGATCCTGTTTGTTGCTCGATTGTGATCCTATTTGTGATCTTATTTCGTTAATGCTCATTTAACAGTTTACTGGTACAAACGTGAAAATTGTTTCTGGTTTTCAAGAGATAAATATTCTGAACCTGAATCACGCTTTGTATCACGCTTTATATCAATGTAGACCTCGTGTATGTTCATTTATAAAGTTAGAATATTTTTCTCGACAATATTGATATCGTCATTAAATGTTCACAAAGAAATATTACAGTTAAGAAATATTAAAAACTGATATTGGATGAGAAAATGTTTATTTAATTTAAAAGTGAACTCTCTTTGGATTGATTTAGAAAACTGGACATTAAATAAAATGCAGGTCAAAATAAAAAATTACTAGAGACGTTGTCTTAATAGGTTATCCAACACAGTATTACAGCCTAATAAATGCACTAATCTCTGTATCGAAGTACATGACTTATAGACATAATGTTTTTTAACAAGCCGATTACATTTAACCTGTTTAAAGAGGAGCTCACACAACATTACTTTACGACCAAATACACTGCATCAGTATATGCTACCAAGAACCTCTTTAACAAATTTTGGTCAAATTCTAACTCATTGTTCAGTTGCTAACTGTTTAGTTTTGTGTAGTTTGCATACATATCACTGTATATTGTGTTTAGTTATAGAATCGTGATATATTAGTTTGTAATTTGCAACAGAAAAAAAATAAATATAAAAAAGAAGAAAAAAGGGATCTTTGGATTTGTGCCTTTGGATATGAATTATAGAAGCATCAACAAAGGTGGATACTATCCATATAACCCTACCTCCAGTTTGGTTCTATCAATGTTACCCTCCATAGGGGTGCATCTATCTCTATACCTGGGACACGCCGAGAAGCACCCGGAGGGCGTAGGCCATGTAGATAGAAGATCGGGCGCCGATTGGTAAAAGCAGTGAGCTGATCGAGCCAATCAGCATCCCGACAAACATGACGTTCTTCCCACCAAATTTGTTTGCCAAGATGCCTGAAGGAACTTGTGTAACAAAGTAACCATAGAAGTAGGAGCTGAGGAGCCCGGCCTGCTCTGCCTTGGACCAGTAGAACTCAGCAGTCTGTCAAATAGGCAAGGCTGGTTGTTTGGTTTGTTGTTAAACGCCGCACTCAGCAATATTCCAGCTATATGATCATGACGGCGGTCTGTAAATAATCGCGTTTGGGCCAGACAGTGCAATGATTAATATCATTAGCATCGATTCACTCAATTGGGATACGATGACATGCATCAACCAAGTCAGCAAGACCGACCACCCGACCCCATCAGTCGCCTCTTACGACAAGCACAGTCGCCTTTTACGGCCATCATGGGTTGCTGAAGGCCTATTCCAACCCGGATCTTCAGGTATGTTATAAGCCAAGGGAATCTATATAAATCAAACAACGGGATAAAGTGGCACATGCCTAAAACTGCTTTGAACAATATTGAAGTTATTCTAAGGGTGTGATCTCCATGTTGGAAGAAAGTCCGAATTATAGTGCTGACAACCTCGAGGCGAATCAGCGGATCCTGATATGGCGAAAGGAAGTAACTCTGCAAAGTGAATTGTGGCGCTTTGGATCTGGTGAAACCAACTTGAAAGTTAGTCTTTTGCAATGCATTGTAAAACAATGCTTCAGTCTTGAAAAATAGTTTTTCACTAACAATGACACGATATAAACTCTTGTGACAGTGTACCTCAGGTACTGGTTCTGTAGGCTCGGTAACGTTGATGCTGCTGTCGGTGGCGTTAACCATACACACGATAGCCACGCTCAAGTTAGACCTATTAGCTTCAAGTATGATTCCCTGGAAACAGCCCATGAATGCCAGAAGCATTCGTTGTGAAAAGAAGGTGGAATCTGAAATGAGTGACGTACTTCACACTATATATACATCTGAAAGACTTGATCTGTGGTGATTTATTTATCAATGATCACTTTGTTTGGGTCGGCATTGAAGGAATTACTTTGTATTTTCATCCCCAAATCGCTTATCTTTGAAGGCCGAACCGAAACTACTATTATTATGTATAAAGGGTTGAAATTCTGTACTTGTTTTTAAAAAATCAATATCTCAATTAAGTGAAATGATATCTTATTCCTTTGGTGACAATGGCCACAGCAAATTCAAAACAAGAAATGTATACTGTAATGTGTGCAGTGGATCTGCTGGTGAGGCTGCGCTCGACTGGTGTGATATACAGAATGTTTCATACTCGTTGCCCAACTGGTTGTAAGTTACTACTTCATACAACGTAACCCATCCCACTCCACCAACCGTTCCGCGGGTCATTTACAACTACAGATTTCACTGGATTTGTCATATTATCGTACGTTGATACAGTTAATTGTTACGTTTTCTTGGGACGGACAACGGTTGCTTCGCCATTGTATCAGTTCTGTCTCCCCATTCATGAATACGTTGCCCTTACTCGAGGAATCTAGCCAGATATGTAAAACAACTCAACGGTTCTTTAAAGAAGAAAAAAAAAGTTATCGGTACGATCTCAATGCTATTTCACTGGGCCAATTTACACAAAATGATCTTAGTGCTATATGATCATAAGATATAAGAGAGCGAAGCCTCTTCGCTGGACTCTAAGGATGACTCGCCTCCGAATGAATGACCTTCTGTGATTACTTTGCCATGTCAATGTTGAACTAATTCAAAACACCTTCCGAGGCAAGAGAGTCAACTGACTATAAAAGTCCAGTTTCCACCCTTGCCGAACTGGGCTGGTATTATGGAGTTACATTTTGGCTGGACTAACGAAATCGAAATCCGGTAAGTAAACTGTCGTGCAGATTTCGGTCGATTGTCAACATATATTTTCCAAGGCTTTTCATGTTTTTAAGGAGTGTGCCCACGTGATTGGGTGCACTTCGCGATGTAAGACCCGTTTTATCACAATATAGATCTTGATTATCGATCAGATCGTCTTGACTGGGCGCCGCCATTTTGTTTGGTCCAGAGGAGAGGCTTAGAAGGGACATAACTCGTTATTATCACTGGTGGCGCTACGATCGAGCCCAGGAATTCCAGCCTAGTTCGGAAAGGTTGGAAACTTGACTTTTAAAGTCAGTTAAATCCATTGCCTAGGGAAGATGCCGGATGAGGAAAAAGACGAAACATCACTTCACTTACTGTGAGATTGAGCGTCTTCATCAGTGATTGGCTGTGGTTTTTCACATCCACCGTTAACAGTGTCCCTTGTGTCCATGATGTCGCCTTTCGAACTTGTCTCCTCACACTGTCTGTCTCTACTGAAATGATACGTAAACTAAAGAGCCTGTTCATTCAGCAAATACTATGGGGAAGTCTGAAATGGTTTCTATCATGAATTTAGAATGGGTCAATCAGCGGTTTCAAAGCACAGTGCCCTCCTTTGATTTGAAACATCTGATTTGTGGCGCCTCACAGCTGGGAGTTCGGTTTCAAGTTCAATTTATCGCAGTTAAATCTACATTGATAAGATATTATGTATACTCAACAACAAAAGTTCTTGGGACGCCAAAATTTTAGTGTATTTTTCAAACAAGTAAAGTTTGGTTTTCAATATTGCAGTAAATGTATGGAATCAAGTCACAAAAACGCAACTGCTACAGAAAAGCGTGCATTCCATGCAAAATGTGACTTTTATGCAAACCCCATGCATTTCACTACCCAAGAATAGGTATAAAAACATGTGCGTTAACGGGATTCCATATGCATTGTTTAGCATCGTGCTGACAACAACCAATCAGAAAAACAACAAAGTTACGTAATTATTCAACATTACGAAATGCCACGCCTGTCCGAAAACGAGCGTCTGCGAGCCATTGGTATGCTTGAAGCAGGATCGAGTCAACGTGATGTTGCAAGACAATTTAACGTCCACTGAAACACCATTTGGTGTTTATTGCAACGTTGGCAACAGACGATTGCAGTCAGAGGCCATCCTCGGAGCGCCAGGCCACGCGTAACCAATAATCGACAAGACAACTGGATTCGAACAACACACCTACGAAATCGATTCCAGCCAGCAACAGTGACTGCAAGAAGGATCCCTGGCCTTCGACGAATATCTTCACAAACGTACGTCGCCGCCTCAGATGTGCAGGGATTGTCGCCAGAAGACACGTCAGACGTCCCATTTTGACAGGAACACGTCTACAGTGGTGCAGACAGCGTCTACGCTGGACGGCCATGCAGTGGGGACAAGTTCTATTCACTGACGAGTCTCGTTTTCACCTCAGCCACAGCGATGGACGGATTCGAGTGTACCGACGTCGAGGTGAACGTTACGTCAATCATTGTGTCATGGAAGAAGATCGTTCGGGGGCTGCAGCGATATGGTATGGGGTGGGATTGCAGCAAGACAGAGGACCCGTTTGATAGTGGTAAAGGGAAATCTCAATGGACAGCGCCACCGCGACGAGATCATCGGCCCTGTTGTTCTACCGTTTTTGCGTTGTCATGGCCCAGGCATTACCTTTCAACATGACAACGCCCGGCCTCATATTGCTCGACCTGTTCAGGATTCTCTTCAACAAAACAACGTGAATGTCATCCCCTGGCCGGCTCGCTCCCCTGATCTCTCACTTATCGAGCACATGTGGGATGAGATGGCTCGGCGCCTCCGACGTCAACCACGTGTTCCACAGACACTCCAGGAACTTCGAAACATCCACCGGTAGATATGGACAGATATCCCACTGGACTTTGTGCGACGCCTGGTCCATTCCATGAGACGAAGATGTGTTGCTTGCATCGCAACCAGAGGTAGACACACACGCTATTGATTTGTAAATTGCCATTTTGGCATGTTCATGTCTTTTTTTTTATGAAATCACGCATTTTCTGAAGTCAGTACGGCATATAATTTAACCATTTGAACACTTACAGGAGTCTTTTATCTGTTGCAAACCGAAATTGTTTCAGATTTGGTAAAAAACATAACTTTGCATTAAATCTTATTCAATGTCACAAGAGTGAGTGAGTGAGTGAGTTGGGTTTAACGCCGCTTTTAACATTATTCCAGTTATATCACGGCGTGTCAGCTTAATGTGGGAGGAAAGCCCGAAGTGATGCAGGTCTCAGACGTTTACCACTTCGGTGAAACCCACGAGCACGGGTATGGTGCTGACAAACCTAGAAACATAATCGGGGCGAACCGGGATACGAACCCACAATCATAGGTTTGTGGCGTGCCCAAGGGACGCAACTCTGCACAGCGAATCGCGGCGCCTTAGACGACTGGGCCAACCGTGCCCTCCAATGTCGCGGGAACTTTTGTTGTTCAGTAAACATCTCCCAAATATAACAGTCACCAAACGTAGCCATTTATTTTGGCGGTTCAAGTTTTCACTAAATTTACCCAGCACGCCATCCCGATAATATTTATATCTAAAATATAGTAATGAAAGTCTCTATGATTACACTGACACATTTTGATAACGAATGTTCGATTTTGTTTTACTATTTAGCAAAATTGCCTCAAAATCAAATTAAGGTTCTATGGGTATTTAAGCAAGATGCAATCAAACACAACAATGTCGTCCTACGGGTTCGAATCTCGTTCGATGTGTTTGGAGATTGACTTTAGTACAAAAACATCTTTTCTGATTTCAAATTGATTGGGAGTTTTCATTTTGTAGCAGTATATTTGTGTTTAAAGTATGAAATAGGTTTGCAGTTATTTCGGTTATGTTATAAAAAAAGTTATTCAGAAACATACGTTTACATAACTTAATTGACCCGTGAAGACCCGGGGTAGGATAGATCTTCAGCAACCCATACTTGCCGTAAAAGGCGACTGTGCTTGCGGTAAGAGGCGACTAATGGGATCGGATGGTCAGGCTCGCTGACTTGGTCGATGCATGTCATCGTATCCAAATTGTTTGGATCGATGCTCATGATGTCAATCACTGGATTGTCTAGTCCAGACTTGATTATTTACAGAGCGCCGTCATACAGCTGGGATATTGCTTAGCGCGGCGTTAAACAACAAACAAACAAACATTACTTAATCAAATTGAAAATGTGTTAATGTATGCGACAACATACGTGGTAATGGAGAAAAATCAGACCAATAAAACAAATTACCTTTGAATAGGTGTTTTGTTTCTGCCACGGATGTAACCGGCGTTGCAAGACTCACTTGTCAACTAGATATAGTATTTTTCCTCGGGGTTTTCCGAGATCGGGAATCTTGCGTATGGTTCAAGAGTGAGCAGTGATTGTACAGTGAACGTTTCTATCAGAAGTCTTCATAGGGGAAACCCAAATGATAAAACCGTGTGATGTATGAATCTTGATGATATGGTTCATTAATGACTGGACTCCTTTGCTGACTCATTAACACATATATGCCTGCCCAGGTGCTACATTAGTCACTGTAGCATTTTTAAAACTGAAGTCAGCCAGTTAAGTGTGTTGCAATCTGATTTTGTATTCGAAACGTTTAAAAAGGCGCGTCCAATCAATTTGAAAGTACGTGTCTCCTTAGTTAAGTACAGTAAAGATAAGATGAGATAGGGTAGGTGTTGTTGTGAAGATACAACAATATGATATGAAAAAAGGTAAGTACAGTTAAGTACAGATACGATACGATACAAAAGGAAGATATTAGATAAGGTTACAAGATACAAGAAGATGCTATGAGATAAGTTAATTGCAGTTATGTACTGACAAGATACAATAACATAAGAGATAAGGTATGCAGTTAAGTAGAGATAAAATACAATTAGAAGATATGAGATAAAGTACAGTGTATGTGCAATAAGTAGCGATAAGATACAATAATATGATATGAGTGAGTGAGTGAGTTGGGTTTAGTACCGCTTTTAAGAGTATTCCAGTTATATCACGGCGTGTAAGCTTAATGTGGGAGGAAAGCCCGAAGTGATCCAGGTCTCAAACGTTTACCACTTCGGTGAAACCAACGAGCACGGGTATGGTGCTGACAAACTTAGAAACATAATCCGGGCGAACCGGGATCCGAACCCACAATCATAGGTTTCTGGCGTGCCCAAAGACGCAAAGGACGCCTTAGACGACTGGGCCACCCGTGCCCCCAAAATGATATATGGTAAGATGATATTCAATAAGAAGATATGAGGTAGGGTAAGTGCAGTTAAGTTAAGACAAGATACTGGTAGTTGATATGAGATCAGGCAAGTGCAGGTAAGTACATATAGGATACAAAAAGAATCTATGTGAAAAGATGAGTGCAGTTAGGTACATGTACGATACAATAAGCTGATATTAGATGAGGTAAGAGCAGGTAAAACATAAGGTGAGGTGAATTGAGGTGAAATTGGTTATTTTGTCGCGATCAAGATTATTGCGTGCGTGTGTGTGTGGCTGCTTGTACTGGTCAGGACTAATGCCGATTTTAAAGTGCTAGCACACTGAGATACCATGCCGCAGTTTAACATGAATACCCGACTCAGACACAGTATACTGACTCCGAGTCGACCAGTCCTTGTTTTAGCCCCTTAATGCTGATCGCCAGGCAGGGTAACAACATGAACCATCTTTTAACGTCTTTTTGTTTATTTGTTGTTTAAGGCCACAATCAGCAATATTCCAGCTATATGACGCCGGCCTGTAAATAATCGAGTCTGCACCAGACAATCCAGTGATTGACATCATGAGCATTTATCCACGCAATTTGGATACGATGACATGCATCAACCAAGTCAACGAGTCTGACCACCCGATCCCATTAGTCGCCTCGTACAACATGCATAGTCGCCTTTTACGGCAAGCATGGGTTACTGAAGACCTATTCTACCCCGCGACGTAAAACCTTCCTCAGTCATTCTACTGCGGGCGATATGATTCTACTGTGGTAGATATGATTCTTAGAGCCGAACATTAAAGTGGAAAGGCTTTCAGTGACTTTTATTGAGGTAAAGGTCAATCAGAGGTATCAAATCACATTATCTACCTCTGATTAAAACAGCCGATGTGACAGTTGCATCACCGCGGCAGCTTACATTTGACTTTATTTTCTCCGTCAATGTCGTTAGGCATTTATTAACTTAATATACGTATAATTACAGGTCATAAAATGCAAATGTGCTGTTACTACAAAACATGTGTGGCGCGCTGAATTTAATATTTGGAATTTCACGCGTTCGGGACATGATTCAATTGAGCGCGGTTAAATCAACACGTGACCTAGCTCCACATTATGCTTTGGCAGGCCCTGTGTTAGTCACCAGTGAGCAGTTCACAGCCAGTTACTGCCGCTTTCAACCAGTCCTGATAATGTATGTTTATGTGTTGATACACACGACTACTAGGTCAGTAGTTAGGACGGGTGGCCAGTCGTCTAAGGCGCCGCGATTCGCTGCGCTGGGTTGCGTCCCTTGGGCACGCCAGAAACCTATGGTTGTGGGTTCGAATCCCGGTTCGCCCCGATTATGTTTCTAGGTTTATCAGCACCATACCCGTGCTCGTGGGTTTCACCGAAGTGGTAAACGTTTGAGACCTGGATCACTTCGGGCTTTCCTCCCACATTAAGCTGACACACCGTGATATAACTGGAATACTGTTAAAAAGCGGAGTTAAACCAAACTCACTCACTCACTCACTCATTAGTTAGGTCATTTCTATGTTTTGTGTGCTTCTGAGGCTGTATAATGTGTTTATTTGAAATAACGATGTGGATGACAGTAGGTCATTGTGCCAACAGACCGGAAGTGCATACAGTTTATACAAACTGATAATCCTAAACGTTTGGTTTGTTGTGTAACACGTTATTGATAAATAAATAGATTCATTTATTTGTCCTATTTTCGAAAAGTTAAAAACATTAAAAAAAAAATGTTCAAGGAGACCCGTGAAGATCCGGGATAGAACAGATCTTCAGCAACCCATGCTTGCTGTTAAAGGCGACTATGCTTGTCGTAAGAGGCGAATAACGGGATCGGGTGGTCAGGCTCGCTGACTTGGTTGAACCATGTCATCGATCCCAAATGCGTGGACCGATGCACATGATATCAATCACTGGATTGTCTGATCAAGACTCGATTATTTACAAACCGCCTTCATACAGCTGGAATATTGCTGTGTGCGGCCTTAAAAAAAACCTAACTACGTAACCAACCAATATGTTCAAGGCTACCCTTCCTAGAAACCCAAACGGGTTGACTTTTTTCTGTAAGGTATTGTCATTCGTGTCAACTATTGACTTTGCTAACGACATTACAAAATGCTGTGATAATATATACATTGTACAAAACAGGATATTATTTTGTGTACTCGTGAAGAGTTGACTTGCTTGTGCATGTGTTTGTGACGTGAGGTACTGGTGGGGCATGTTACCCTCACCTTTTCGCGAACACCTGGTATCATTACTAATGGATTGTGATTCATAAACACATGATCAACATGGAGTCGGAAATCATACAAATGACTCCGCTTTTAGCCGAAATTTCTTATGAATATAGAAAGGGTTTTGTCACTTTTATTCATATGTATTTTTATTTGGCAGTGTATTGTGTTGTTTGACAGTGATTTTAACTGTGTTAGGGGGGCGGTCGGGTAGCCTAGTGGGTAAAGCGTTCGCTCGTCACGCCGAAGACCCGGGTTCGATTCCCGACATGGGTACAATGTGTGAAGCCCATTTCTGGTGCCCCCCGCCGTGATAATGCTGGAATATTGCTAAAGCGGCGTAAAACCATACTCACTCACACTCACTCTGTATTAGGAGTAGGAGCTTTTCATAAAAAGGTCTGAGTACTGGGGTAAATATTTCAGTTTTATATTGCTCTATTCCCGGCATATCATTAAGACGTGATGTTCGTCTTCTGTAACATGGCTGCAGTTTTAACATTTTTTAATTTTCTGTTTCAGGAGTTCCGGGAAATCTGAAAGCTCTCATATGCGAATCATGACAATTACATCAGGACGTTGTTGGTGTTCGAGGTGAGTGTAAACTGTCGTGGTTAGAAGGTTGAAATCTGAAAAGTAAGTTAACGATTTCGACTCTCTGATATCGTTGTACCACTCTTGTTGGTACATGCCTTTACATCTTGTTTAAACAAACACATGGATAGATCTTATTTCCGACTTCATGGAAAATCCAAACATGTCCAAACCCAGGCTGGAATAAGGTAGTTCGCACAAATGAAACCTAATTAACATCATCTAATTTCTTCAACGGATCGTAACATCGTTTAGAATATCTTGTAGAAGGCTCTCTTGTGACTCTTTTCCAGAAGGTTATAACTCTAGGCAGAACATTAATTCATTGAGGGAATCGACCACATTCTGCTAATACAACTTTTCGAAGACTTAAAACTAACATTTAGTATACACTTGCAGAATTTAGTATGAACGCTATGTACAGAATCGTGAAAATTCATACTACAGAGTTCCGAGCAGGATTGGCTGGATTTCCCATCAGCCATTATTACTGATGGCGGTGATATTTGACCACGCTTGACATACATCATCAGTAGGTTGATGTTTCCATGTAGCGTGTTTGTTTGTTTGTTGAAGAAGAAATTGTCCCGCAAAATGATGGCGGTCTGTGAATAATCGAGTCTGGACCAGACAATCCAGTGAGTGACATCAAAAACATCGAACTACACAATTGGGATACGATGACATGCATCAACCAAGCGGGCCTGACCACCCGATTCCGTTAGTCGCCTCTTACGACAAGCGTAGCTGCCTTTTACAGCAAGCATGGGTTGCTGAAGACCTATTCTACCCCGGATCTTCACGGATGGTCTCTATATCGAAACATGTTTGTCAATATGTTAAACTCACTCCCAATCGTGACGGTATTACGCACTACTGCTCCAGAAAACGTCAACTTCTAAATTTCCCATCTTAACCCCCATCGTCTTTCAAGATCACTGGCGGTCATAACATCGTCTGTCATACGTCACTACAGGTTGTAATGGTTCCCAATTCATGGTTATCATACAACCAGAAACTAATATCTGTTAGGGTTTTTGAAATTTTATGTTATTTCCGAGTATCCCTACCTTTTTTTAAGAATATATTTTTAAGAAGTTAGGAGGACAAAGTTTTTGTAGATATTGGAATAATATGATGTAAGTTATGTGTGAATTCATGTACCATTCTATTATGTGTATCCTGAATCAATCACATTAGTGTCAAAAGGGACAGACAATTCAATAATATAAATGATTTCATTAGATTTATCAAAAAGGACAAGATCAGGTTTGTTGGCCTGGATAGGACTGAGGCTGTATAGGGACCTTTCCCCCAAAACTTTGTATTTATCATTTTCCATGACGTCCTCTACATATTCGGGGTCCTCCCATGAATGGGCCTCTGTGTCAAAAAACACAAGCATTGCGAAGACGAAAATAAAATGACCGAGCCACTCCATCATGTGGCTTCAGATACTGTGTTTTTGTCAAAGCTAGGCATCCATTGATAATGTGTTGGACAGTCTCATTACATTTACTACATAATCTACATTTCATATTTACATTTTGATGCAAAATCACTCATTGACGGTTTCGAGTGGGAAGTGACTGGTCCTGAGCAGCAAACAGAAAGCCTTCTGTTTCACTTTTCAGGCCAGTCGACCTCATCCAAGCGAAGGACTCTCACCACACTGCACACAAACTCGATGTAGTTGTCGTTCAGATAGCCTCTCTTGAGCCGATTTGATATGGCACTTCGCTTGGTTGACACTCATTTCTGTACCGTCCAGCAGTACAGATACTGTTTGTCAACAAAATCAACACTGACATTGTGATTATGTCCCACATCCTTGGCTCGCATAAAAAAACTGTGAAATGCTTTGTTTTCATCATGAATCCTGACATGCTTCACAAGAGGATCATCAGACAAATAAATGTGAGCAAATGTGCACAATACAATTCTGTCATAGGGGGCCTCCACCTTAATCAAACCACGCCCTCCCAATATAATTGGTAAATATAAGCGATTGAGGGAAGAGCGAGGGTGGTGAGATCTATTATCGGACATGATTCTTCGTGTGAAGGTGTCAGTACTCTCAATTTCTTGTTTCGTCAAATCAACAACACTAAAACAATACTAAGGGACAGGTACAGCATGAGTATTTGTGGCTTCACCTTTATTGCGAGCGTTCAGCTCTGAACTCCAGAGGGCGGTCGGGTAGCCTAGTGGTTAAAAAGTTCGCTCGTCACTCCGAAGACCCGGGTTCGATTCCCGGCATGGGAACAATGTGTGAAGCCCAGTTCTGGTGTCCCTGCCATGATATTGCTGGAATATTGCTCAAAGCGGCGTAAAACCATGCTCACTCACTCTGAACTCAAGACTTCTTAGAGTCCACATTTCTGCCGAAAGGTTCGTCTTTTGAAATAGCATTCTGGAGTTTGGGGGTTTAATATAAGACCCAGATTCGCCATGATGATGATGATCAGCACCATCTTCCTGCTCGCTGTTGTCATCAAACATGTTTACTCCAGGCTTTCCTCCCACATCAGGATGACACGCCGTTTAAACTGCAATACTGCTCAAAGAAGTGTTGAACCCATCTCCGACACATTTTTCTCAATATATGGGAGATAACCTCGATTATTTACACCGTGATATAGCCGTGGTATCGTTAACTGTACGAGGTTCACTCACTCATTTTGCAAATGTCATCTCTTGAATCTTAAATCTCTTTGTCTGGTGGCTTTTGGGAAATATCTCTGTAAACATGTGTTACAATTTGACTTTTCTCTTCAATTTGATGAATTTCAATTCTCAACGTGTATGTCATCATCGTGGACACTTTGAACACAGCACTGACCTGAATAGCAGATAGCTGTAAGTATGGTTCTCTCCAATGGCGGCGCCCATCTACCAATAATGGACTGTATAGTCGGGTTAAAGACTCCCTGGGGAGAGTGCAACAAAAAAAGGGAATAGTTTATTCGTTTTCAAATTGTGGAAACGTCTAAATCTTGATGATATTTATTTATTTAGTGGTCTAATAAACGCCAAAGAAGCATAACACGCCATTTTACTGAATTTCTCGCATTCTCGCACTTTTTGAATATTTTCAAAGGTCGAGATTGCCAGATCTTACATTAGTATAAACTTGTTGGACCTTCGGAATGAATTGCCTTTGTTTGAACGAAATGTATGGTGGCGTATCTGTCTTACCTATTTAAAGAATATATACATTGTATTATTGTAGTATTGTCCATGATTCTAACTGGATATTTCGGTCGTGGATTCAATGTCCACTTGTCTGTGTTTAATGTTTGTGTTTCAGGAGATTATATTCACATGCATGTTTTTGCTTTTATTTGACTTAACGGGGTTTTAAGATACATATTTCTCTTTTGTATTTTCGTGTTGTTGTTTTTTAAAAACGTGCAAAATTCCTGACGAAAACGTGTAATACATGATGTATTTCGAAAACACACACATTGACATCGCGAAAAAAATTAAGTGTTCATCATCATCATCATCATCATCATCATCATCATCATCATCATCATTATCATCATCATTATCATCATCATCATCATCATCATCACAAGGTTAACCACTTTTTAAGTCTGTTTATAAAAAAACACACATTGCCTCATGAGATATGCGTCGCTATATGTCTGAAATAATGCCAATGTGACGTTAAACTTTAACTCACTCACTCATAAGACCTAATCCAGTCAAAACTACGTCTTTCCACCTACCATGGCCAGCCCAGGAATCACCCTCAGTGCATACACCAGATAGATGGACGTCCGGGCGCTGATTGGTAGAAGCAATGAGGCGGTCGAGCCAATCAGCATCCCAATAAACATGACGTACTTCCCGCCATATTTCGCGGCCAGTATTCCAGATGGAATCTGTGTTACGATGTACCCATAGTAATACGCGCTGAGAATTCCAGACTGTTCTCCCTTTGACAAGTAGAACTCCGCATTCTAGAAATACAGTTTGTGTCTCAACATTTGTGGTCAATCACCGTTGATAAACTGCCGGGAAAACGAAAGTACACACCTTTGTCTGATTGGGACAGAAAATGAAACAAGGCAGAGATGGTTATTCGATGGTGATGTATTTGATACGGGTACCATGGCTACGGTAAGTTTGCAGAGTTTCGGAAACTGTTTTCAGCCTAGTAACGTTTTGATAACGTTTGTAACTTTCTGGTCAAATCTGATTTTAAAGTGTAACCTTTCTCTAAGCCGGCAGTTTACCTCCCGTTTTTATACGCATGTTCTTTCATCGCCGGTGAATACAGGCGACAATCTTGCGATGTGTAGGTGCCTATGTTTCGTCAGACAATTAAATTAAACCGTGTATAACTCATGGATTTTGTGGGAACACTGTCTGATGTTGAAGCAGTGCGTAGCAGTGTGCCACATGTTGAACCTGAAGATTGCCGTTTGTGCTTTGTGTAATCTGAACGCTTATTGGTCAACCTCAGCTGGTTAACCTCAAGATGGAAGAAGGCCGCGGCTTGATTCAGTGGTTACAAATAGCGACTGCACCACAAAGTATGTAGTCACGGGTCATGAAATAACGTCACGTGTACAAACCTCACAGGTTTGTACACATGACGTTATTTCAGGACTGACGATGGAGAAACATGAAATCGTTAGAAGCTATGTATTTATCAATCCCAACTGCTTTACTACTTTTTGACCTTTCATTTATAAATAAACAGTTACATGTCTTCTACACACTTCTAATTGGGCGTCCGATGGGATTCTGGGTCAGAATTGTTCCCAAGGAACGAATGTGTATCGCGCGAGGCGATTTCATGGACTGTGTGCTCAGGTATGAATGATTACGTTTCATTGTGCCCCGAAATGTGCTCTTCATATCAATCACTGGTCTGTCCGGTTCAGACTAATATATTTACGGGCATCAGTAGCAGTCCTCTAGCAGGAATATTATGTGCGGCGTTTTACAATAACCAACCAAAGAAACAAATCTGTTCAGATTAAACAACAATCTTAATTTATATACTTTTTTTAACGACATGGTTTGACGAGATGATTGATATCATGCGACACACTAAATGTCTTTCAACATGTATGATGTTTGCAATATAGACGGTGAGACAGTCCTTGAACTGTATGCTATAAGTCCAAATGAAGCAAGTCTAGATTTTCCACAGGTTCACACTGCACTCGGGTCACTTTCAAATGTATGTGTAGTTGCTTGTTTCTATTAAAACTATATATTTTCAGGGATAAGGTGTTAATCTAAAAGTAAGAATGTGCCTCTGATTGTGTTGTCTTTGTACCGTTGATGTAGTTGCTGGTGGTGTCGTTGACCATGCACACGATGGCCACGCTGAGATTTGACCTATTGGCCTCAACCATAACTCCCCCAAGAAAACACATTAATGCCACGATCAGTCTTTGAGAACAGCATATCGAATCTGAAAATAGAGACGTTGTATTCCATACATAACAGACAAAACATTAAAAACATTGAAAGCGATGCAGGTCTTGACTCATTTACCACTTTGGTGAAGCCCACGAGCACGGTTATAGTGCTGACAAACCTAGAAACATAATCGGGGCGAACCGGGATTCAAACCCACGATCCATGTTTCTGACGTTCCCAAGGGACACGCCTCTGCACATCCAATTTCGGCGCCTTAGGCGACTGGTCCACCGGTGCCCCCTTGTAACCAATGACGACATCCATGTATCCACAGCAACATCCACCGGAACGTTAGAATTGGTCTTGAGCACAAGGACTGGTCGGCTCTGAGTCAGTATACCATTTCTATGAGGGGTATTAATGATAAACTGGGACATGGTATCTCAGTGGACTAACGCTATAAGATCTGTACAAGTCCGGACTAATTCAAGGAGCCACACACACACGGTTGATGCATGTCACAATATCCCAATAGCGTAGATCGATGCTCATGATGTCAAACAGTTGATTGTCTGATCCATTATTACAGACCGTCGTTATTTGCAGAGTGCAGCGTTAAACAACAAACAAACAAACAAACAAACAAATGTTGGTAAATTAACAGCAATTCTAAAACTATTTTCTGTAACAAAGTACGAACATTGTCTCCAGGAATATCAAATGGCCAATCCCTTATAGCGCACACTTACGGTTCGAGTGTTCTGTATCATCGGGCAGTGGATGGTTGTTCTGTGATGCAGTGGATAAGCTGACCTTCACATCCATGGCGTCTCCTGTTGAAGTTCACAGCACTTTGTTTATTAATACACTAAGCACGTACAATGGTGCTCACAAGTGCTTACCCCCTGAGCTCTGCTCTGCGAAACGTTTGTGTAACCACAATGATACGATACGTGTCATTTTCGAATTGCATGACATAGCATAAAGAATACATAAAACAAACATACCTGAATGATAATTCTGTCCGCGCCCGAAAGCCTCACATCAACACTATATTCGAAATGAGCTCGGAATGATTTCAATCAACCATTATTGTATTGTATGTATCCTTAACGTCTTGTGATCAGAGGTCGTCCGTTTATAAGCCTATATTCCAACCTCGAGTTGCATTGCGAATACGTGGTGTTCTGATGTATGTCTGCGTCATTGTTACTGACCTCGATACTGACATTATGCCAGAGCATGCTCTGCGTGAGTCGCTGCGCCCTTGAGAGATCTATTTACAGGCAGGTTCATCCTGTTTCAGCAACAGTTCGTTTGGCTCTAAATGAGAACGATGAATTGCAAAATAACTCAAAATCGGAAATGGGTATTTATTACCAATAAAGTTCTGCGCCTGAATACCCTGTACCCAACAATATTTGTCGAATGTATATTCCCATCCCTGGAGGATGCACGGGTGGCCCAGTCGTCTAAAGCGCCGCGATTCGCTGCGTCCCTTGAGCACGCCAGAAACCTATGATTGTGGGTTCCAATTCCGGTTCGCCCCAATTATGTTTCAAGATTTGTCAGCACCATACCCGTGCTCGTGGGTTTCACCGAAGTGGTAAATGTCTGAGACCTGCATCACTTCGGGCTTTCCTCCCACATTAAGCTGACATGCCGTGATGTAATTGGAATACTGTTAAAAGCGGCGATAAACCCAACTCACTACCATCATACCAGTTTTAGAAACTACAATGTAGTTAGTGTACAAGTTATATGGCAGTGTATTTTAGCAAAGATTATAGCTGTGTCACATTGTTTCTGTTGGGATTCGGTAGACGCTCATTCCATTGTGTTTGGACAGGGATCAGTCGTCAGGAAGTTACTATATTTAAATACCAGTGTGGCGTGTAAGCTTCCGGTTGGCTGAGGACTCATGCAGACATTTCTGTCTCTTCTGGTAACGTGAGACTGGTGAGGGTACTGTATGGAATCTTCCAGTATCTCTCACGCATGTTCATCGCTTAAGTATCAACTTTCATGTGAGGATCGCTGATCATCCCTGATTCCGTGCCTTGCCCATCTCGGACGCTTGACCACTGTCGCCGCTGGGTGAAAATATACTATTATCCCTGCCTTTTGCTATCACCACTGTAGTTTTATATTTGATACTGACCACAGCCATCATATTAAATATTGGCGTTGAATGTTGTACAACAGCTCTGTCGTGCACTGCCATTTTAATTGCTATGCAGTAGTTCGTGTTGATTTGTTAACCTAGTTTATTTTGTTGCTTGTATACGACTTGTACGTACAGATTTCTGGGTTGACATATTGTTTCAGTGTTCAAAACGACACGTAACAATACTGACCCCTAAACTAAACACACAACGGTAACTTAGAAAAGGATATAACTATGGAAATTTTTTTAGAAGCTGTAAGATCAATGAAAAACAATATAAGCCCAGGTTTTGATACTCAATATAATTCAATTTTTTCTAGGAGGTGAGTGAGTGAATATTTATAGTCACATCGGCAATATTCAGCCATAGCTTGACTTTTCTGGAAGGACTGAGGCAAAGGGGGTTCATAGATATATTAAATATTTAAAAACAAAAACAAAAATAACTTCAAAATTGGATAGGGGTATTATTACATGCATTCCATAACCAAAAAAAGACAGAACATTACTGCTGCCCAATAACCTCACTCAATTCATTATACAAGATATTGAATACATATATTGCAAATAAATTGAAAACAACATAAGACATTGTTATACATGAAAACTAAACCGGGTTATTCCCAGGAAGATGTATTTGTCAAAATATAAGATTGCTGTATGATATATTGTATGAAACTAGAAAAGAAAACAAACTTGGACTTCTTTCATTAATCGACTTCGAAAACGCATTTGACACTGTTTCCAAATCATTTATATTGCAAGTATTAGAAAAAATTGGCTTTGGGCACAATATGATCCAGTGGATAAATACTTTAATAAACAACACAACATCATGAAAACTAAACCGAGTTTTTCCCAGGAAGATGTATTTGTCGTAATATAAGATTGCTGTATGATATACTGTATGAAAGTATTGGCTTTGGGAACAATATGATCAAATGGATAAATATTTGAATAACAACATCTTGTATTATACAAAATGGATTTCGCTCAGCATTTTGAACATAAGAACGGGGATGCAGGCAGGAGGGAGACTTACTATCACGCAAAGAAATGAATAGACAACATAAAAATAATTTTATGAAACTTGGATAAAAGAAATACTGTCACTGTCACAAAAAAACGTATGTTTCTCTTCTCCAGTACATATTTTTTTCTGCACTCCCAAACCCTCATTTAAGTTTCTTAGACCAAATCAATTTAATTGTTTTCACGTTTCTATGGATGACAAAAAAGATAAAGTTAAAAGAATTAACACTGTTAGAAAATATGATGTGTGGGGACTTAGAATGATGGAACTGGAATCTTTAATTGATGCATTTAAGCTCTCCAGTCTTAAAAGACATTTGCAGAGTCACAGACAAATTCACAAAAAACTTGCCATTTCAATACATCTTTTTGCTTGGGGCTGACAAAGCAAACGAAAGATGTTATTTCTGCATGGGGAAAATACTTTAAGAAACACAATCTTGGGGATAGTACAACTATAGAACAAATAATGGTTGTACCATTTTGGTTGAATCATCAATATGAAAAATAATACCTTATAAATGTTTGTGTAATTTAATTATTATATTGTCATAATAATGGTTTTCTTTCGTTTGAAGAACTTAAAAGAAGATTTAACATTAAAGGATCAATACTAGATTATCAAATCTTTTAAATAACATACTGAGACAATATTTTATACAACACAGGTATCAACATGGTTTATTTGAATCTACTTTCTTGTACAAAAGCATGTAGGATTTTTAGGATAAATTAATTAGTTCAAACAAATATGATAAAAATCTTGAGAAATGGGAACATATATTACCTTAAATAATACAATGTAACAAAGTATTTACCCAATTAAGAAAATCAAGTAAAGATGTGAACTTGTTACAGTTACAGTGTGAGTTCACATGCAAAGTTATTAACACATACTGATATTTGCTTACGATGAAATTGATTGCTAATGATACATGCTCCTCATGCAACTATATAAAGTGTGATTGTGAATGTGTTAGTGCCTTTAGGGGCAAGGTCAGTCATTTTTTTTTTAAATCCTTAAACTTGATATCACTTTCACAAGACATACTATTGTCTTTGGATTTGATACGGATAACACCGTTCTGAAACACATTCGTCTAGCAGGTAAAGTATTGATGTATGTCTCACGCATCAAGCAGTTATCCTTTCAGACCTGTCGTTTGTCGCGGACATTTGTAAAACAGAAATATATAACAACAACACTCACAAAAATGGAATTATTTGGTGAACATACCATCTGTTAGATCAAGATATAAATCCTACTCACAATATATTAATTCTTTTAATACAACTTATTTTGCTACCACAGCAAACAATCTTATCTAAATTTGATTATTTGTATGTTTTCAAGTCAAGTGCCTGACACCACTGATCGATTGAAGCACTAATAAAATAAAATAATATAATTAGAATTCTGAATGTTATCCATTATACAAATTAAGACAACTAAGACAAAATTGTTATGGATGAGCAACTTCTTTATTACAATTGGGCATTATACAAATATTTATACCCACATATCCCCTGTATGCCCTCAACCATGTACAATTCAATTAAAATCACATGCTGTTATGCCAAACCGTCTTTAATATATTCTCTGTATAGTATTGAAATGGAATAAAAAATGTTTGAAAAACCTAAACAACTTCAGGTTACATCTCGAAACATTCCCGACGAGCTGAGGTTGATGTATGCTGTAGAAAGGGTCTAACAGTGGACGAAGACTGTCCTGGAATGTCCAAACCCGAGCTGAGTGAAGATTGATTTAGGTAGTAGAAAGGGTCTAACTGTGGACGAAGAATGTCCTGGAATGTCCAAACCACAGCTGAGTGAAGATTGATTTAGGTAGTAGAAAGGATCTAACTGTGGACGAAAAATGTCCTGTAATACCCAAACCACAGCTGAGTGAAGATTGATTTAGGTAGTAAAAAGGGTCTTACTGTGGACGAAGAATTTCCTGGAATGTCCAAACCACAGCTGAGTGAAGATTGATGTAGGTAGTAGAAAGGGTCTAAATGTGGACGAAGAATGTCCTGGAATGTCCAAACCACAGCTGACTGAAGATTGATGTAGGTAGTAGAAAGGGTCTAACTGTGGACGGAGAATGTCCTGTAATCCCCTGTAATGTCCAAACCACAGCTGAGTGAAGATTGACTAAGTTAGTAGAAAGGGTCTAACTGTGGACGAAGAATGTCCTGGAATGTCCAATCCACTGCTGATTGGACAATCATTTATAGATGGGTTGACATGAATGTAGTGTTCTTCTCAAGCCTCCCGTTGACAACAGCATCATTGGTCAACCCCCCAGGTACATCCTGCCCCTCCCCCACGTCCACCGTCGCCTGTTCCACGGCCCAGGGCTGCAGCTCCCCCCGGGCCTGGGTGCCAAACACCAAAGTTCCAAGGATGCAGACTCCCCCACAGACGTAGAACACGTTCCGCCATTCTTCCTGAGTTTTCTGTAAGAAGAGAAAGTCGATGGATCTGCTTTTACGTCATGTTCTTGAGTCGCACCATGTCCGTGCTCACGGTTAATGTTTAAAATCTGCAATATTCTTCCCAAGTCAAGCTGACATTCCATGATCTTACTGAAATACTGTAGCGTCGAGGTGTTGAACGTTGAACTTGTAAAATTCAACAGGCCCGTATAGGGAGATTACACGTTACAAGGGGCGGTGGGGTAGCCTTGTGGTTAAATCGTTCGCTTGTCACGCCGAAAGCCCGGGTTCGATTCCCCACATGTGTACAGCCCATGTGTGAAGCCCATGTCTGGTGTCCCCCATCCGTGATACTACTCAAATATTGCCCAAAAGGGGTAAAACCACACTTACTCACAAAACTAAACTGTTACAAAAACTTATTTTCCGTGAAATATTTGTGTTCCACTTGAGCATTATTCTGGCCGAAATGATCTTTCAGTATGGTACTTCGAATGTCGAACAGGGCCAATTTTGACGTGACAAGCAAAAACGTCATGATATCCGTAATGGTCGGCCATCCGGTTTGCATACTGTTTAATTACAAGACCGCGACTGGCCTGGCCTGGCCAGTCAGGTAGATAGATTATTTAACTTTAAAACAATAATACATTTCCCACAGTGAGCTCTTTGTAACGTACATGATATGTAAATAGCCTAAATAGCGTCCACTAGGATAAACCTTTAGCGTTACGCTCACTGCAAGCTAACAGTAAAATAATGTGCAAATCTGCGTTAAATCCAACTCACTCACACACTTACATTCGGTGTTAGGATGCCGGCAAGGAGAGGTGCTAACATCCCTGGTGTTGTTGCAACAGTGTTAGAAATACCGAACAATATTCCAGCGTATCTGAAACGAAAAATCCATGTTCATAATTTGAATCCTTTCATTTCTTTGACGAAGAATTATTATTTTACGGGTCGATATAGAAAAGCTCGCTTATTTATAAATAGTCTTGCGTTATCTGTAACATGAAAATGTCTCAAAAGCTGCCTGTTATTAAATAATAGTTAAGTGAATAAATTGAGTATGCATTTCAAAGCCGATTTGTAAAAAGCTGAAGTCAGCAAAGAGTACCACCTTTAAGATCATTCTTATAAGATCAGTATTATTGTGTTGAAACACCCTCCACAATTGAGACAGTCTCCAAGCTCTTTACCGTTTGAAGCTCGCCTAAAACCACTTCCTGATCTCCTTTTAACGTTCTTCAATGCGATGGCGCATGCGCACTTCCAGCATGCATTGCGCATGGAGAGTTTCGCGATAGAAGTTTTGGGTTTGGGTGATCCTGGCTCAGATTGGTTAGGCTCATTATCAGCTCAGGGCCCTTGCCTCCTCTACACGCAGCCCAGACAGCGAATGGGACTTCTTCAAGGAAGCGCTGCCTAGTCAAGCCCACCCAGAACTTTTCGGAGAATGTGAAGACTCCTAAAGACTGCAGAAGGGCTGTATTCCTGGTAGCAAACCCGGATACTCTCCCAATGTCATTCAACAGATTGGGAGGTTCCAAACCCAAGGCACCGAGACAATGGGGAGTCGGACAACTTAGTACTTTGAAAGCGTTCGAAGTCCGCATATTTGCCATGTTTTCCTGAATCTTATCAATCACATTTGTGTCAAAAGGGACACAAAATTCTTCTTCTTCTTCTTCTTCTTATTATTATTATCATTATTATTATTAAGATGTGTATGTAAAACAAGCATTAGTTATGACAATTTCCGGGGGCTTTTCCCACAGAATTCACCTGCCTTGGAGCAAAGTCGGCGGTGTTGACCAGCACTCCGGCTGTCGCCAATCCCATGAATGCCATTGCAGCTGCTAACAGAAATACTGCAACATATCGCCTCTCAGCGTCCATAAAGCCTGTGCCAACCAGACACGCACCTGCCCCAAGGAATGCTGCAATTAAAATAGTAACTTTCTAAAGTGAACAGGACTATTACTTTCTTGGATGATGACTTCCCGGCTGTTCGGGATTTAGGATCTAAATGTGAAGGTTCTCCACTGATGGGTCGAGGTGTGTACATGTTCAACTTGTAAAATCCCATATACCCCAAAATGTAACAACTTTATCATTACAGATTCACTTACAGTAAGACTTATTTTCGGTAAAAAATACATCTATACTGTGACCGCCTGTCAGTACGGTGACTGAAAGCAGGATCATTTATGACGTGACGTGCAAGTGACGTCACATCAAACATTGTGACGTAATGACATTGTGGAGTCCCGACGAGCCCACTTGTATCGGTTTTGCAAGGCGGCGACAAGCCAATTTTATCGTATGATGTTTGCTCATGGAAGTGTTCCAACGTCTTCTCCTATCGACACAGTAATTCTCTCTTAACATGATTAAACAATGCTTAACATTAATTTTGAAGTGAAACCCACTGTCGTGGCATATGTCCAATTGGAATATCAGGTCTCTGAGCCGTTTCCTCTTTGAAGAGAAGCTTCTGAAAGATGATCGTGTGAAGCCCATTTCTGGTGTCCCCCGCTGTGATATTGCTGGAATATTGCTAATAGCCTAATCACTCACTCACTCACTCACTCTGAAAGATTTTTAATGATTGAATTTTTACGCCCGCCCTCCCAATAAAAAGTATACAGTTTGTTTCAGTTTCATTTTTTTACCCCTATAATTTCCAAACAGACCACACACTAAACATAATACTGACCGGTAGAGTGATGGGGTAGACTAGCGGTAAAAGCGTAAAGCCCGGGTTCGATTCCCAAATGGAAACCCATGATCTGTTATCGCAGCTAGATATTGCTTGAATTGGGCAAAAAAGAAAGGAATTAAAACCATACTCACTTACCAATACTCTGAAATATCCGCCGAGTGGCCGTTGTGCTGAGGTATTTCCTTGACCGGAGATAGTCTGATACCTGACCGGCCAGCAGCCCAAAAACAGTCTGGCTGGTAGAGGGGACGGCGGACAACAACCCGTTCTAGGTGGAGAGAATGGTATACGCATCTCTCTCTTATTAATACATCAGCCTGTTATAACCACAATAACACAATAAAAACGTTGCACGCAAATTCGGATGAAGTTTTCACAGAAAGCTACAAATCTACCATAATGGTTCCAGTCAATGTTCATCAAATGGCATTATTTTCTGTGTTCATGCCATGTGATTTCCGAAAAATAAAGACTACTTATAGAATGGAAATGTTGTTTGTGAAAAACAAGTTTAGCCATTTAAAGGTATATTCTATAAAACCAAATGTCTTCAAATATAGTTTGCATGTTGTTTGTCAGTCAATCCCCATCTCTCTGCTGCTCATTAGAGGCGTCTAAACTTATTCGGATGCCATTTAGAAAGTGGCCAAATGTAACAAACCCAGTGTGGTTTCGAAATCCGGACGGGACTCGGTTTAAAAAATACAAGAATCTGTACTTTACAAAGAAAGTGTTATCCCATATATAACGTTTGTCAGATTTGGTTGTGTGCTTGTCAACCGACACCGACAGCTTTTGAAGTTGCAAATAATATCAACCAGTTTTTTGCTTTCGTCCACTTTCGATTATTTACAGCCGGTCTGATACAGCTGAGCGTGGTGTTACCCAATAAATTAACAGACGGGCACACGAAAATGTACATACCTCTGCTATATCAAAGTTCAGAACCTCCTTGAAAAACGTAGGTGTATTGGTCGTCAGAGTGTACACGAGCCAGGCGAAACACACATGTCCGACTACAAACGCCCGAAACGCGGGAGACGTCAAAATGGCCGCCCATGGCGTTTTGTAAGTCTGCTAATAAAGGATTTAACGGTTTGTTCATTCTGAATAAAGGAACTAATAATAAAGTCATTAATTTGATGGAACATAGTTATTAAGAGGATTGATAAAATAAATTAAATATGCGCATAAACATAAACCCTGTTTGAGGCCATCATAAAGTTAGATAATGTAACAAATGAATACATTTATGTGTTGAAAACTAAACTCTGCCGACATAAATAATATAAACCTACTGAAGACCATTGAATGCAAGGAATGTTCACAGGTGAATACTTTCTTGTGGATAAAAATAAATAAGATGAGGAATTATTTTGTATTAATTTGTAAACCTAGTTAAATTAATAACACAATTGTTAATTGTATAACATTTCGTTGTAATTTCTTGGTTTCACACTCAAATTCAAACACTAGATTTCTGGGTTAACTTTTTGTTTCAGTTATGAAGTCGACACTCATCAGTATATAAGAATAAACACGACGAGGAGTGATAAATAAACAATGAGATAAACATTAAAAACCTGCGATGTCTCCCCTATTCCATGAATAATGTAGTTCCGCTCCCTCTTCGAGATTCGAGGATGCTGAGCCGGTGTGCTGGCGATCGTTATACACCACAGGCAGCACCATAACATCGATATAGCTCCTGTAGACACAGACACGTACACGACAGATAAACGTGTATTATCTACATTATATCATGAAGGTTATCACACAATACAAGGACGTGTACCAGTACAGTTGTCTCCACATTTAAAGTGAAACCCCTTTGAAGTCGGACAATACAGTTCCCACTGACACCATCCGGAGTAATCAGTTTTCGGGTTAACAAATCAGTGTCAAGGAATACTTTTGACAGTTCCTGACGTTCAAACTGTTGACGTTCGAAATGTTGGTTTCCGCATTACCGGGGTCGTGTTTCTCAGGGTTTAACTGTAAATGTATAGGAGCACATATACGAGAGCTGGTCAAAAGGTTCCAAGCCATAACAAAGTGAACTAGTCAATTTAGTACGTTGTTTGAGTAGTTCATTGCAAGTGTATTTGGTCTGTTGAGGCCGTTTGAATGTTGGTGACAGCCAGTTGAACGTGACGGGGGTCCAAATGGACACAGGAATGGAAAAGAACGAGTACCGAGCAGTCATCAAGTTTTTGACTTAAGAGAAATGTATCCCCAAGAAATTCATGACCGCATGTCACAAGTGCATGTGGATAGGTTCCCCAGCTATTCTACTTTTAAACGTTGTGCAGCTATGTTTAAAGCTGATGATGAAGATTCAATCAAGGAGATATAAAAACTTATACTGTCAGATAGACGTATTACCATAGCCGAACTTGAGGAAGACACAGGTCTAAGCCATGGATACATTGAAAATATTATTCATGAACATTTACAGATGAATAAGATATCAGCTTGTTGGGTGCCAAAGTTTCTAAATTATGATTTTAAGGAAAATAGAACTGACATTGCCAGAGAAAATTTAGAGCTAATTGAGAAGGATTTTGTCAAATTCAAAAAGAGATTAGTCACGGATGATGCATCATGGGTCGACCACCATGATCCCGAGTCAAAACGTCAGTCCATGTAATGGCACCTTTACACTTTAACAGTATTTCAAGTGTTGTAGGTCTTAGGCGTGTCTCTCTCTCTCTCTCTCTCTCTCTCTCTCTCTCTCTCTCTCTCTCTCTCTCTCTCTCATATGATTACCTGGAACATAGAAAATGGACCCCCAGCCATGATCGAAACCATAGATGCACATATATCCTGATATTGTGAACGTGGCTATGATTCCAAACGAAAATCCTGGAAGGTAGAAATAAAACAGTTTTCAATATTTATTTTAAAATTCACAATTGTATTATTATTATTATTATTATTATTATTATTATTATTATTATTATTATTAATATTATTATTACATGAATATGTAATTTTTCATGGAAATTCCCAGTAATGATCTTTGTGTGATCAGAGCATATCCTATCCCAGCCGGTGCACAAATGTTCCATTCGTTAAAGTCACCGCAATGCAATTCGCTGGGTGGAGTTGATCAGCTAAGGAGTGCCTTCGTGGGTTCAAATCCAAGATTGGCCATCATGATGATGATCATCACCATCTTCCTGCTCAAACATGTTTACTCCGGGCTTTCCTCCCGCATAAAGCTGACACGTCGTATTTCCTTAAATACTACTCAATGCAGCGTTTAACCTATCTCGGACACACTGAATATATGGGAGATAACCTCGATTATTTTCTCAGTGGTAATGCTAGGGTATCGTTAAACATACCAGGTTTCACTCCTATTGCAATTACTATTGGAAATCTTAAATCTTTTTGTCTGGTGGCTTTTGGGAAATAGCTGTTTGAACATGTGTTACAATTTGACTTTTCTTCTCAGTTTTATGTGAATTTTAATTAACAACGTGTATGTCATCATCAATGACAACTCGCACTGACCTGAATAGCAGATAGCTGTAAGTATGGTTCTCTCCAATGGCGGCGCCCATCTACCAATAATGGCCTGCATAGTCGGGTTATAGACTCCCTGGGGAGAGTGCAACAGAAAAGGCAAAGTCTAGTGACGGTTTATTTTGAACATTCGTTTTCAAATTTTTGAAACGTCTAAATCATGATGAGATTTATTTATTTTTAATTCTAATATCGTCAAACAATCCTAACACGTCATTTTACTGAATTTCTCATGATATTACATTCTCGCACTTTTTTAAAACTTTCAAAGGTCGAGATTGCCAGATCTTACATTTGTCCATACTTGTTGGACCTTCGGAATGAATTATCTTTGTTTTATCTGGGACGTCTTACCAATTTAAAATAATATATTTTGCGTGATGGTTGTATTTTCCATGTTTCTAGCTTGACATCTCGGTGATTCAACGTACCCTTATCTGTGTGTAATGTTTGTGTTTAAGTAGATTTTATCAATATGCAGTTGTTTTGTTGGGGTATTTTTTGTTTTATTTGACTCCTAGGTTTGTCAGCACCATACCCGTGCTCGTGGATTTCACCAAAGTGGTAAACGTCTGAGACATGCATCACTTCGGGCTTTCCTCCCACATTAAGCCGACACGCCGTGATATAACTGGAATACTGTTAAAAGCGGCGTTAAACCCAACTCACTTAATCACTCACTTAAAGACGTTTTAAGATACACATTTTCTTTTGTATTTTCGGTTTTTTGTTATTTGAAAACGTGCAAAATTCCTAACGAAAACGTATAATACATGGTGTATATCGAAAACACATACATTGAAATTGCGAAAAGATTTCATTGTGTTTTAAGGGCCACGTTGGAGATGAGGTAACCATCATAACTATCAACACTTTCATTGGAATACTACATCATCATCAAAAGGTTAACAGCAAACCTTTTTGTCAGGCTGTCAGAAAAACTGAAACATGCATGGGTATATATTGTTCGACACTGCCACATGAAACACGCGTCGCTGTGTGGCTGAAATATACCGATGCGACGTTAAATTTTAACTCACTCACTCATAGAACACTCCTCTTGTGTGTCTTCCTAATCCAGTCAAAACTACGTCTTTCCACCTACCATGCCCAGCCCAAGAATCACCCTCAGTGCATACACCAGATAGATGGACGTCCGGGCGCCGATTGGTAGAAGCAATGAGGCGGTCGAGCCAATCAGCATCCCAATAAACATGACGTACTTCCCGCCATATTTCGCGGCCAGTATTCCAGATGGAAGCTGTGTTACCATGTAACCATAGAAATACGCGCTGAGAATTCCAGACTGTTCTCCCTTGGACCAGTAGAACTCCGCATTCTAGAAATACAGTTTGTGTCTCAACATTAGTTAGAGAAATCACCAATTATTAATTGGCATTCTAGTAGTTGGTGAGTTAGTACGAAAACGTACAGCTTCTGGTTTATTGCATATTGCGACGTTTCGGTGTAGATTCTTTCCCCGTTTTCAAGCTGGAGTGATAACAATCAAGTGATGAGAGGTATATATGCATGACATGTTCTTATTAGTAGCAGATTGACAATGACAATGACAGTCGTCTAAGGCGCCGCGATTCGCTGTGCAGAGTTACGTCCCTTGGGCACGCCAGAAACCTATGATTGTGGGTTCGAATCCTGGTTCGCTCCCATTATGTTTCTAGGTTTGTCAGCACCATACCCGTGCTCGTTGGTTTCACCGAAGTGGTAAACGTCTGAGACCTGCATCACTTCGGGCTTTCCTCCCACATTAAGCTGACACGCCGTGATATAACTGGAATACTGTTAAAAGCGGCGTTAAACCCAACTCACTCACTCATGAACGAACGTAATGTACAAAAACCTGTCAAGTTCTGACGTTAGAGAAATATGAAATTGTTTGAAGTTATGTATTTATTAATCCCAACGTCTTTACTTGTTGTTAACGTTTCATTTATTAAGTACTGAATAAGTTCGCAGTTACATGTCTTCTACACACTTCTAGTTGGGCAACCCGTCGGATTCTGGGTCAGAATTGTTCCAAAGTAACGTTTGTGTATCGTGCGGGGCGATTTTATGGACTGCGTGGTCAGGCATGGATGATTGTGTCACTGTACCCTGAAATGTGCTCTTAATATCAACCACTTGTCTGCCTGGTCCAGACTAATATATTTACAGGCAGCAGTAGCAGTCCTCTAGCTGGAATATAATGTGCGACTTTTTACAATAGCCAAACAAAGAAACAATCTATTTTGACCAAACAAGAATCCTTGGTAAACGTTGTTTAGTGTCTACATTAACATTGTTATGTTTTAACGACAGGGTCTGACGAGAGATGATTGATGGCGTGACAACACAGTAAATGTTTTTCACGTGCATGTTGATCGCAATCTAGAAAGTGACACTAAACTCTAATGCTTTAAGTCGAAATGAACAATTTTCCGGAGGTTCTGAAACTCCCATTACACTGGGACACCTTTCCAGTTTAAATGTAGTTGTTTGTTTTTATTAAAAATATATATTTTCAGAGACTAAGCATCAGTCTAAAGTGAGAATGTACCTCTGATTGTGTTTGTGTTGTCTTTGTACCGTTGATGTAGTTGCCGGTGGTATCGTTGACCATGCACACGATGGCCACGCTGAGATTTGACCTGTTGGTCTCAAGCATAACTCCCCCGAGAAATCCCATTAATACCACAATCAGTCTTTGGGAACAGCATATCGAATCTGAAAACAGAAACGTTGTGTGCCATACATAACAGACATTACATTATGGGCTACTGGGTATAATATGTCTTCAGCAACCCATTCTTGCAGTAAGAGGCGACTATGCTTGTCGAAAGAGGCGACTATGATTGTCGCATAAGTGCAATAATCCTGGACGCGATCAAATAACCCCACCGTAAGAGGCGACTAACTGGATCGGTAGGTCAAGCTCGCTGACTTGGTTGATGCATGTCACCATATCCAAATAGCGAAGATCGATGTTCATATCGATTCAATCAGAAGATTATTATTTACAGACCGCCGTTATTTTGTTGGCTATTTCTGAGTGCAGGGTTAAACAACAATATACCAACGAACAAACCAACAAACAATCAGATGTTGGTAAATAAACAGCAATTCTAAAACTACTTTCCCATCTCCACACAAAATAAAAGGAAGGCAACGCTTTCACTTATGTTGAAGATATAAACGTGATTGTCTGCTCAAAGGCTCCAACTTTCTTTAAACGTCCCATGCCTCCAACAATATCAAATGGCCAATCCCTTATTTCGCATACTTACGGTTCGAGTGTTCTGCATCATCGGACAATGGATGGTTGTTCTGAGATGCAGTTGGTAAGCTGATCTTCCCCTCCATTGCGCCCCCTTTTTAGAAGTTCACATTACATTAATTAATGTTTTAATGCTCTATGAATGTACTTTACTGCTTTCAAGTGCTTACCTCGTATGCTCCTTTTTGCAAAATACCCCGATAATTAGGCAAATATTCCATGATTATTCCATAAAGGTACGATATTGATTATGCAAAACGTATTGTGGGAATTCCACAATCATGAATCATGCCGCGGTAATTCCCCCAAACTTTTGCGGAGTTCAGTTCAATTCAATTCTTTATTGTATGAAAGGCCACAGGCCCATATACAACGGAGTTACATAACATATTTTATAAAATACAAAGTCAAGGTAACAATTCACTTCGTAACAAAAAAGCATTATGTATGTACAAAGCCAGTTGATGTTGTGTTATAAGATCCTTGCAAGACAGTAATGAAGACAATCTTTTAGCATTAAAATGAGATAGAGACCACTGCGGTAAGTACTTGTCTCTTAGATTTTCGTATATAGGGCAAATAAACATGAAATGGTATTCATCTTCGACAACAATGTCACAAAATGGCCATAATCGTATCGATTTCTCAATAGATGAAAATCTCCCTGTGTTAATTTTTAGATCATTCAGGCCAAGTCTAAAACGAATAAGCGTGTTACGAGAATTCCTGTACCGTAAATTTGATAAATAGGATTCTGGTTCAAGCAATGACTTGAATTGGCGATAAGTATCATATCTTGAACTTTCATAAATATCTGAATGCCATTTCTGATGAAACATGTCAATGGCACGCATGCGAAAGTACTTAATGAAAGCATTTGCATTACCAATTGTCTGGGACAGCCAAATGAAACCAAAGCCATATGTAAAAAGCAATGTACGAATACAAGAAGCCCATGTGTTCTTTCCAAGATTGTCGAGGTGTACGAGCATGTTGTAGGCTTTCTTGGGTAAACGGTGTTCAGGCATTATTATTATTTTACACCAATACTTCAAACAACGAGTGTAAGATCCAATGTACAATGGGAATCTCCCGCATTCTCCATAAACCATATTACTTGGTGTTGACATACCAACATTCAAAAACTTTTTACAAGCGAGGAGATGAACCTTTTCAATTGTATAGAACTCTTTACAACCCCATATCTCAGACCCGTATAGTAAAATAGGTTGTATTTGAGAATCAAATAATTTAAAATACATTTTTGGTGAAATAACTCCGAGCTTAGACATAACAAAGTGGACTTGTAACAGAGCTTTCTTTGCTCTGTTTGTGAGATTAATTACTGACTTATTCAGATTCAGTGTATGGGTAAACAATATGCCAAGGTATTTGTATTCATGCACAACATTAATACATGTACCTTTAAAAAACCATTTCTCTCTTGTGGCCACTCGACCACCTCTACGAAATATAACAATATTTGTTTTATCAAGATTAACACTAAGTTTCCATTTATCTGAATATTCCGAAAGTATGTTAAGCTGCTTCTGTAGACCAATAATAGTACTAGACATCAAAATCACATCATCTGCAAAAAGTAGCATGAAAAGTTCTATTACATCAGGGGAGAGCTGGACGCCATGTCTACCAGACTGTATGATATCAACATATAACTCATTTATAAAAAATGAGAAAAGTATAGGACTTAAAACACATCCTTGACGTAAACCTATCGGACAATCAAAAAAGTCACTCTTAATATCACCACAGCGAACATATGATTTTACATTTGCATACATTGATTTAATAATGACAAGCATTTTGCCTCCTAAACCCTTATTTTTCAAACACCTCCACAAATAAGCTCTATTTACAGAATCAAATGCCTTTTTAAAATCAACAAAGGCCACATACAACTTACGTTTCCTGTACGATAAATATTTCTCAATGACTGCATACAAAGTAAATATGTGGTCAAAAGTCGAATAGTCCTTTCTAAATCCCGCTTGTGTTTCAGGGATCAAATCTCTCATATTTGACCACTGTGTTAATCTATTATTGATGATAGATGTAAATGCTTTACTAAGGATACTCGTGAGAGATATAACCCCATAATTGTCAGGATTGTTTACGTTTCCATTCTTGAATAACGGAATAATAATAGATTTTGACCAGATAGAAGGAAAAATACCTGTATCAAAAATCCGATTGAAACATTTAACCAGAAAAGGCATAGTATCAGGTAGTGAGTACTTGAGCATTTCAGCTATAACACAATCAATCCCAGCAGATTTACCTGTTTTAAGGTGAGATATAGCATTAAATATTTCCGTTTCCGTGATAGACGATTCCAACAGAAGCATGTCAACATCATTAAGAATTTCACTGACGCCATCATCATCACGTTCAAAGAACTCATTGTCTACCAAATATATCGAATCATCTTTTGAGAATAACTTCTTGAAATGATGTAACCATTCTGTTTGGGATATAGATCCTTTGGGGGTAGGATGTCTCTGAAGAGAACGTATAGTATTCCAAAATAATTTCGGACTGTGTAAAGTGCTGTTTAGTCGGACTAGCCGTGAAAATTTAAGATCATATTTGAACTTTCTACAAAAGTTTTTATACACATTTCTCAGTTTACAGTAGCGTTGTCGGTTGTATTCACTGCGACAACACCTACACCTTCTGAGAGCCTTCCTTGATTCAGATCTTGCTGCCCTACATGCTATATTCAACTTTGGTTTATCGTGTTTATGTTCACCATATTTGATCTGTTCCCTCATACAGGACGCCGAGTCTAGAACATACTGTACCAAATATGTAATCACCTCCTCTACATTAGCTTCAATTTTATCCATCAAGGAATTTTCATGAATATGCAAGGACCATCTAAGTGCTGTGATAAAAATGCTTTTCTTCGATTCGTTCCATGAAAATGTACTGTTCATAGAGACATCATCCTCACAGTCTAAACTATGTATGGCACGATTGCTACAAGGAAACCTGCAGGATAACTCAAGAGGGAAATGGTCTGAATCTGATCGATCACCAACCTTTAACATATCTACATACTGGAAAAAATCAGCAGATGCAATAAAATAATCAACAACACTAGAACCAGTATCTCCTACAAAAGTAACCTCGCCTGCACTATCACCATAAACTCTCCCATTTAGTATAAACATACGAAGTACAAAGCATAGATTCAATAAAATGCGTCCGAATCTATTGATAGTACCATCGTGAGATACACGTTGTTCAACAGGGGCATTGTCAACATCAATGTATACATCATCATGTCCAAAGTCATCACTTTCCTCAGAAATGGGATTATTTTCGTTGCCTGTGCGGGCATTAAAATCACCACAGAGTAGCACATGTGAAGAAGTGAAATCAGACCAATGCTCCAATATAATAGCTTCCACTTTATCAATAAGGCAACCTGAATCAGTTCTCCCTTTGTAAAATGTTGAACCTGCCGGAGGGACATATGTACACAACAACATTAAATCACATTTCAAATTAAACACAGATTTTGGAAATTTTAAACATATGAAATTTTCTATGTCGGTGCTAAGGTGAATGCACATGTTCACAACATCTTGCCTAACGCAGAGACACACACCACCAGAACATCTACCTGACAATGATGTTGTAACTGCTGGGGCAAAGTACATTTGGTAACCAGGTAACCAGTTTAAGTCTGGGAAATCTGATATAAATGTCTCCAAGAGACACACAATATCAAATGATTGTACCGCGGCAAGGAGGTGAGTAGTTGTGAGCAATGGTGGATTTCTGTGCGCGACTTTATGACGTGCTGTTTCATTTAATTTGTGAACAATAAAACAGTATTTTCTGTATGAATGAGTGCATCAACATTTGTATGCATATCCAATAGCTTTGTATGAAATGTTGATGTTTTAACACAATTTATTACACTGACAACAGTGCCTGAGTGTAACTAGAACTTGAAGATGAAAATCTTATGTGGGTCATTCTCTAAAAAGGTAACATTTTGGCCTATGATAAAACAACAAATCAGAATTCATTTTTGAAATGTTTTCATTGAGCAGATAAATAACATAACAATTACTGAATATAAGTGTAAAGTATGCAGGCTTAATATGTCTTATTTTCCTTTTTGCAGAAAACTATTTTTGGCGTCTCTGTACCAAATGTCTGTGCCGTTAACGTGCATAAAATTCAGTTTTTGTCTCCGAAAATAAATCTAAATTGAATTAAATTTATGATATGGTTGTTGCATTTTGGCATAGTTCAAATACCAACAGCTATAAAATTTCATTCATTGGGTTTACCAAATTATTAGACTGTAAATATATGCATACAATGGAATTATTTGCAGAAAGATGTACGATAAACGTGTCTACTTAAATGGAACTACCATAATTCTATAAGGTAATAATAGTTATTACACTCACTTTATGAATGCATTATATCAATATATTTGGACAGGACAGACAACATGGTAACAGGAAAGACAAAATAGTTTGTAATTGCCAAAACTACAAGCATGAAATACTCACATCCCCCGCCAATATGACACGTCGGGTTGTGTGCAATGTAAATGGCCTAATTGCAGCACTAAAAAAAGTTATTACTTGTGTTGTTTTTCGATCTGCAGTTTATGATAGAATATGTAACTGAATTTGTAATGAGTAAGGATGAGACATATGGACGAAAACTTCTTTATTACAATTAGGAGCGATGGTTTCGGTGAAGGTTCTGACACCCTTATCAAGCAAGTGAAATACAGAGTATGGTTGACAAGAATATATAGTGTTTATACAGTTGAATAGGTTTAAGATCAGTTACACTGTTGTATTTGTGATGAGTTGTGTTTCTGCATGAAGTTAGTCAGTGAATGCAACAACTGTGTCCATGACACTTTTGGAAGAACATACACTCAAGCAATGCAGAACTTACCAACAAGAAAGGAAATGTATTCAATACTGTGAGAAGACATTATGTGCCAAGTTTGGTGAAGAAATATAACACGGTTTTCAAGATCTGCTCCGGAAATGAGGACTACCGCCATTTTCAGTCTAAATCAAAGTCGCTGCC